GTTTAGTTTTTTGTACTAATGGTATTTAATAGCTTTTAACAAATTCTAAATCTAAGAAATAAGCTAAGACTCTTGAATCTATGAAGGCAAAGGCTTTATAATTATTAGGTCTTCAATGCACATCTATTATAAAATAAAGAGAAGATTTTAAAAAGAGGATATAACCTTCATTAGAAATTATATAAGATTCCAGCCATACGGTCCCTATTAAAATTGGACAAATTTGTTTTCTAACACATTGACTTCTTTGACAGCTATGCTCCTCATTTTGTAGTTTTATTGCTTCTTTGGACAATGTTGAGTAGTGTGTTTAAGTTCTTCATAATATAAGCACAATCCTTCTTGATGGTGATGAGTCTTTTCTTACTTGGTAAGAGGTTTAAAACATACCATATTAATTTGCATATCCTCTACTTTTAATTATATATATTGAAGAGATGTTGGTGTTGCCATTAAATTGTAATAACGTTTAGGCCTACTTATGTGACTTTCAGATCAAAATTCAAAAAGTTGATTGTTGCACTTCATAGCAAAGTCAATTTGCTTGACTCAATGTTTGAGGATCAGGTAAGTTGAATATCAATTCCTTTACTTCATATTGTAATCTATAGAGAAATTGGCTAATAAGTGCAGCATCATCCCACTTGATATCAGTTGCAAGTTGTCAAAATTGTAAGCATTTAATGTTACAAATTGATTTTCTTGTTGCAAAATATGGATCTTGTTGGTTGCAACATGAGTTGCACCATGTTTTCCATACATTGACCAAAATTCTACCAAAAATACCTTCAAATTATCTAATATTGGATCTCGTCATTCAAAAAAAGATGAAAACCACGATAGTATTGAACCTAAAAGAAGTGTATCAATGAATCAAACTTGTGATCTTGGAATTGCATAGCTTTAAGGTTGAAGTTTAATCACAAGTTGTACTTAATTAATAAATCCTCAAAATTTAGATCTTGTACCATCAAACTTCTCAAGTATGGCAATTCTTGGTTCTCTAACACTTCAAAGATGTTCTATCGAAGGTGGTGGGACATGATTTGGTGTAGGTATTGAGGTAGCTCTAATCATCTCTATATCCTCACTTCTTGCCATTTTTATTGATCCTTGTGGTAGTAAGTTAAATTGATATATCACAAGCATCAACTCGCTCAATTGCTCTTGCATTTGTGTCATTGTACTCTTCATTTCAACAAGCTCTACGATAATAATACTCAAAAAATTATCTAATATCACTCAAGTCAAGTAGAAGAAAGGACTTGAGGACAAAAAAAATACTAAGAATAATATTAGTTTAGAAGAAGGTAATCGACAACTTCTAATACACTTATGTCTTATCAAAAGAAAGTGATAATCCACTCTTAATAAAGAAAGGACAAAGCTCTAATATTATATATATACTCTTGTCAATTTATCAAAGACATGAATTAGAAGAAGATGCATAAATCTAGATAATTTGTGTTAAAAGAAAAGTGACAAAATAATAATAAAGTAGTATGTATATTAAAAGAAAACTGGAATGGCTTATTGCCAAAAGACAAAAAAAAACTAGAGACTCTTAAATCTAGACTAGAAGCAAGAAAGAAATTGAAAAGAGTGAAGAAGGCTTCACTCTTGCCTCTATATATACTACTTAACTAAGAGCTATGTGGCGATGTTCTTTAAGACCTCTAATATGTGTTGACTTTGTATGACATATGTTTTAGCTCACAAGGCAAGTTTTCTATGTGTGAGCCACATAGTTACCTTGTTCTTCAAGCTATCAACACGTGTAGTACATGGCCAACTTGTTGACCACGTTTCTAATCTAAAATGTCAATTAAAGACACCTATAAAGTTAAAGCAATATCTATAAAGCTTCTAAGAAGCTTTTATAGAAGATATTATAGAATAGACCTACTTTTATATACTATTATCTTAATCATATAATAAATTATTAGTTTACATGTGTATGTTTGTGATATAAACTTTGCCAATGGAAAAAGAATTGTCTTATCATCTTATTGATAGTTGATGGTACACTTCAAATGCTCCTCTATTTCTTAATTTACCTACTTTTTTTCTCCAACAATTTGAGGATGGAAAGTCAAAGATAGTTTTTACGTCCACTTTTAGAATCTCAAAAAAATATTTTTTTAAAATCTTAATACAAACTGAGTTCCTTTATTCCATATAATATCTTTAAGTAATTCATGATTGCAATAGATATTGTCAAGAAAACGTTTGGCTATTTTTTCACTTGTGATAGCTTTTGCATATGGTACAAAATATGTCATATTAGTGAAATGATCTATTATCACAAATATAGAGTCGTAAAAACTTGAGACTAGAATATCCATAATAAAATCCATAGAAACAAAAGACCATGGTTGTTCTTCAATGAAAAATAGTTAGAGAAGTTCATAAGATTGATGACGAGGAATTTTTGACCTTCAATAAACATCACATGATTGAAAAAAGTCTTTCACTATCTTCTATATTTATAGCCATTAAAAATCCATGAATATAAGTTCTAAAGTCTTGTTATATCCAAAATGTTCAACCATTAGAAAGTCATGATGTGCTTGAAGAATACGTAAATATACTTTTTCTTCTAGAATATATAGGCATCCTTTATAATAGGATTGATTGTATTTGCACTCAAACTCACAAGCATCATGAGATTTAGAAAAAAGATTCATGATATCATGAATAAAAGGATCAAAAGATATATTTGATTGAATTTGTTTGATAAGAATTGTATCAATAATCAATGTTGATATTATTGCTCAAAGATGCAAATACTCCAATTTCAAGAGAAATATTCTTTGTTGATCAAAAGTAACATTTCTATCTTTTAATGTAAGATAAGAATGTCTAGAAAGAACTTTTAATAAATCTTCTTATTTTTTGGATAGATAAATGATCTAAACATCAAATTTGAACAAAAACATACTCAAATAGGCTTGGTGATAATTCAAAACATCTACTAACATAAAATATTCAAGATTCATATGGTCAATATAAATAGTGACTGTATTAGAAGCACCTTTTAGATAATAGAGCCATTCTTAAAACAAATCCATAATTACAAGAAGTTCTTTGACGTGAATCTCATAGTTGATCTTAATTATTAAAAATTTTCTTGAATGAAAAGCTTTTGAGTGAAGTTTATCATTTGTTCCTATTTGTGATAATACGACATCCAAAGCAAAGTCTAATGCGTGTGTTTCTATAAAATAATGGCTTAAATAAATATATATATATATATATATATATATATATGTATATATAAGATTTGTATAAAAATAAAGATTATCTTTAAAGCTTCAAATATTACTTTTATTTCTTGATTCCATTGAAGTTTGTCTTTACAAGTCAAATGTATGAATAGAATTACAACTTGAGAGAAGTTTTTGAAGAAGATCCAATAATAGTTGACGAATTTCAAAATATACAAGACATTACATATTGTTATTGGATCTTCCAATCTAAAATAGTTTGAACTTTTTTAGGATCTATCATAAATAATATCTTTAATCATTTTAGATTTTTTTTTTTTTAATTTCTAAAAATATTTCTAAAATCTTCTACAAAAATAATCTAAAATTATTCTAAAATCTAATAAAATATTTTAATAATATTCCTTAAATCTTCTTGTTGGATATTCATAATACTTCTCACAAATTAAGTGTGATGGAATGAGATTGCAAGTATTTTCTCTTATCTAAGTTTTTATTTACAAATGTTTATTTGTTATATCTTGGTTAAAAGATTTTTCATCACAGCTTTGAAGCTTTGATTTGTCAAGTATGTCATGTCTTGGATCACCATTTCATAACTTTTTTGTAAACCATTTAGCATGATGTTGATAAGTATTTTATCAATGCTTATTTCTTCAAAGGCATATAATTGATTTTGCATAATCATTGCATTAATAAAATATGGATTGAAATTTCTACCTTCTCTCATCATCATATTGTTTAACTTATTAGTAAACAGTAAAATCTATTATTAATCTCTAATTTAGAACATCCTACAAAGCATGTCCTAAGAATAAACAAGATCATTGCATTGAGACATTACATCTATTAAGTTATCTCTTGTAATCATACATATCTTTGAATATGTTCTTTGAATTGAATCTCTTAATCTAACTTTTGCAAATGGTATGTTCTTTATACTCTCTATTTGTTTTGTACTCTTAAGTAAAGAAGCAATGCTCACCTTGTTATTAACTGTCTAAGAATCAACCATGCTTTGATACCATGTTGCAAGTCCATACTAACATGATACTCAATATGATCAATCCTTAAAGATAGATATATTAGTAGAACTATATATATATATATATATATATATATAAAAAAAAAAAAAAGACCCTAGTCTTGAATAAGATTAAAACTAGAAAGATAACACTAATTTTTAACTCAGTGACATAGCAATCTAACATCACAAAAGAAGTGAAATATTAATTCACAAATAACTATTTCTTATTGAAAAGTTTCAGCAATTATCTTCTAAATATATTATGAAACTATATTGTAAAACTAGTGCCACTTGTATCTAGATATTTAACTCAAGTTTGTATTATTCTTTTCTTACGAAAAGATGATTTTAAAACCTATCTAAAATCATATTTTGACTTTGCATGACTAACAATCTACTAGAAAAGCTGCACACACTTACAATCTACACAGAAACATTTTAAAAGATTAAATTTTACAAAAGAGACCAAAAACAAAACAAAACGAATAGACATCAATACACAGGACAGCACAAACCCAGCTCTACGAACCCAATCACAGTCACAGTTTCAAAATCAGATTTTGAAGAACATCACACGAAAACAGTAATTCCATGTCAAGGATAAAAAAAGAAACATCCACATTCATCCTCAAGTACGTCCAAAACAAAAGCGAGAAAAAAATATCACGTAAACGTACGAAAATACACAAGCACATGTTTCCATTTGTGCATTCGAGGGGGGAGAAAAAAGTATAATAAGACAAAGGAAGAATAACGAATGGAGAGTGCAGTCTCGGCCGACGTTGTGAGAGCACCTCGCTCATCGCCACGGAAAGCTGCTTTTTCCCATCGCGCACCCATCCGGAGTTGGATCCCATTGCACTCGTGCACTGCAGTCCCATGAAGTATATAGCCCCTCGTTTCTCTCCATTACTGATCCGGGACAGGTGCTGTTGACTTCCTGGCGACAGGGGATCATCGGGCCTTCAAGATCCGTCTACTTGTGGTGATCGGGTGCCGCAGCTGGGCTGCTGCGGGGAGCTTTGATCGCTGCCAGGATGGCGTCTTCGTCGTTGCCCTTGGCGGTGGTTCTCCTGCTCCTGGTTTCTGCTTGCTCTTCCCAAGCTCTCCCTGGATACCGTGTTCTGCCTCACCGTTTTCTCGAAGCTGGGAGTGATTCTGGTAATTGGCTGTCGTCGCTTGCTTGTGGGATGAGCACTGCATGTTGTGGGCATGTTCAGGTTGAGGATGGAGTGGAGAGATTGAAGATTTTCCCCGATCTGGTGATTGGATTGTAATGTAGGGGTGGTTGTGTTGAATGTCGTAGTTTAGGGACTGGATGGGTACTTCGGATGGGATTTTTAGAGATGGGTAGTGATCGTGACAGCCTGGAGGGAGAGCTGTTCCTGAGCGGATGGTTTGAGTGGCATTGGTCTTTGTCCACTCTAGTCATCATCTGTTCTTGGACCGCAGTTGAAAACTGTGGATTCTTTTTTACTTTCTGATTGTGAGTGCGCTTATTGAAGTCAATTGTGATGGTGAGCTAGTTTCTGGCCATGTGCAGACAACTCGCGGTCGTCGGGAGCTTTGAAGAAAAACTTGCGGCGAATGTTGTCTTTGGTCGACTCCCCTCCGCTATTCCCTTCTCCACCCCCTCCTCCTTCTAGTCCGCCGCCACCTCCCTCATTTAATATTTCATCTCCGCCTCCGCCACCATTCCCCTCTCCACCTCCTCCACCTCCCAGTCCACCTCCGCCCCCTCCTAATTCACCGCCTCCACCACCTTCATCTCCACCGCCTCCACCAACTTCATCTCCACCGCCTCCACCACCTTCATCTCCACCGCCTCCACCACCTTCATCACCACCGCCTCCACCACCCTCCCTATCTCCGCCCCCTCCTCATCCATCGCCGCCGCCGCCGAGGATACACTCACCTCCTCCGCACAGGAGACATCCTCCTCCACCGCATAGGAGACATCGTCCTCCGCCTTGCGACGAATACGATGACCATCACTAAAAGTGAACTTCCACAGCAGGAATCGTTGAATGCTGAAGGAACTTCTCTGTGGTCTACTCCTAATATTCTGTTAATAAGCGTAGAATAGATAGCAAATGTACATCGTTGCAGAGCTTCTATTCAAGTGCCAAGATATATTTATTTTTATTTTAACTTACTCGTCTCTCTGATCTGTTGTGTTCGGTGTAATGAGTATCCGGAAGTCGAGTCCCGTCTGTGACTGGTGCAGAACTTCAGGTGCACAGGATTGAATTTTTTGTACTTTGGAAAAAGGTAATTTGAAAGAAAGCTTATCGTCAATTCAGAGACGTCCTTTACAATCTGGGACTGAACGTCGAGTCCACATTTTCCTGTGTTGCATCGCAAGCAGGATTTGTGTACACGATAAGTCTCCACCCAAACGGAAAAAAGAAAAGCGCTGCAGATCATACTTCGACCAGCAGTGATTTGGTCAATTAGATAAGGTCAACGCTTGCTACACTGGAGAATCAATGCGTGCTAGTTTCGACTTCGCAGAATGAATCGATCTGTTCTCAATTCCCGAAGCTTGCACAAACAATTTGATTGAGGAGCCAACACTGATCTCCGATACAAATCTTTATTGAAACAGAAAAGTCAACTGCAGAAGCTTGATAATGTCAACCTGACGCAGCGACATGCTTCGTCTTCAATCATGCGTGAAACTACCGAGAATAGGTTCTAATCTATATCATGCACTTTATCGCACACTTAAATAGAATGGCAATAAATGTTTTGGTGTATGCAGTTTGTAAGTGTTAGTTTACATCAAACCACTTGAAAATCGTTTCTATCATGGGCCCATCGTGTGCCTCGGACCCGACCCAGAACGTTTGTGCTGGCCTGGGAACATCCCACTCCTCGCATTCACCACCAAGTTGGCGAGGAAGTGGCTGACCAATTCTGATACGTCGATCGACCTCCATGGCACTAAATGGCGAGACCAGCTTCCACGTACCATTACGTTCGATTGGCGCAACACCTGGCATAAGAAAAGATCTCAGAAAGACGGAGCATTCATCTGGAGCCTACATCGTAAGGCAATTGCGGGCAACGTCTGGCGCAGCAAGGTATGTGCCACCATCGACACATCATGCCCATTTTGCTCGAGATCGCCTGAATCCATTATGCACCGATTTTGGCATATTGCCACAGAGCCACTCGCATATGGTCCTGGTGCTCGTCACTGCTTTACCAGCTGCAGCGGAAACCCGCTGCCCCAGCGCCATTGTCTCTTCACCAAAAACCTTCCCAAAAGATTCGGCAAATTTAAAATTATTTGGACCCTTCTACGTGGAGTTACCCTGTGGGAACTCTGGCTGGAAAGAAACGCCATGGTGTTCAATACTGACGATTGGTCGTTCACCCAGGTCTCGACTCGCATCTGGCAATGCTTGCAAGACCATGGCAAAATTGAGGGGAATCCGCTGAAACAGATGCTGCCGGACGACGGTGCCGCACCCGATTTCTGTTTTGAGCATTTTGACACCACCTGGGGAAGTAATTGTGTGCTGTGCACTAGGATGAATAATAGCATACGATGGCATCACAACAGCATTAGACACGGTAGTATCTTCTCAACCCATCCCCACAACGCAGGGCTGTACTATACTTCCATCCGAGTCACTAGTCCAGTCAAAACCCAGGCGGGGGTTTTGTTAACTCTAGCTCAGCCTGGATCTGTGTAGGTTACTCCCAGCAATGAAAAGTTCTGCATTTGTACCAAAAGAAAGAAAAAAAGAAAACACGTGAAGGTATCTACAATCTCAGCCACTAATGAACGCCATCCACTCAAAAACAGCCCATGCACAACCGAATGAACGGAACCCAAAAGAGCACATGTCATCCACGGAGTTGCGGGATCCAAGGGTGAGCCTGCGCGGTGGTGGGAGAGAGTCCCCCAATAGACTGCACAATTCGATGCAGGAGGATTGGAGGGTGTGTACCAGAGGCGATGTGCTGCAATTGGTAAGCCTCTCTGTCGCCTCTCTGCAGTATTTTATTCCCATGTGACATGAATTGGCCCTTTGGAGATTCACTGGCTGTCCAGAATCACTGAACGAACTAATACGAGAACTGGTGTGGTTTGGAAGAGGTTTTCGGTGCCAGATGGCAGGTAATAACGTGAAACATGTGTGCTATAGTGCTGAATTCGATGTAACTGCACAGGATGTTGTGGTTTCCACGACGTCGAGAGAATTTCTCCATGTGGCGATCGTTGGATGCTGTTTTTTCTTGTTTTGGAGTGATGTAGTAATTGTATGCGAAGAATTTTTTTAGCTGCTTATTGTATTTTATATTGATTTTTGTTTAGGGTTTGTGGGTATTTTAAGTCGAGAGTCTGTTGGGTGCTCTTTGGTTGCAATTGAGACATGTGATGTTCATAAGGGTCGACATGATTGGCACATTTGGATGCCTTGTTACCTGTTAGTGGATACTCTTGGGTTGCAATTGGGACATGTGATGTTCATGAGGGTCAATATGATTGGCTCATTTGGATGTCTTTTTATGTATTAGTATGAATTGATGTATCTTGAGAAGTTGACTTGAAAAGTATAGAATACACTTTTTTATCTTGGCATAGAGTCTTGTATCTTTTAGTTTTTGTAATACACTACAAACATGAAGTTTGTGTTTTTCTATGTTCTTAGAATGGATTAAGATGTCATCTAGGTAATAAACAACAAAGTTATCTAAAAACTCTCAAAAAACATCATTCATTAGATGTTGGAAAGTTGCTGATGCATTTATAAGTCCAAAAGGCCTAATATTGTATTCAAAATATCCATACCTTATTCTAAACGCAATATTCTATTCATCTCTTTATTTAATGCGTTCTAAATTGTATGTTCCTCATAGATCTAATTTTGTATAGATCTTACTTTGATTCAATTGATCAAAAAGTCTTAATATCAAAGATATTAGATATCTATTTTTAATGATGATTTTCTTGAGTCTTTTATAATTGATATACATCTACAATAATCCATTTTTTTTTTACAAATAAATTTAGAACTCATGTTGGAGATTTGGAATGACTTATGAAGTTCTTCGCCAAAGGTTTTTTTTAATATATTCCTTGAGTTCAGCCAACTCATTTTGTAATAAACTGTAAATTTGTCCAAGCAACATTTAAGTTCCTTCTTGAAGGTCAATTGAATAGTCATAGAGACAATATTCTAGTAGATTATTCACATTCTTCTTTTCAAATACATCTTGAAAATCTTGGTATTGGCTTGGAATGCCACTTCAAGTCTTTTCACTATTAGAAAGTACAACATTCATGATATAAGGTAATCCTTCTTTTGTAGCATGCAAAAAAGTTCTTGCGCATATAAATACATGTTAAATCATACTAGACTTTTGACTTTCTACTTGATCAATTATATTTTTAGTTATATTTTCAAAAAAATCAAAATTATAAGAAATTCAATCTATTTTTGGATTATATATTTTTAATCATGATAAATCTAAATCGATTGGATTAAAGGTAGATTTAATAATATTAAATATTATAAAGCTACTACGTCCATTAGTTGTTACTTCTATAGAAAAGGTTTCATAAGTAATATTTTTTGAAGATAATAGACAACCATCTATGACTTCTATATCAATAGATATAGTTTTTTTTCACTAAAGATATGCTATATTATTTAGCAAATTCTTCATGTAAGAAATTTGCTAAGGCTCTTGAATCTAATAAGTTAGGGGCTTTGTGATATTTAGGTCCTAAAATAATATTTATTGTAAAACAATGAAAAGGTTCAGAGGAGAAATTAGGACCTTCACTATATATTGTACATAGTTCTAGTCGCACAATCTCTATTATAGCTGGACAAACTTTTTTTTTTACATACTATCTTCTTTAATGGCCATACTCTTTATTTTGTAGTTGCGTTGCTTATTTGGACAATGTTGAGCAGTGTACTTGGGTTCTCCATAATACAAGCATAATTCTTCCTAACAATGATGAGTCTTTTCTTGCTTAGTAAGAGATTTGAAATGTATTGCATCAATTTGTATATCTGCTACTTTTAAATGTGTGTGTTGAAAAGATGTTAACATCGTAATTGAATTATAATAACATTGAGGTTCACTTGTATAACTCTTAGATCAAAATTTAAAAAGTTGATTATTACACCTCATAGCAAAGTCAATTACTTGACTCAATGCTTAAAGATTAAGTAAGTTGAGCATCAATTTTTTTACCTCATACTATAATTTGTAGAAATTTAGCTAACAAGTGTTCTATCATTTCACTTGATATTACTTGCAAGTTGTAAAAATTTTGAAGTATATAACACTACTGATCATTTGCCTTGTCATAAAATATGGATCTTATTGATTGCAATACAAATCGCATCATGTTTTTCATACATGGATTGAAACTTTGCCAAAAGATCTTTTAGATTATCTAATATTTGATCTTATTATTCAAGAAAAGAAGAAAATCATGATAATGTTGAACTTGAAAGGAGTGTACCAATAAATCTAACTTAGGATCCCAGAGATGGATAGCTTTAGAGTTGAAGTTGAATCACAAGTTGTACTTGATTGATAAATCCTCAAAACTTAGATCTTGTACCATCAAACTTCTCGAATAGTTTAATCTTTGGTTTGTAACATTAGAAGGATATTCCATCTTAGGAAAAGGGACATGATTTGATGTAGATGTTGAAGCAGCTCCAATCATCTCTATATCTTTTTTCTCCGCTATTCTCGTGTGGATGAACTTAAGATACGTTAAATGTTGATTTGTATGGTTATCTAAGAGAGGCATTATTGTGTTCAGGATTTGGACAAAATTTCATCATTATAGCTTCTAGTTGTCCTACAAGAAAGAATAGATGTTTGATATACTATTCCAATAGAAGTCCAATCTGAGTGTTGTTGAGGATGTTCTTATAGTCAAAAGCTACGCATCTTGATAGAGCTATTGCTTCGTTGTAGAGCATGGTGTCATGTTCTAATACGACTATATAGTGAAAGATAATAATATGGATCTTATTATAGAAGAGCCAAATTAATTGATAAAGTAGAAAAATATGGATAAAAGATAAGAAGGTAGTAAAATTTTTAGTGATAATGGTGCCTTTTTAAAATAGTAGCTTCTCTTTACTTAGTAGGACCATTAATTAATACAAAATAAGGTAGATTGGAAAAATAAATGATATATGCATTTTTAAGAAGAAATCAAGAATAAAGTTTTGTAAGATTTATCTAATAAAATTAGATATTGATATTTGAAGAGGGTCATTACAAACATGGATTGAAAACATACCTTGGAGCATAAAATTGAGTCTTGAAGATGATTTGGAGGTTATTCAGTAGATCAAAGAGAGGGATTAGATAGCAAATTTGATATGGTTTTGATGAGCATTGGTTTACGGTGATTTGAATTTGTATTGACTTTGTAAGAGCTTTACAAAGTTAGGGTTTGTTTTGGATGACTCTGGATTTGTGAAATAAAATGGAAAATACTTTTTGGAGAATTTCCTAAATTTGACAGTAGATCTATAGATGAAATTTGAAGGTTTGTGGATTTATATGTATTCAATATATGTTGTGAGTTTGAGCTTGATCGAAGGATTTGATCAAGGATTATTGAGGTTTAAATGGATCGAGGTCTCACAAAATAGAGTTTTAGGTCTAATGAGGATTTCTAAGATTTCTTGTAATCTATTAGTTGGATATGAGTGAAAGTTATATATGTGGATATTAGACTTATTTTCTTATATATATGAGAATTTTGAGATCAATTGAATAGTTTGATAAGGAGATATTGGCACTAGAAATTCAACATTCAAATTGGAGAAGGAGGCCTGTCAATATCCAGGCAGATTTTAGAGTTGATCTTGTTTTTGGTAAGTTTGATTTTCTTCAAATATTTTGTATTTTGTCTCAACTTAATTATTAAGAGGTGTAAAAATTTTGAATTAAAATCAACAATTTATTCATTAGTTATTGAGGTTTAAATCTACTACAGGAATTACTTAGAATTATTTAGGATTTGATTACGATATGCTTAAGGATCAATTAGGATTTGATTAATGTTTGTTTTAAGTTTTTTTTAGGTTTTGTTTAGATTTTGTTTAAGATTTGATTAGAATTTGGTTAAGATTTGACTAGGATTTGATTAATGTTTGTTTAAGGTTTGATTAGAATTTAGTTAAGATTTGGTTAAAATTTGTTTAGGATTTGTTTAGGATTTGACTAGGATTTATTTAGGATTGGTTAGGATTTCTTTAGGATTTGATTAGAATTTGGATAAGATTTTTTTAGGATTTGATTAAGATTTGATTATGATTTTTTAAGATTTGACTAGGGTTTATTTAGGATTTGGTTAGGATTTGGCTAAAAATTGACTAGAATTGGATTAAGTTTTGATTAAGATTTAATTAAGGTTTTTATTTTAATATTTTATCAATGCTTCTATTATAGTATATTTTTGAATTTCTATGTTATTTCTTTATGATTCTTTGAAGGATCTCTAAGAATATTTTGTATTTCTCACATAATTTCTTTGAAATTTTGATTTAATTTGATCAATATTTAATTATATTCACTAATCTTGAATTGTAATTTGTTTAAGAATCTATTAGAGTTGTAATAACTTGTTGTCGCAATTTTCCTTTTATCTTCACAACCAGGTGTCTGGTGCATTCTCAAGCCAAAATGCCACATAATACGACAACAAGGTTTATATTTTGATTGTTGGAACTAATATATTTAATAATACTTAGCTTTGACTTTTCTTGAAATGTCAGATTACCGTTCTTGGATTATATTGATGGTTTCAGATTTTAATATTAATGATTGGTCATTCATCCAAGTCTCGACTTGGATTTATCAATGCTTGCAAGTCTATGGCCAAATTGAGAGGAATTTGTTGAAACAAATGCATTAATCCAATTTTTCACACAACAATAGTCCTAATTTTTCAAACAATATTTGAAACAAATGCAATAGTTCCAAAAATCTATATTTTGATTGTTGAAACTATTGCATTTGTTTCAAATAGTCCACAAATAGTTTTAATATAATGACGAAATAATCATATCCTATTATCAACATGGAAATAAGATTGTTCCTCGTGGTAAACATCTATGTTGTTCTTTTGTTTGTATCTTCATTGTTATAAGTAGCTTAGATAAATGATTTGTCAAATCTCTTGCCATAAGATTGTCAACTTTTAAAAAAATAAAAGCATCAAGTCATGCATGATAATCATAATTAGCAAAAAAAAAAAAAAAAAAAAAAAAAAAATGTTTGTTGTATAGAAAAATGTATCATGTTATTATAAGCAAATTCTACCAATAGTAAAAAAATTGTTTAATCATCTTATTGGTAGTTGATGGTATACCTCAAATACTACTCCAAATCCTGATTTACTTGCTTTGTTTGTCCATCAATTTTGAAGATGGAAAGTCAATGATAATTATGTCTACTTTTAGAATCTTGAAAAATGTTTTCAAAATCTTAATACAAACTAAGTTCCATTATTTTAAATAATATCCTTAAATAATTCATGATAGCGATAGATATTGTCAAGAAAAAGTTTGTTTGTTTCTTCACTTATGATAGGTTTTATACATCGTACAAAATATGCCATCTTGGTGAAACAATCTATTATCACAAATATAGAGTCATAAAAACTTGAGACTAGAATATCCATAATAAAATCCATAGAAACAAAAGACCATGGTTGTTGTTCAATGGATAATGGTTGGAAAAGTTTATAAGATTGTTGACAAGGAATTTTTGACCTTCAATAAATATCACATGATTGGACAAAGTCTTTCACTACCTTCTACATTTGTAGCCATCAAAAATCCATGGATATAAGTTCTAAAGACTTATTGTATCCAAAATATTCAGCTATTAGAAAGTCATGATGTGTTTAAAGACCACATATATGTACTTTTTCTTCTAGAATGTATAGGCATCTTTTAAAATAGAATTGATTGTTTTTAAATTCATACTTGAAAACATCATGTCTGGAAAGGACTTTTGACAAATCTTGTTGTTCTTTGGCTGGATAAATGATCTTAAAATTAAATATTGACAAAAACATACATTAATAGGCTTGATAATAATTCAAAACATGTGTTAACATAAAATATTTAAGATTCATATGGTCAATATAAATAGTGACTATATTAGAAGCACTTTTTAGATAATAGAGTCATTCTTAAAACAAATCCATAATTGCAAGAAGTTCTTTGACGTGAATCTCATAGTTGATCTTAGTTATTAAAAATTTTCTTGAATGAAAAGCTTTTGGATGGAGTTCATCATTTGTTCCTATTTGTGATAATACAACATCCAAAGCAAAGTCCAATGGGTGTGTTTCTATAAAATAATGGCTTAGAAAAGTGAACAAAATACAAGATTTGTATAGAAATAAAGATTGTCTTTAAAGCTTCAAATATTGCTTTTATTTCTAGATTCCATTGAAGTTTGTCTTTACAAGTCAAATGTATGAGTAGAATTGCAACTTCAGAGAAGTTTTTGAGGAAGATCCAATAATAGTTGACGAATTTCAAAAAATACAAGACATTACATATTATTATTAGATCTTTGAATTCATAATAGTTTGAACTTTCTTAGGATCCACCATAAGTCCATCATTTAAAGGCTGATGTTTGTCTATTGTCAATTGGCTGAGACATGTCCAGCTATATATTCAAAAAAAAGAAAAAACAGAAAAGTACGAAAAACGAAGATACCTTGTACTGTGCTGACAATGCAACCGATTCCATGTTGGAACGGTCGACTCTCCTTTTGGTTGGACGATGATAGATTACACGGTTATAGGACACATGTTGACAGGGCACATAGTAATAGATTGCATGGTTATTGAAGAGCAGTGATAAATCCCACGGTGATACCACGGTGCTGGTGCTGCGTCGTGCATACCCGTGTCCATTACCTCGCGAGCCAGCTTCGGCTCTTGTTTCGGTTGCGATCACGATTTTTGTGGTGGTGCATTGGTACTTGCATTTGCTGATCTATCACTGTGCTGCAACTTTTTCGTATGTGGGTTTCTACGAGAATTGTGTGTATAGGATTATAACAAGCTCCTTTTGTAAGTGGAGAGGGGGTTTGCAGTGCTCGGTTACAGTCATGGTGAATTTGGTTTGGAGTTTGGTGTTGACAATGGTACTGGCAGCTCTCATTTCGATCTCCTTTCTGCTTCCCATTTTCAATCGTAAGTTTCTCCGACTTGGGTTGCTGCTGCCTTTTTCCTTGGAACCCATGGGGGGGGGGGGATTGTGATTGAGGTTTTTTCTGCGTTGTTAGTGGGGTTTAACGAGGGTTAGTGCATTGGGGATCTCATGCGGGGCTTGGAAACATGAGTAGGGTTTAATGATGATGATGTTGTTGTTGTTATTTTTGATTGGGTTGGAGCAAAAGGGTACGCTGTGCCTTTATTTTTAGCTTGGTGCAATGGATTGCTGACTCATTTGGGTGAGAGAGTGGGTTTTCAGGTACGAACACGTCGGTCACTGCGAATGCCACTGTGAAGGTGCTGAATGCACTACCGACCCGTAAACACTCACCCCCATGCCTTGCGTAGATATATGTTGGACGTTAGGAACTTTGAAAGAAATTCCAGTCTAACGTCCAATGCGTTGCCTTGTTCTGAGCGTGTTTATGGCTTATGTCGTCTTGAATTAGGTCGACTGTGTCTTCATCTGGCACGTTCCCGCAGGAATCGAGTTTTTTTCATATTTTCAGCAATATTGAGTGATGTCGTTTTCATGGCAATAAATACACGGCTTTGAAGCAAAATGTTCTTAAAATACGTCTTTGAAACTGCATAGCTTGTAGGATCCGGTGTACAGCCAGGCTTGCATTAGTTTAGAGTTCAGATTTTGAAAGCTGTGCATGTTTAACAGGAAGAGGGGCCTTACTCACGAGCTGAGGTCGCAAAACATAACACAAGTACGGATTTATGGATCATTTTGAAGGACAAGGTTGGTTTGATAACTACTTGAATACGTTTATTTCAAGCATGTTCTGTTGACCTCATACTCGCTTGGAAAGTGTGCTTCTTTGCTCCCTCTGGGTTCTTCCAGAATTTGCATTGTTACAAACTCATCAACTTGATTTTCTTCAGTACAGTCAGCGCATCAACTTAATGATCAATTAGGGTTTATGTGCAGGTTTACGACGTGACTTCATTTGTGGAGGAGCATCCTGGTGGTGATGCCATCTTGAACAATGCCGGTGCAGACTCAACAGAAGGGTTCTTCGGGTAACCGTTTCTAACTCATTATCCCCACATGAGAATTTAACTTGTTTAGTCATTTTCAATCATTTCAAAGGAAACCTGGTGAATGTAGTGCTTTGATTGCTTCTTAATTACGTTTTCTGAGCGTGTGGAGGATATCAAATGGTGTCAATAAAGCATTAGCATTTGAGCAGAAGTTCTGCGTGTGTTGCTTTTGATATGCGTGACAGAAATTCGTTAATTTACTATGTAGATGTAGATTGCTTCATGTGGGAAATCCTGGATATTTGTTGACCATTATGACTTGGCAGACCACAACATGGAACGAAGGTTTTCGAAATGCTGGACGATTTTTACATCGGTGAACTGATTCAATATTCTCCTTGATTTATTGTCTTAAGTTTTGCACCACGTTCTTCGGATTTTTATCAGCGGTGCTCATACTGATTATGTTAGAGCTGCGTAGCTCGGTGGGATTGTAAAGTGAGCTAGCCAGACTGTCATGCCCATACTGTGCATACTTTGCACATAGTCTGAATCTATAGGTTGGCATGCCAATCGTAGTAAGAAATTGCGACTGTCATCTGAGCTTCATTTTCTTTTATTGGAAATGTCAAAATTTTCTTCTACGCTTTATTCCTGAAGGGTCTTTGATTCATCAAGAATTGTTTCTAGGGAGAGCTTGAACTCAATTTTAAGACTGTGTTGCCCCTACATCTGTTTTCTTGGACAATTGAACAATTCCATTCTGTGTTGCAGACTTTGGCTTTTTCATATTGAGAGTTGAAAAGTGATATAGCTCTCCCATTCCAATGTTTGCAGATCATTTGCTTGAAATGTGCATATTCATTTTTTTAAATGAAAGGTATTATGTATTTCAAATAATATGCAGAACTGAGATTGTCGGAGAGAAGTGGAAAGAAGGGCCAAAGCTGCACATGTTTACATTGGATTTGAGAAGCAATGAAGAGTATGTTAAAATATCCTCGTTTATAGAGGAATCTAGACAACGATTCAGATGCATCAACATCCATGAAGATGGACCATTATAACATTACATGATAGTTTTGTCACTCTAAAAATATACATCAATTTTTGCAATTCTTCAAGAGGTAAAGAGAAAAGGGAACATTAAATCAACCCACTTGTTCTCTATTTTGTTCCACGTTCATGTTGCGCCAATGCTTTGCACTCTCACTATTCTCTCAGTTTTGCACTTAGTGATGAGTTGACTCTGCGAAGAGGTGAGAGAGGGTGAGAATGAAACTCTTGAGAAGAGTTGTAATGAAGAAGGATTGTAATAGAGCAGGTCGGAGAGGGGGAGTAAAAATTTTAAATATGAGATGACAATTTCAAAGGAAGAATCAGGTATAGTGAAGACTGTTTCACATTGAAGGGAAGTTGGGGAGGTGTTAAAAGGTGAGCTGTGAAGAAGAATTATGAAGAAGAGATTTTAGAAGATGTGAAATAATAAAGATGATTAACAATAGTTTGTATTTTATTGGCATGGGGTCAATTTGAGCCTTAGGTGGATTGATTTAATATTCTCCTAAATGATTGACACTTAGTATATTTAAAAAACTATCTAAAAAATGAAAGTAAAAATAAATGAATGGCTTCTATGCTATTTAGAATAAAAAAAACTTCTATTGCATATTTTAAAAATTCTTAATCAATTAGAGATAAAATTGCAATACAATCTTTTGTAGGACCAATATAAAGTAATTTACAAACCAAAGTAAATTATAATTTAGTTGTTATATAAAACTTGCAAAATATCACATGTACAACTATATTGCAATCAATTCCTATCATTATGCACCATAATATATTTTATAATAATATTTTATTATTGAACTTTGGATACTAATATAAATTAAAATAATACAATTAATTTTTATTACAAAAAAAATAACAATATAATCATATAACATTAAAGCATTAATTAAATAAAATTAATTGATTTTCTTGCTAATTTTATTAATAATAAGATAAAAAAATATGTATTTCTAGTCCAATAATTAGTAAATTTGATGAATTATGAATTACTATAAGAACAACTGGTTTTTGCATCTTAGAATATTTTAAGATTTCTTTTAAACATATATAAAGCTGTAGTAGTAATTATTTGTAAATAATATATGCAGATATATAAGAAAAAAATATTTTTACTTTAAAATGAAAATTTTATAAGATATTTCTTAAAAATTCTTAAGAAAATAATATGCATTCATGGATTTAATAAATTCTTGTGATAATTTTTATAACATTAATTTATACATAAATGAAAAATATAAATTTCTTTTACATAATTTAGCAAATAATTAAAGAAGTATGTTTATGTTCTATTCTACAATATTGCATAGAATAATTTTAATGAAAAAAGTATGTAGTTTCTTTTATATCATTTTATTAATATTTTATCTATTATTCTTTTAGGTGTAAATACATGAATAAATAAAAATACTAAAAAAAAAAAAATTAATAGTTCTTTTAAAGGAAATAATATCAAATGCAAAATTACAACATTTAAGGTGTGGTGTTAACATTAGGGTGTGGCTTTACCAACTCTCTAAAATAATCATACAATGCAATATATATATATATATATATATATATATATATATTGATAAGTGAATTTTACCGAAATGCCAAAGTAGCCCCTAGCTTGCAATTCCTCTCTGCATTATCTTAAACCTTACTACTATATCTACCAATATTTGAATGTCAAGTTCTATCTATTGGTCAAGTGGACTTAGATTTTGCTTTTTGTACTGTAGATCATTATAAAAATGAATTCAAAGTCTTATAAAACATCAAAACAACTTTAAACCAATAACTTCAAATCATAAAACTCTATTTAAAAAACATATCATATCGTTATAAATAAAAAAAGTCCCATTCTAATTACAAATCTTTGTGTATAAAGTAAAAATATTCCTCAACATATTTATTTTCAATCCCAGAATCCATCAAGTATTGCATTCTACAATAAAACTTTCTATTTTATAAGTTTCTCTTTCCGTATTCAGTAAGAAGTGTTGGGAAGTCTTGACAACACCTAGACATTGATACTATACGATGTAATATACTTACGAATCGCTGTCTTTATCATTGTTTCTTTTTGGTTTTGTTGATCAAGCTTTACACTTTTGATCGTTAGAGCGCAGCGAAGCAGTTCAACAGCGGATGCGTTCCGCCGTGAGGGAGGAACATCAAGAGATGGAAGCCTTGGAACAGTACCGAGCCATGCTCGACGTCGCCATAGCCGAAGCACGCACAGGTCTAGGCGAGGACGGCATCCCGATCGGCGCCGCGCTGTTCGATGCCGGGGGGCAGCTCCTGGGACGCGGGCGCAACCGCCGCGTGCAGGAGAACGATCCTTCGGTGCATGCGGAGACTGATGCATTCCGGAAGGCGGGACGGCAGCGCAGCTACCGCGACACGATCATGGTGACCACTCTGGCCCCGTGCTGGTACTGCAGCGGCCTGGTCCGCCAGTTCAACATCGGCACTGTGGTGGTGGGCGAGACGGTGAATTTCCAGGGCGGGGTGGCGTGGCTGCGCGAGAATGGTGTCCAAGTTGTGGATCTCCAGTCTCGGGAATGCGCCGACATCCTCTCGAGCTTCATTGCGGCCAACCCCGCGATCTGGAACGAAGACATTGGCCACGACCTAGAGACGCCAAACCCTAATTCTTCTGGGGCCGGCCCTTGATTTAGCGCAGGAGAGTGTATTTAGTAAAACAATCAAATATCGTCCAGCTTGGGTTGCTTACATAATTCCTTAAGAATCTTGCTTGGTGTTAGAATAGTTAATTGTTCACTTCTTGCTTATGAAATCCAATGAAAACTTATTAGAAACAATATTTCGTATTGAATTTTTGTCAATCTAAATGATTAAGTACCATAAACTAATGACATACGTATTAGTTGCTTTACGAATTTTTATATAGATATATATACACAACTTCATCGTCAACTTGGATACTGAATGTAAAGTCAAGCATTTGCCGCGCTAACCATAAACCACACCGCATTCAATCATTTGTGCTGCGTGTCATCGGCATTTCATTACTAGTGCATCGTTCAACGGCAGGGTAGAGTGTCAAGCCGCTATTTTACAGGGTCAATGTAGTAGTTTACAAAAGGTGATGTATCTTACACCGCACACAAAATTCCACCATTGTAAGTTGAAGCCTTCCTGGATCTCCCATCAAAGTTGCTTGATGACGATTACACCAGGTAACTAGTACGAGCAGACTGAAGATTGGGCAAAGCATGGACAAGTATCACTGCGCTGCCAACCTAAGCAGCTCTTTGTGTTCATCAGAAACAAATGAATCTACTTTGAATTTCGGAGGGACCATTTTGTTCTTTTTGTCTCGTGGCCTGGGCCACACAGGATCAGGTGACAGATGCTTGATTCCAATTAAAGTGTTCAGACCTGAAATAGAAAAGAGTAAAAATTGAAACTTACAAACAAACAGCAGAATTATACGTCCTTCGAAAGGCCTCAAACACAACTGCAGTTGTTGTAAACTATTAACAAACAAATCTACATTCTGTACAAGATGCAATTGACTTTCTCAAATAGTGCGTAGAAACAAGAGGATGTACCAATCAAACAGTAGAATTCCAACTAGTACCAGTGCACCCATTCTAGTGGTGACAACATGCATTTGGAGAATTTCTTACTGGAATGGACACGCCCATAAAGCATTCTCTCCCCCCTCCACCAATCCAAAGGCTTCGATCTTATGCGTGTACTTTTTCGCTTTCCATCTGACCATTTCGAACCAGCATCTGCATAAAAGCCAAGTTTATAAATTTCAGATCCCGTGGTGAACTCATGACATTAATTAGTTGGTCAGCGTTAGCCGATCAAAATTATCTTGAACTGGAGTGAACTAGATTGTGTCAAATCACCGTTAGTCGAGAACATTATCTTACCCAAAGGGCTATCCACTTTCTTGGCTTTTGTGCCCTTTCTTGATCGTTTCGGCTTGGGTTTTCTTAGCACAGGAGTACATTCATCTTGTGCCTCAGCTGAACGCTTGGATCCATCTTTTCCAGGGGTAATCTACAAACAAAGCCAGAAATGTGATACCGCGTATGACGTGCTATTGATCCATCGACTTGATTTCATTTGATTTCTATTAATGTCTCAATCAAAAGTGAAGTGTTTTTCTACTAACCTAAGATAATATACTGAAATCTACAGCGTTAAACAGAAAATCACACTCATCTCATATACGATACTGATCGAGTGACATTTTACAATCAGCTACGAAACACACAAAACGATTCCGCAAACAACAATTACTGCGATCACTCAGTAAATCCAATCATGGAAGGAACAGCATTGTTTATTGATGATCATGTGTAATTACCAGTTCTTTGTCTGGACTAAGACGCCCGACGTTACCAGGAGGGGACTGGCCGTTGAGGTTGACATCGTTTGAAACGCTTTCACCTGAACAAGCATGTAGTAAAGCAGTATGTTACAGAGCTCCCAATCAGAAAACACAACAAAACGTTTCAAACGTTGTTCCTACGTTTACGCAGTACATCTAGAAACTCATATGCAACCTTCAACCCTGTCTTGTTACGTCATTAATCCGAAACAGAGAACTCTGTTCCACCTCCTGTGAACGGACGGAATGTTCTTGAAAAAAAACTATCATTCAAAGAAATGAAATGAATCTAAAATGGCAGCAGAAAAGACGGTACCATATGTGTTCGCCCTTTCCAGACGTGACTCATCCACACCTGGTGTCACCTGAGAATTGACGAAATGTCAAGAACATTCGAATAATATCAAGTTAAATTCACGAGAAGGTAATACTACTCATTGAACAGATTCACATTACGGCCAAGAGATTAGGTCCATTGACGTCTATCATGACTATTCTGACAGGTCCACATATACGGTACATTGTTTACATAATGTAAGAGAAGATCACCTGTAAAGAGTTCATAAATTGGTCAATGTGGACCTCGTCCTGCTGTGCTGGGGAATATTCCACAACTGAGCCTGCGATAGTCCCAGCATGGATATCATCTGTAGAACATAAGGTGTGCCAAATCAGTGCTTAAACTCACCGGGTTACAAAAGACATCAACCAAATTGATAGATATAAAAACATCTAATGTGTTGCATTTCCTGAAAGGTCAGGAAAAAATTCTGCAAGTTCTCTGTTCATGTGGACTTTCAGGACACTAAAGCCCGCCTGATGGCGAACATGACGATTTGGGAGATTACCGAAAAACAACATTCTAAATACCGCCAAACATTTATAAGTTTGCTGAAGAAAATGACTGACACTGTTACAGAGACCTTTGCCACACATCAGTTACTGTTTGATAGAAAGCAAGTGCACGTAAAATAAATCTACAGAAATAAGAGATATCTAATTCACCAACAAAAACAATTCCCAGGGACACACGTTACCTCTTGAGGGTGTCGAAGTTGTCTGACGCATGTCAATGTCAAGAGGGTCAATTTCCCTAGGACATTCTTTCAAAGCACTAGTGCCTTCTTGATCATTAATAGAACATGATAACACCTTTTGAACAATGCATGTCGTGTCATTGCTCATATCATCATATTCGTTTTCGTAATCCATTCCTCCTGCGTACCACAAAACATTAGTTAAAGACCGAGCCCAAATCAAATAACGCGAATGCAGACAAGGTACACGACGAAAAGACAATTTCTTACACTTAAAAAGACCGCGAAGTATGCCACAAGTTTAATTGTTAAAACGTGTAATTATACAAATTGCAATACAGATGAAGAAGACCACCACAAAAAGAAGAGAAACAGTAAACATGCGCATTCATAGCATACCATCGTGGCCGTCACTACTTAAAGCCTCCACTTCAGCGTTGGGAAGCACATCTTCATCGTGCGTTGATGTCTTACCATCGAGGAAGTCATTAGTTAGAACCCCCTGTCCCGCAATAGGAAACACACCTTCAGCGTACACTGATGTTTTACCATCGAGATCACGTCTTTTTCCACCCTCCTCATCAGTGCGAGGAACCACATCCACCTTGGTAGTTCTTTGCAACACCTAATAAGAGGGCACATCCACCTTCAGTAAAGTAGAGGCTTGGTGACAAAATGAAGAGGTGCTATAAAACCAACTCTTGCATCGCATAATTAAATTCAGTGGGGGCAATACCATAAGGGCAATTACTGAACCAACAAGTGGAGGCCAAGTTAATAGAGGCTACTCACTAAGATATTACGTACCCAAGGAGGTCATACACTGCCCTAAATCAACTTTTACTTGCTACTAGAGCATGCGGCAAAAGTCCCATTGAAAATTAAAGATTCCATGCACCCCGAGAGCCACAGAAGTCCAGTACAGATTGGAGAAACCAAGGCTGACATTTCAAAATAAACATTCCTGAAGTAAAAGCTGACCTGTTCGCTTTGAAAGGATGCTCTTGGCTGCCTGCATATGGGCCTAGTGGAAGGAGATTCCACTGTCGAAGAGTTTTTTTTCCCAACTAAACCATCTGACACAACAGTAGGAGAAGTGCAAAACTGCAACCACATTCGGCTAAGCTCCTCGCCGTTCATCTGCCTCATAAAAGGATCTCCGAAAAGAAGGCAGGGATTCCTTGGAGGCGTTAGGGACATTCCAAATGTATCAAAGGAGGGCTTCAGCATGAGGGGGGTAGCTGCCATAGAGTCATCTCTCCTCGGGACTTCTAATTGTAGAGACGGTGATCCAAAAGAACTTTTGGCCTTCTCATGGAGTCTACTCGGTTGTGCTGATGAACGCATCGGAGGCACTGGGCTTTGATCGGGCCAGGGTGACCCACAGGTTGTTGGAGTTGTTTTGCTATCCCCCCAAGCCTGCGTTTCTCGTTCATTATCTGTAAATGAATCCTGCGTTTCTAACTCATCCGGAGCGGCGTGGTCAAGACAGCTCGGAAATCCGCTGGCAGTTATCATTACATCCCTCGGCACTTCATTCAGGCTCTTTTCTGAGGAGGGCAAATCGGTTGATTGTAACCCCCCTTCACAAGATTGCACTGGTTCATTCACTGGTTTACTCGTGATGAATTCATTGGGTGTCATGGAGGAAGGCCAGCCATCATTGAATTGAGTGGCTCGGTCTACATGATCACTGAACATGGTGGGCGTTGGCATAACGTAGTCTGTGGTTTCTGGCACCTGGTTGGCTAATTTAGATGAGGATAGAACAAAGCGCCTTAGACCTGGAGAATGTCGCTTGTTATAGTACTCGCTCTCTCGTCTTCTGCGACTGGGATCTAGTTCCACCGACCAGACTTGAACGGCCTCCACAGTTTGTGCAAGTTCTGATTCAACTGCATGATCAGGGACAAATATAGCCACAAAAAGGAAGGAACATCAGAGGGGCATAAAAATGTCTTAAGAGCTGCGAAAGAATGGAGACACCAGGGTAAGGGGATGGATTACCCCACAAGAAACAAGTTAAATTGCAGATAACCACTACACAGGAAAAACGATTATACAAGACATTGAGCTGGTTCAGCACTAAGGACATACAAAACAAGCTTCACGGCACGGCACAACTAGCTCCTTGCTTGCATGGTAACAGAACTACTCACAGCAGCACTATCAAAATAGTAGACTCATTGTATATAATTATACGAGAGCTTGTAATAGAATGTCCGCATACACGGACTAGAAATAAAAAGATACACTACACCTCAACTATACAAATTACTTCGCTTGTAGCATGAAACAGTGGGATAATGTAAAAAGTGGGTTCTGAACTTACGTTCTTCCAAGCTTTGCTGGGGAGTGTCGTCGGCACTGCAACCTGTAGTTGGGAGATTTGCAGGAGTCAGCTGCTCGATAGCTGACGGACACCATTGCTCAACACATGTCAAAAGATGATTGGACACCACAGTCGCAACCTCAATCCTTTACTCTATGTCAGATATTTTGAATGCACTTCATTGAAGGTTCACAAGAACAAATGAGAAATTACCTACACATCAAGCGAAGCAAAATCTGAACGGGCTCGTCGCAGGGCGTATGACCAATTCAACAAGGTCAGCCAGGTTTCCGACGAGTGAGGTAGGAATAAATGTGTCCAAGAAGCAGCTCAAATTACCTTCGTTGGAATCGCTTGCTAGAGGTGAGACTCCAAGCTCCAAGATGACAGATGTGGACTCTGAAAAGAGAGCCTCCTGATTCAACCTCAGCTTGTCCTTCGAAACATTTAGCTGAGGGGTCGATAAGTCGACATATGCAGTTTCATCCTCAGTTTCAAGCCCGCCACTTCTCGGGCTCGACAGCTCCCAGTCCAGGCTACAGAAGGGTTCAGGCCCCGATTCACGGACATTTTCTTGCGCATCCACAGGCACTGCAGCTGTACAGCAGATCATGCAGTATTAGACGAGAAAACTATAACGTAGTGTGGTAAAATGTCGGTATACAAAGAGTATTCATTTTGGAGCAACGTGCTTTCCGTACACTTGATTGAAACGACTTAAGCATTAACATGCTCGACCAGCTCGAACATAGACTACCTTACGGTATAGGATTCACACCTGCCTCGCGTGCCACACTATCTTGAACAGGAACAATTGATCTTCCTTGGTCTAAGAGATTTTCCTCGAGCATCTCTTTCTCCGCATCTTGGTCATTCACCTCCTTCTCAACATCCTGGTCATGCATCTCCTTTTCAGTATCCTGATCATGCATCTTCTTCTCAACATCCTGCTCATGATTCTCCCTCTCAAAATCCTGCTCACGCATTTCCTCGTCGAGATATTGGTCGTGCATCTCCTCCTCGAGATACTGATCGTGGATTTCCTTCTCAACATGCTGGTTGCTTATCTCCTTCTCGAGATACTGGTCGTGCATCTCCTTCTCGAGAATCTGTTCTTCAAACTTTCTGAATGACTCTTTGATATCTTCTAGCTCACTCATACCAAGTGAGCGCCGAGTATATAAACTTCGTCTTCCACCACGTTGCCATCTTGCAGCTAGTACTTCTAAGGATACTGAGCCTGACTCTTGTTGGTTGGCAGGCTCCAGTAGTGACGGTTTTAAATTTACAGAGAACCTAGCTGTGAGTCAATAATGTAACACGAACGTATAAGCATCCTTGTAATTGCAACCTCTTGTATGTAAAGAAGCACCAGTTGCACACACTTACCATTGAATCTTCACTACGACTGCAGTCCATCAAGTAACAACCCCCAATAGCACTCGGACTATATGATATAACGCATACTACTGTATGGAAAAGGAAAGCAGTGCTAGTCTCCTAATTTCTTCTGCAGTGCTGGTCTCAGATAATCGAGCATGGTTAAGCTTGATACGGGAAGTAAAATTCCAGCATGCCTTCATGCAGCGAGTGTAGAAGGTAGCATCTCAACTCACCCTTATTACGAGCTCGAAATGCTGTAAAACTCTCCAGAATGTGTAATTTTGGCTCCTGCTGACCCACCAGTGTTGGTGCAATCTGCTCCCATTTTCCTCCGTCGTTGAGGGTCCTGCATCGCTCTAATGTAGCATTCTTGGACCCGGCAACTGTAGGAACATTTCTCGAGCTGCCTAACTCGATTGGAAATTTTGGTTGTTTGAAAGAGCAGCTCATACAGTCCATGTCATCTTCATATACGGTGAATGACTTCCTCTTATTTCCTTCTCTATCGGACCTGAACGTTAAAATTAAACAGGTAATCAGACGAATGCAATCTCGAACACATGTAGTGGCGAAGCCAAGCCTTCAGCCATGACGCCTGCCTTCATGTAGTACCCATGTTGCTCATTGTAAAAGTATGACCAGTGTCACAAGCCATCGCCTCTGAGCATTTGATTGTGAAGTCATCGTTGAGATGTCCTATATACCAATTACCCTGGTGCATGATTTCCGAATGACTGATCCAGCTAATTCGAATCGGTCTCTTAACTCCGACTATTGAACTTCCAGTACTTAAATTCATCAACACAGACGCTTAAAAAGCTAAGATGCTACGACAAGGAGAAATACTGGCCATGATATTCGGGAAAGCTTACACACAACGCACAAGCATTCGAACGCGCAGTGACAAGGAAATAATCGAAAGAGTTATGCAGTAATTTTACCTCGAGCTGAATTCGTAAGGACTGCCATCCAAATGAATAGGTCGATGTGCAGTTATGCGTCCCCTCCCAGACCCTCCCTTCCGCTGAAACCGATTCGTTATCACCCTCAGATAATGCGGTCGAGATTTGGACTCGCTAATGCTCAACCTACGCGAAATCTCCGCCTCTTTGCTCTTCGTGCCTGTCCCTTTCTTGCCCTTCTCCCGCACCGGCGTATTCTCCTTTTCGTTCACCACGAACCCCACCATGCCGCCCCTCATTTCTCACAAAATATCAATCTCTCGCGTATCATCCGATTCCCTATCGACCACTTTTCATTGCACCCGAAACCCTACACCACCAGCACCATCACAAAGCACAACTTCGTCTTCCTCAACACCTCAGCTTCCATCGCTACTACACCATCCTCGAATTAACATGTGATAACCAGCTCCAAACCACTTCAAAAACCTCCGCGAACTAACCTAACCACTACCTTCCTCCACAAAACCTCGCCAACAGCAAAAAATGAACAAAGCACGCATGAAGCTACCACATCGATCCAAACCAGTAACAGTCAACAACAGCATACATCATAGAGAACGGATAGCGAAGCTCCGGAGGAAGAGCAACACTAACAGATGAAGATGAAGAGTGAGGAGAAAGACTTTCATCTGAAAAATTCTCTACAACTACAGGAAAAAAAAAAAAAAAAAAAAAAAAAAAAAACTGAACTACGCGTAGCATTTGTGCGTAACGATCTGAAAGAAAAATAACGAGAAAATGGCCGCTGAACTACGCGCAATGCGGAAAACACAAAATGGAAGCTCATCAGGTGAGGCACCGTTTGAATGTTTGGGCGGGCGATAAGACCGTTGGCCCCGCCCATTTTGACCTCGCGCCAGCTCATCCCTTTCTCGAGTGCAGGCTGTCCACGTGGAAGTTCTGGAATTGAGTCCAGCTGGAGGGGTAGTTTGGTGACGTGGACATTGCTTTAGCTGGGGTGGCAGCTGACTGACTATTCCTGACACTGTTTAAAAAAGAGCATGATTACTAATTTCCTATAAGCCTCTAAAAATATATAATTCAACTCTTGACACGAAATAGTTTATTGTGATTTACTGTGCATATCATGATGTAGAACGCAAAATATCATTTGCACACTAAGACTATGTGTATTAGTTTTATTAAAATATGTACACATACAAATAAATTACTGGTCTAGATGCCTTTGCTTGTTTTGTTTATTAATTTGTGATTTACATGAAGATTCTGTGAAGATTTAACTGGATGAAATGTAACCAAAGTTTTAAAAAATAAAATAAAATATGATCGTGATTTTATAGTTGTTTAGATGTTACAGAAACATAATCTTGTGACCCAACAAAATTAACATAAATTTAATAGCGGTTTTGAATATTCAAACCATTCTTTAAAATATCATATAACTAATATTGGATTGTGTTTCACATGGATTTCAGTAATCGATAAATTAAAATTTTGGATATATATATATATATATTGTGTTATATAAAATTGAAGAAGAAAATCAACTAAACTGTTTATAATACCACCTTTGATTAGAAAACCAAATCATACAATAATAATTTTAAAAGTATCTTATTTGTAACTTTTTAGAAAACAATCTTGTTGGCATACAATCATGGGAAAAAAAAAAAAAAAAAAAAAAAAAAAAAGTTTAGAGTTACTTCTTAAAATATATATATAAATATACAAATGTATATCTATATAATTTTTAAAAAGTATCTATCTAACAAAACTATGTTTTTAATATTAAAATAAAAGGTGTTTGTCTATTTATTTTCCATCTGTTTAAAATGTCATATAATTATTCATACATTCATTCAACTGTGCATGTGTTCATCCAACTGACAATTCTTTAAGTATGGAAAATGCTCATGTCCTTGTGTGTAATAAATCTGTCTTCTCTACATTTCTCTAATTAAGTTTGTATCACAATTCTTAAATATAATGATATACTTGATCATTATCAATAAAATTTAAAGTATTATTCATAGATTTTTATTTGTAAGAATTATGTTTATTGGAATTCAATCACACAAGTAGATAGATTCAAAATATATATATATATATATATATATATTAGTATAGTAGGAATATTTTATTTTTAATATATATATATATCAGATATTTTTATTTATAACTGTAACAGCTTATATCAGATTTCAGATTTTATTCCAAACCCTAGAGAAACGGTCCTTAAGAATAGTAGTAATAATAACAACAACAACAACAACAACAACATAAAATTTATTAGAATTATATATATATATATATATATATAGAATTTAATTAATAGAACATTAAAGCATAACTTGGTAAAGTTAAAACTTCTGTAAAAATGCCACAGTTTTAGTTTCTAAAAATAAACATTAAGATCAAAATAATCTGTATAATAAAAATAAAAAAAACTTAGATATTTAATTTTTTTTGATATATACAATATGTTAACTTTCAAAAGAATTAATCAACTTTTTTGTTCTAAAGAAAAAATAGAAAGAAAGGATTCATGTTGCACAATGAGTCCTATTTTTAGCTTTATATATCTTGTATAACCATAGAGAAAGTTCGTTGTTATTTAAAATTCAATCAATGGACACATCTATCATACTTATACTTGTAAGTAATGGACATAAAAGAATTGCAATGTATTAAAATTCATTAATATTAAGCCAGAAATAACCATTGTAGGCTTGTTTTACTACAAAATATTTATTACTTCCCAAATTACCAAATACTTAGCCTAACAAGTAGAGTCAGGAATTTTAAAGCAAATGAAAATATTGTCTTAATCAAAGTAAGAGATATTGTTCTAAATGTTTTCATGCATCCAAGTATTCATATGTCCATATGTATACATGCATATGTCTGAATTGTATTACTCCTTCACCACACCTTGTGATCAAAGCTCAATATGTGCCTTCACTGACCAAAGCACGTTATGTGCCATCACTGGCCAAAGCACATTTTGTGCCTATCCCCAACCAAAGCACAATATGTGCCTTTACTGGCTGAAGCACGTAATGTGCCTTCACTGATGGAAGCACATTATGTGCCTTCCCCCAACCAAAGCACGCTATGTGCCTTCACCATGTCATAGCATGGCTTCTGTGTGTTCATAAGTGCACATCTGCTGTGGTCACCTGAACAACCTCCATCTGCATTGACTGGATACTTTTAAGGTGTAAAAATATTATGAGGTAATAAGGAAAATTGGATTTTGTGCAATGGGTATGGAGCAGATGGGTTTTAAGAACAGAGACAAAGATTGAATGTCTATTTGTATTTCTTTGTTCATTTGGGCTCAACAAAAGAGGAGAGAAACAAGACTTTTGTTTTGCAGGGGTTTTTTGGTCTAAGAATTGCTTATAGAAATGTAAGTTGTTGCAATTGAGGTGTAAGTATTTATTTATTTATTTATTTATTTATTTATAATGAAATGATGAGACATATTCCATGCAAAATATAATTTTCACTTAGTTCTTCAAATCCTAGTGGGATTGTCATGTAAACCTTTGTTGTAATTTTTCCATTCAAGAATGTTGTTTTAACATCTAAGTGTTGTAACTTCCAATGTTTTCTTGTAGCTATAGCTATTACACATCTAATGATAGACCATCAAACTATGGGGGCAAATGTATGTAGGAAGTCAATTCCATCTTCATGTTTGAATCTTCTTGCCACAATTTGAGGTTTTAATTTTTCAATTTTATTAATGGAACATGACTTTGCCTTAAATATCTACTTAGTTGATATAGAGGTTTGATCACTAGGTAAGTTAACCAACCTTTATGTTCTGTTTTTTATATGGAGTTTGTTTCTTAGTTTATGGCATCTTGCCAATCTAGAGTTTGCATTGCTTTCATGTAGTTTCAAGGTTCTACTTTTGTTTCAATTGTACAGTTAAAACAATCATAGTAGAGCTTTGGATTTGGATTTTTATTTCTAATGAGGTATCTATGTAGTTGTTGTTTGACATGATCTAATGGTTTTGGTAGTAAGGGGCTAGGCAATTCTAATTTAGGCAACTACAATTTGATATTTGGTGGCGACCAATCCAACAAGTTTAGGCCCAAAGCTTGATTTTTTTTCTATGTTAGAGTAATTTTGGGATGCAAATTGATCTTCAATTTCTAGTATTTATTGCTCTAGTGTTTCAAGTTGCAAGGATGTTTTTAAAAATAGAAATTATTTGTTGAATGCGAAGTCTTTAAAATTGACATGACTATATCATATTAGGTTTTCATCAAAGATAATGTCTCGACTTCAGAGTATTCTTTTTGCAAACATGATCAGACACTCTTTAGAGCTTAATTTCTTTGTCATAATTTACGAAAAAAAAAAACATTTGATGGTTTTGCTTTCCATCTTTGGCTTCAAATTTTTTAATATGTGAAGATAGGCTACTAAGCCAAAAATCCATAAGTGGTCTAAATATGGTCTAATTTTAGAATATTATCTTTTAATATCATATTATAATTAATATAGATAGAAGTTATATTAATAGCATGTTGACTGTGTTGACCAATTTTGCCTACAAGAGGTTGAGATAGTCCCTAATGGTGGCAATTGGTCTAGCCTTCTTAATAGTGGCTTTGTTCATGAGCTTACTATTACCGTTTTGTAAACGAGTGTAAGCCATGATGAACCATTGTTTGATTCCATGATTTCTAAGGTATATGCTAAAATCAACTAATAGATATTTTTTATGTCTGTTTGTTCTAAAGTAAAAAAATTATGATTTTTTTTTTTTTGTTTCTATTATTGTTTAAATTTCTTGAATTTTACTCAAGTTTCCATCTTGTATTTTATAAAATATACTAAGATTTTTTAGAAATAATCATCCATAAAAATAATATAAATTTTCAATCTATTTAATGATGGGATTCTATAGGTCCTGTTAAATTCAAATGGATGAGATACAATATCATAAAAGATTGGTATGGTGATACCTTTGTGAAGTGCTCTAAATGTTGGCACCCTGTTATATAGTCATGACAAACATCTTTCATTATATGAAATCCAGGTAAATCTTGCATTTTTTTGCTCATAATAAATATTGAAGACCTGCATAGTACAGGTGGTCTTATAATCTATGCCACAACTGCATATTATCTTCTAATGCAACTACATTGATTATTGTTTCTATTTATTTATCATGAAACTCGTAAAGTCTATTTAAGAAGTCTCAATTTTCAACTACTAATATTATTTTGTTTATATTGTTATCAAAAATTAAGCATTATTTATCTATGAATGCAATTGTATGTCTATCATTTGTTAACTCTCTAATAGACGTAAGATTGCAATTCAATATAAAGATGTATAAAATATTACTTAAATTTATTGATTCAAATTTTGTAGAGACACTAGATGAGCCTAAGACAATGATTCAATGGGATTTACTATTGATTGTCTTAACATTCTTATCCAAATATTGTTATATCTAATGAATCTTTTCTCTCTCTTTCTCTTTTTCTCTCTCTTTCTTTCTTTCTCTCCAGTGAAGTGGTTACTAGTCCATGAATCCATGTATTAATTTTGATTTCAATAATTAAGAAGGTTAGCTTCTATTGTCATATTATATTGAATGATTTAAATAAGCCTTTGACATAATTAGTCAAGACAAGATATTGCATATTATTATAACATTCACAAGCAATATAGCTAGATCTGCCACAATTGTAATAATACATAATTCTATTATGTCTAAAAATTCATACTTGAGGCTAAAGTTAATATTGTTAAGCTGTTGATAGGTGGTTTGTTGGCGATGCTCCTTAATGTTGTATTATATTGTATAGTTGAGCAAAGAAATCACAATTTTAAAAAAAATGTTGCGTATGTCCATGTCTCATACATTCTCTTCTTTTGAAGTTATTGCAGCCTATTCTTTCTACAAGTTGAGTGTGATAAAGCTGGACTATAAGTGCTTTTTCTTCTCTAAGTTTTTATTTGCAAATGGTAATTTTAATGTGTCTTAGTTAAAAAAAAATCATCACATCTTTGAAGCTTCGATCAGTCAAGTAGAAAATCCCTTTGATCACCATTTCATAACATTTGCATAAATCATTTAGTATGTTGTTGATAAGTGTATTTTTAGTGATTGTTTCTTCAAAGGCACATAGTTGATTTTGCATGTTTATTGCATTAGTAAGATATGCATTGATATCTCCACCTTCTTTGATCATCATGTTGTTTAATTTGTTGGTGATTAATAAGATTTATTATTGATATCTAACTTAAAACATCCTACAAAATCATATTTTGACTTTGCATGAATATCAATCTACCAGCAAATCTGCACACACTTACAATCTACACAAAAAAACATTCTAAAAGATTAAATTTTACAAAAGAGACCAAAAAAAAAAAAAACAAACAAACAAACAAACGAACGAACAATAATACACAGTACAACACAAACCCAGCTTACGAACCCAATCACAATCAAAGTTTGAAATCAGATTTTGAAAAACATCACACCAAAACAGTAATTCCATGCCACGGATGAAGAAAGAAACATCCACATTTATCCTCAAGTACGTCCAAAACAAAAGCGAGAAAAAAATATCACGTAAACGTACGAAAATACACAAGCACATGTTTCCATTTGTGCATTCGAGGGGGGAGAAAAAAGTATAATAAGACAAAGGAAGAATAACGAATGGAGAGTGCAGTCTCGGCCGACATTGTGAGAGCACCTCGCTCATCGCCACGGAAAGCTGCTTTTTCCCATCGCGCACCCATCCGCAGTTGGATCCCATTGCACTCGTGCACTGCAGTCCCATGAAGTATATAGCCCCTCGTTTCTCTCCATTACTGATCCGGGACAGGTGCTGTTGACTTCCTGGCGACAGGGGATCATCGGGCCTTCAAGATCCGTCTACTTGTGGTGATCGGGTGCCGCAGCTGGGCTGCTGCGGGGAGCTTTGATCGCTGCCAGGATGGCGTCTTCGTCGTTGCCCTTGGCGGTGGTTCTCCTGCTCCTGGTTTCTGCTTGCTCTTCCCAAGCTCTCCCTGGATACCGTGTTCTGCCTCACCGTTTTCTCGAAGCTGGGAGTGATTCTGGTAATTGGCTGTCGTCGCTTGCTTGTGGGATGAGCACTGCATGTTGTGGGCATGTTCAGGTTGAGGATGGAGTGGAGAGATTGAAGATTTTCCCCGATCTGGTGATTGGATTGTAATGTAGGGGTGGTTGTGTTGAATGTCGTAGTTTAGGGACTGGATGGGTACTTCGGATGGGATTTTTAGAGATGGGTAGTGATCGTGACAGCCTGGAGGGAGAGCTGTTCCTGAGCGGATGGTTTGAGTGGCATTGGTCTTTGTCCACTCTAGTCATCATCTGTTCTTGGACCGCAGTTGAAAACTGTGGATTCTTTTTTACTTTCTGATTGTGAGTGCGCTTATTGAAGTCAATTGTGATGGTGAGCTAGTTTCTGGCCATGTGCAGACAACTCGCGGTCGTCGGGAGCTTTGAAGAAAAACCTGCGGGAAATGTTGTCTTCTGTCGTTTCCTCTCCACCCCCTCATAAGTCACCGCATAAACAACATTCATCTCCACCGCCTGCGTGTCCGCCACCGCCACCGACACCGCCACCGACACCGGTAGCGCCTACTTCAATTTAATCTCCACCTCCTCCACCACAACCATCGCCGCCGCCCAGGATATTCTCACATCCACCACCCAGGATATAGTCTACTCACATCCACCACCCAGGATATAGTCTACTCACATCCACCACCCAGGATATACTCTACTCACATCCACCGCCCAGGATATACTCACGTCCACCGCACAGGAGACATCGTCCTCCACCTTGCGACGATTTCGGTGACCATCACTAGAAGTGATCTTCCACAGCAGGAATCGTTGAAAGCTGAAGGAACTTCTCTGTGGTCTACTCCTATTATTCTGTTAATAAGCGTAGAATAGATAGCAAATGTACATCGTTGCAGAGCTTCTATTCAAGTGCCAAGATATATTTATTTTATTTTATCTTACTCGTCTCTCTGATCTGTTGTGTTCGGTGTAATGAGTATCCGGAAGTCGAGTCCCGTCTGTGACTGGTGCAGAACTTCAGGTGCACAGGATTGAAATTTTTGTACTTTGGAAAAAGGTAATTTGAAAGAAAGCTTATCGTCAATTCAGAGACGTCCTTTACAATCTGGGACTGAACGTCGAGTCCACATTTTCCTGTGTTGCATCGCAAGCAGGATTTGTGTACACGATAAGTCTCCACCCAAACGGAAAAAAGAAAAGCGCTGCAGATCATACTTCGACCAGCAGTGATTTGGTCAATTAGATAAGGTCAACGCTTGCTACACTGGAGAATCAATGCGTGCTAGTTTCGACTTCGCAGAATGAATCGATCTGTTCTCAATTCCCGAAGCTTGCACAAACAATTTGATTGAGGAGCCAACACTGATCTCCGATACAAATCTTTATTGAAACAGAAAAGTCAACTGCAGAAGCTTGATAATGTCAACCTGACGCAGCGACATGCTTCGTCTTCAATCATGCGTGAAACTACCGAGAATAGGTTCTAATCTATATCATGCACTTTATCGCACACTTAAATAGAATGGCAATAAATGTTTTGGTGTATGCAGTTTGTAAGTGTTAGTTTACATCAAACCACTTGAAAATCGTTTCTATCATGGGCCCATCGTGTGCCTCGGACCCGACCCAGAACGTTTGTGCTGGCCTGGGAACATCCCACTCCTCGCATTCACCACCAAGTTGGCGAGGAAGTGGCTGACCAATTCTGATACGTCGATCGACCTCCATGGCACTAAATGGCGAGACCAGCTTCCACGTACCATTACGTTCGATTGGCGCAACACCTGGCATAAGAAAAGATCTCAGAAAGACGGAGCATTCATCTGGAGCCTACATCGTAAGGCAATTGCGGGCAACGTCTGGCGCAGCAAGGTATGTGCCACCATCGACACATCATGCCCATTTTGCTCGAGATCGCCTGAATCCATTATGCACCGATTTTGGCATATTGCCACAGAGCCACTCGCATATGGTCCTGGTGCTCGTCACTGCTTTACCAGCTGCAGCGGAAACCCGCTGCCCCAGCGCCATTGTCTCTTCACCAAAAACCTTCCCAAAAGATTCGGCAAATTTAAAATTATTTGGACCCTTCTACGTGGAGTTACCCTGTGGGAACTCTGGCTGGAAAGAAACGCCATGGTGTTCAATACTGACGATTGGTCGTTCACCCAGGTCTCGACTCGCATCTGGCAATGCTTGCAAGACCATGGCAAAATTGAGGGGAATCCGCTGAAACAGATGCTGCCGGACGACGGTGCCGCACCCGATTTCTGTTTTGAGCATTTTGACACCACCTGGGGAAGTAATTGTGTGCTGTGCACTAGGATGAATAATAGCATACGATGGCATCACAACAGCATTAGACACGGTAGTATCTTCTCAACCCATCCCCACAACGCAGGGCTGTACTATACTTCCATCCGAGTCACTAGTCCAGTCAAAACCCAGGCGGGGGTTTTGTTAACTCTAGCTCAGCCTGGATCTGTGTAGGTTACTCCCAGCAATGAAAAGTTCTGCATTTGTACCAAAAGAAAGAAAAAAAGAAAACACGTGAAGGTATCTACAATCTCAGCCACTAATGAACGCCATCCACTCAAAAACAGCCCATGCACAACCGAATGAACGGAACCCAAAAGAGCACATGTCATCCACGGAGTTGCGGGATCCAAGGGTGAGCCTGCGCGGTGGTGGGAGAGAGTCCCCCAATAGACTGCACAATTCGATGCAGGAGGATTGGAGGGTGTGTACCAGAGGCGATGTGCTGCAATTGGTAAGCCTCTCTGTCGCCTCTCTGCAGTATTTTATTCCCATGTGACATGAATTGGCCCTTTGGAGATTCACTGGCTGTCCAGAATCACTGAACGAACTAATACGAGAACTGGTGTGGTTTGGAAGAGGTTTTCGGTGCCAGATGGCAGGTAATAACGTGAAACATGTGTGCTATAGTGCTGAATTCGATGTAACTGCACAGGATGTTGTGGTTTCCACGACGTCGAGAGAATTTCTCCATGTGGCGATCGTTGGATGCTGTTTTTTCTTGTTTTTTTTTTTTCGTTTTTTTTGTTTTTTTTGTTTTTTTGGAGTGATGTACGAATTGTGTCCGAAGAATTTTTTTTTAGCGGCTTCTTGTATTTTATATTGATGTTTGTTTAGGGTTTGTGGGCATTTTACGTCGAGAGTCTGTTGGGTACTCTTGGGTTGCGATTGGGACATGTGCTGTTCATGAGGGTCGATATGATTGGCGCATTTGGGCGTCTTGTTACGTGTTAGTATGAATTCTTGTATGGATGAGCTCAGGATCTGTTGTTGCTGACCTTTGTGGCCGTGCGAGAGAGTCATTTGTGTGTTTAGGATTTGGACAAAAGTTCATCGTTATAGCTCCCAAATGTCCTACAAGAAAGAGTAGATGCTCAGTTCACTATTCTGGGAGAAGTCCAATCTAAGTGTTGTTGAGGATGTTCTCTCAGTCGAAATCTATGCATCTTGATAGAGCTGGTGCTCCAGCTGTAGACCACGAGGTCTATATTTTGATTGTTGGGACTATCATGTTTAATTGCACTTAGCTTTGACTTTTCTTGAAATGCCAGATTGCCCATCTTGGATTATACTGATGGATTCAGATTTTGTTGCCAGATTTTTCATCCTGCTAATGTATCTGGATCGTATCGTATCCAGAAATAGCCCAACAAGAGTCTTTTTTTTGGGTTAGGGTCTCAAATTATTACGGTTTGATTGTGGTGCAGTTCACTTTGAATGGCCGTAGATTTGTGAACTCGGAGTGGTTGTTCGGTTTGATATAATTATGAATCTTGTGCAACACTACTTAGTGCGTTCAAACCGAGTGCGATTATTGACTGGGACAACATCGTTCCGATCCAAGGTACCGTATTGTACACCTTTCCCAGTTATTTGCATATTTAACTGTGCCCTGATGCGAGCATCCACGGGGTACATCGAGCAGTGATCTCCTTCTTGTTGTGATTCTTGCACTGTCACGTTGCACTTCTTTTCACCGGAATGCTTTCCTCTCACTCATGCTGACTATGAAAGGCGTCGTTGTTTAGTGGACTTCTGTTAATAATGACAGATATGTGAACAAATGGCCTGTATGTAAAAACATGCCTAGTGTCGCGCGTGTCAGCGAATCTACCATATGTCAACGCATTATGTGGATTTTATGGGGTATTGCATTCGGATTGTGATCCTTTTTTGTCCAATTTTTGCACCGATTTCAAGTTGTTTAGCTACTTCGGGATTCTGAAACTTCGATGTGAAACTGATTTACAATTTCTGTTCTCTTCAGAAAGCATTTTACAGCAAACATGAGCTCCACAAATTCAGGCCCGATCAATGGGACTGAATCGTCTGTACCTTCGAGAGCTGTCCAAGTAGGGAGAGTGCGTGAAGTAATGAAAGTGCAACCTATGGACACTGCTTGGGACCAGCTCTGGAAAGAAAAGGTTACTCCCTGGGACCTACAAGGTGTAACCCCCGTGATTTCCCAGTTGCTGAAAGATAACAAAATTCGAGAGGGCAAGGTTCTTGTGCCTGGTTGCGGCGGTGGGCACGACGTGGTAGCCATGGGGAGCGCTGCCCGACGCGTCATCGGCCTGGACATATCAAAGACAGCTCTGGAACATGCTGAAGCGTTAGCCCAGAAAAGCCTAAATGCTGAGTTTGTAGAGTTTGAGAATGCAGACTTCTTCTCGTATACTCCACCCTTCAAATTCGACTTCATTTTCGATTATACGTTTTTCTGTGCGCTGGATCCAAGCCTGAGGCGGAAGTGGGCCGAGAAGATGGCAGAGCTCCTTGCATTGGATGGGGAGCTCATCACTCTAATGTTTCCCCTGGATGATCATCCAGGTGGGCCTCCATTCTCAGTCTCCCTTGAGGCCTACCAGCAGGTTTTAAGTCCATGGGGTTTTCAGCTCGTATACTGCAATGCCAACATTCCTTCTGTGGAAGGACGAGCAGGAAGAACTCGCGCTGTGGGCGAGAGCCATTTCTAAAGCTTGAAGTTTGTCGGTTTGACGCTCGAAGCATATGCTCAGGGTCCAAAATTTGTACAAGTTAGCTACCACTGTTGGGGTTGTACCTACTTTGTTCTAGTATTTCACATTTCCAATTCATAGTGTTGTCTTTACAGTAACTTGTCTTTACAGTAACTTGTGGCAGAAAGGCAGAAATTGAGCCATTTCCAGTACTTTTTGTATCAAAAGCTGTTCTTTTCCAAATTACATTTTATTGTTTTTGAAACTCTATGTAGTCTAGACTCATTAAATGACCTATAGAGTTTAGATATTTTAGGTGTTTTTTATGATGAATATTTTACATATCTGTAACATTTCAAAGAGATTCCCAATTAAAATCTGAAATATTTTACAATTGAGACTTTGACATGAATCTTGTTGTGAGCCTTTTTGTTCTTAAAATTGAATTTTATTCAAGTTGCAAACATGAATGTGCTAGAACAAGGAAGGGAGGGAACACTTTGTGGAACTTGGTATATGTTGAACAAGTACTAATTTGCAATATAAACAATATGGTATCATTCAACACTCTTCTTCAAAAGTAGGATTTAATTCTCTACTAAAACAAGATCTAACTTATATTTGAAAGTTAGAAATTTATCTATAAAAAAAAATTCATGAAGATGTTTGTTGCCATGTGCTCTTTGGAACAATATTCCAATCCAATCTATTCTTTTTCTAAACATTGCCTATTGAAATGGTGTTTTGTATCCCAATGCTTTGTATGACCATGGTGTGCAAGATTCTTGGTAATAGCAATGACATTTTGGTTATTCTTATAAATGAGGATCTTCTCTAAGTAAGGAATGTCATAATCCCTAAGTACTGTAGAAAGCTACAAAGTCTCCTTCATTGCAGTGGCCAAAGCTACATATTCTACTTCTATTGACAAAATAGAAAATAATGATTACTTCTTGTTTGACCAAGTGATAATTGTGCCCTCCAGTATAAATGCATAAATGCCTATTGAGCAATATGCTTCTATACAACCTATTCCATTTGCATCACTATAATCCATAAGTTGTAGATTTGCTTTTTTACTTCTATATTGCAATATCAAATCTTTTATTTTTTGCAAGTAATAAAATATTTGCTTGATCTCTTACTAATGAAAAACATATGGATGTGCTATGTATTGAACAAAGTGTTGACAAGCTAATGCAATATTGTACCTTGTACTATTTCCAAGGACCAATAACAAATCTAAAGCTTTTTTTTATAAAACTTTACACTTTTTGCATCCAAAAGATTATTATTCCCATGGTTTGTGAGATGACCTTCTACTATCAATGTAACAACTACCTTTGCATCTTTCATCCCAAATTCTTCCAACTTTTGATAAATATTCTTAATTTGGTTCAATCTAATAGTACCATTCTTCTTATCTTGTAAGAAATCAATGCAAAAGAAATGATTAGATTCAGCAAGGTCTTTCATCTTGTAGCACTTTTGCAATTTATTCTTGCATTTCACAAGGATCTCAAAATTCTTGCCACTAATTCTTTACTATATCATCAACATAAATAATCAATGCAAGGACTAATTCTTCAAGGTACATTAGGAACAAATAAGGATGTGATTTTGAGCGTTGTCATGATGTAATATACCTAATAGGTGAAAGAGTGAAGAAAATATTAAATTTTAAAAGATTTTATTTCAAAATATTATAGCAAATTATCTTAGAAATATACATAATAGTCAAAAGATAGTAAATTAAAGGTGCAAATGCTACTTTTTAGCAAAGTAAGTTTCTACTTATTTTTAGGACCATAAATAAGGCAAAATAAAGTAGATTAGAATAATAAAGAATATAAGCATATGCAAGGAAAAGTTAAGAGCTTATTTTAACAAAAATTACCTCAAGAAGATAAAAATTGATACCTAGAAAGGACCAATTGTCAACATGGGTCAAAATCAAATCCCAAGATACAAAATTATATACCTACAACGACTTCAAGGTTTTTTTGCAAATCAAAGAATAGAACTTGAGAGAAAACTTTATAAGGTTTATTTGAGCATTGGTTCTAAGTGATTTGAGTTTGTATTGACTTTGTAAGAATTTTGCTAAGTTAGGATTGTATTAGATGACTCTGAGTTTCAGAAAATAAAATAGGATTTATAATTTAGGAAATTTCATGAGTTTTGTAGCAGATCTATAAGTGAAATTTTGTAGAGTTGTGAGTAAAGATGTGTTGAATGTACATTGTGAATTTGAATTTAATCAAATTGATGGATTCGAGGTTATTGAAGTTCAAGTTGGTTAGAATCTTGGAAATTGGATTTTTAGGTCCAATAAGGTTATCTAAGATTTACAACAATTTTCTAATTGGATTGAGATGACTTTATTGGAATTAATATTTGACTTGACTTCCAACACTTGTGCAAAATTTGAAAGAAAGTTAATAGTTCAATTAGGAGTTATTGCTATTGAAAGATCAACTTTAAGACCAAAAATAAAGGCCAATCAACATCCAAGTGCATTATGACATTTTTCTCCCATTTTATGATTTTGATTCTCTTCAAATTTGTTGTGCATGTTTTTAACTAAAATATTCAGATGTGTATAAAATTTTAAAAAAGATTGATAGTTTATTCAATAGATAATGAGGTTCTAAAACTACCTTAGGATTCAATGAAATGATTAGGTTTTGGTTAGGATTTATTTAGGGATTGATTAAGATTTAATTTAAGATTTAGGATCTAATTAGGATTTTTTTTTTTTTTTTTTTTTTTTTTTTGGAATTCTTCAGTATTTCTTTAGGATTTTTTTTAGGATTTCATAATATTTTTAAAGATTTTTTGGATTTCTTTAGGGTTTTTTATTATTTTTTATGATTTCTTTAGAAGTTCTTTAGGATTTCTTTGTATTTTTTTTAATATAATTTCTATGAAAATTTAATTGGACTTGAATCAATATTTGATTATATTTTTTAGGCTTTAATTACATTTTATATATGATTCTATCAGAGTTGTTAGAACTTGTTGTTGCAATTTTCTTTTACCTTTCACAACTAGGTGCCTACTGCATTTTCAAGTACAATTTCACATTATAGCATAGTGCTTCGAACCAAGATTCAATAAAGATCTATCTAATTCTTTTCTCATCCATGTCCAAATTTCTTCAAACTATATAAAGTCTTTAGCAATTGTAACACCTTATCTTTGCATTCAAATAGAATTTCCAATCTTTGTGGAAACTTTATGTAGATGTCATTTTTTTTAAGTTCATTATTCAAATAAGCTGAAACAATGTCAAATTATAACATATTCCAATAATGGATAGTATTAATTGTAAAAAATATGCAAATTATTAGAAGACAAGTAATTCATGCAAAAGTCTCTTAGATATCAAGACCCTTCACTTAATTAAAATCTTTTGCAACCAATAATATTTTAAAATATTCAATATAACCGTTGTTAGTAAGTTTTATTTTAAAAGTCCATTTTAAATTTACAACCTTCTTGCTATTGGATAAAAATAAAAACTCTCATATACCATAATCTTTCATGAAATCAAGTTCTTTTTTTATGGCAAGATTCCACTCCTTGCAAAGGAGTGACCTCATGGCTTGCTAAATAATTTGTAGTTCTACATATTCATCAATAAAAACAATATCTATTGTTTCAATTGATAGATCATAATCTCTTCAAATAGAATTGTTATTATTTTTTCTAGAGATGTAACAAATCTAATTGCCACTTATAATATTTTCTAAATCGATCCTACTTATATAACAACATCTTGTCAATAGAATTTGAGTGGTTGCCTCTACTTTTGGTTAATAGAATTCCATTACTTCTGCTAGTATAGAATTTACTTCCTTCTCAACCATTTTTCTACCAAATCCATCATGTGTATATGAATTTTAGACTTGAAATTTGGATATTTCTAATTTATTTAGATGTTAAAGATCAAACAAATCAAGATTGTTTCTATAATTCCTATCTTTTCTACTTTTTTTTTAAGGAAATAGTGACTCATCATGCAAATCATCCTTTTGATCAAAGAAAATCACATCTCAATTAAAATTCACCTTCTTTTCCTCATGTAAGAAGATCTCATATTCTTTTGCTACATCTAAATATGCCACAAAAATATCCTTATTTACCTTTGCATCAAGTTTTTGATGCCTTTCATTTGGTACGTGATACATTGTAAAGAATACCAAAGAAGATAACTAAAAAAATGTGCATATTGAAGAAAAGGTTTTTCATCATGTAGTGTCTTACAACTAAGTCTTATAAGTAGAAGATAATTTTAAGTTTAAGTCACATACTTAGCAGCAAACGCTCAATATTAACAATCCAACTTAATATTGTCTAAGATTGTTTGTAGTTTGAAGAAATATCAGGCTTTTGGATATAAGATATTTTAGATATAATGCTTCAATCTTTCAATACTATTCATTTATTTTGCCTCTTGTATTGTATGCATTGAAGCATGTGCTAATGCATAATGTCATTCAATAAGTGTACAATCTAAAATAATGAACTAGCAATTTTGGCAACTTCTTCAATTTCACAAGGCATAAAATAAGCTTTACCATTGAGTGTGCCTTATGTGAATAAGTCCCCAAAAGAAAGAATCTAATTAACTTTATTATCATCCAAACTAAATTTGCAACCTTTCTTATATAAGATTGCATATGATAAGAGAGTATCATGTACTTCAAGAACCTAATGTACATTCTTCACAACCTCAAGAATATGTTTTTCTTTAGGATCCAAAATTGTGAGGTGCATCTCAGCTAAGGCTTGTGATTTGTTAATGCTACAATTGTAGCCTTAGAGTTGAATAGTCACATTTTTATTAAAATTGAGAAGCTTATTCTTGTCTCCTTAGATGTGTACATCCATTGTACTTACAATACAAACATAATGATATGATTCAAACAACAATACATTCATTTTTTGTAACTTACGTGATGCCTTTTGGTTTGAAAGCACAACAACAATCCTAACATTTAATGTATTATTATTCTTTGTTCTATGGCTCTTTACATCATCTTGTCAATGTCCATTTTTTCTATAAATCCTATAAGTGTTTTTAAACTTATCAATCTTAGGTTTCTACTTTTCTCATGCATGGTGCTTCTTCAAGTCTTGTTTCCTTCATGCATGCATTGCTAAGGCAAAAAATAGAGAGCTAATCTTCTCATTTATTTGCATCTCTTCTTCAAAAAATATAGATTGCACCACTTCTTTTGTGATTTCTTCTCATATAATTAATGTAATCAATTTATTAAAGAAAATTTCATGATTCTAATAATGCAATAAGTATAAGAAATGCCATGCTTTGTTTATCCATTTCACTATTGAATTCAAAGTATTAATTCCTAAAATCTAAAAAAAATGTAAAAAACTATCCAATGATTTTTCATCAATATATCAAAGATTGTGATGTTTCTTCATCAAAAATATTTCAGTAATAACTCCTCAAGACTTGTGGATCTTAGAAAAATATTCCAATCTATTCCACATTTCTTTTGCAATCTTACATTTGCGTATATAAGTCAATTGTGAAGCCTCAACATTGAGGATAATGAAGGCTTGTGCTTTTGCTTTGCTTGATTTCCATTTTGATTTTTCATCCACATTCATAGGACATTTCAATGTCTTCTCTACATGCATGTAAAATTTACAAATGCACATCAAATGCTTCATAACAAATGTTCATGTGCCATAGATTTTTTCATCTAAGTAATTAATGAGATGATTAATAGAAGATGATGCCATTGCAAAAATAACTAATGCAATAGCTACAAACAATAAGCTTGTTCAACAATAACAAATCTTGTAGTAGCTATAGAAGAGAAATTTACAAATGTTGTACAAAATGCAATAATAGAGGATGGTGATTTCAGCTATGATAGAAAAAACAATACTTCTTCAATACTAGCAACGAATTAACTCTATTAGAAGTCAAAACTTATAGTAGCAATAGCGCAAGGCTCCAATGGTAGTGCAATAGCAAGGCTGCAATAGCAACAAGATAAGAATAATTCATCTACAAAGAAAATTTATTCAAAAACTTCATGTGGTTTTTCATCCAATAATTTTCACCTACAATACTTGTTCATCCAAGGCTTTGATATCATGTTACAAAAATAGAAACATGAATGTGCCAAAACAAGAGAGAGGAGGAAGTACTTTGTGGAGCTTATTATATATTAGACAAGTTCCAAGTTGTGATACAAACAATATAGTATTACTTTCTCACATTGGAAAATTTTACACCTTATATAATTTATTTTATTTTACATTATACTTTCATCATTGACTTATATCTTATAGTGCCTTCAAGAATTTTCGTTAATAATACTTTAGGTTTTTCTAACATAACACTTTTTGTGTTAAGTGAATTTATTTTAAAATTTTAAAATCTAATCTATTGTTAAATTTAAGTTTTGATAGTGATAACATTAAGTTCAAAGTTAGTGACAATATGGTTTAGAAGTTTTTACAATTAAATCTAATAATCTCTTAGAATTATCTATATGTTTTTAATTTTTGAATTACTTTAATGGTACATAAGTGTATTTGTAATCTTTTACATGTAATTAATAGAAGCTGAGTGAATCATTATTCCATGTTTGCCTTGTGTTTTACTCCTTCAACCATGTTCTAAGGTTTTAATTTTAGTTCCATTAAAATAAAAATACATAAATATTAGCTCCATCAAAAACAACATATATCATCTTTCATTCCATTAGCCATAGTTCTTTTTGTTTTAATTATAAAAAAAATACAAAATATATTGAACTTCAAATTTCAAGAACTTCAAACCATAAACTGAATAAGTAGCACATGGTAAAGAAAAAGAAAAAAACTTTAAAGTTATATGAGAAATAATAATATTGGTGACAACAAACACCACAATATGTTTTTTTAAACAAATGTAATGAATTTCATGGCACTAAAACCAGCTCAAGTTAATTATTTTACTTGAGTTCTTATGCTGAATGATCACTTTCGCCAGGAATCTAAAAGTTCAAAGAAAACCTTGTGAAATTTCATGACAGAAAGACATGATTCACTCACACACCCATCAAAAGTGCATATCTTATTTAAATGGGGCAAGTTTTGACTTTCTAAAAATCCAACATGATCCACAAGAACAACGCTGGTTTCGTCTTGCATACACATTGACAGGGAATCAAAATTCTTGAAATTTCTTCAAAATTAAAACACATTTATTAACGAAAGAAAATTCAGTTTCTTTACTTCTTTCCTATTTTGTTCACAATTGAACACAGGTAATCAATAAATATTTCCCCGTCGAGAATGTTATACATCTACGTTACAACTTCCATAGTTAATGATTTCAAAACCTTTCAACAACCAGTTTTGAATCAATGTATCAAAGCTTTATTCTAGCAATCTGGCAGTTTAGCAGATGGTCACATGTATGGAAAGTTTAGTGGTTAAACTTAGAATGCACAAGAAGTGATAGCATCTACATATTAGTGTAAGTAGATCTCGGTGAAGCAGAGCATCTAATCATTCATGGGGTCATCAGGAATGTCCTTAGGGTCTCGCTTGATCACAATTACAGGACAATCCACATGTTTTGTCACGTAAGAACTCACTCCAGCCACGAACATCCTGTGCAGCAAGAAAGTTAATTCCTTGTCAGTCCCACGTGATTCAACACATTCATGACAAAGGCATCGGACCCAGTACTAAAAAAATAATGCAAAAATAATAATTAAGATGTGGTTACACGTTTGGCTCAAAACTTTGAACACAAACCCAATCAAATTTTATTTATTTATATGAAAACGCCCACTTATTTTTTAGGCATCCACCAACTTGAACCAAAGAAGCCCGAATAATTGCAGTCTATAGATGGAGACTGCAATTGCTTTCTCCATTATACACTCATGTCCAAATGGGATCAAAGACTATTACCAATAGTGATGTTTACTGGTAGTTATCAATTTTGTTTCAGCTTAACAAGCACTTGCAGCTACCAGCCAACACTTGGTAGATTGCTTTTTGAGACACTTTGTACGTTAGAAAAAAATTGCAAAAATTCTTCCACTAGCATTTCACTAATAAATTTTATACCTTTTGCATAATTTCTCAATTAATGAACACCAAGACAGATAGCCTAGCTCCGCAAATGTCTAAACAAGAAAGAACATTGTGTTTGTAATGTTTCAAGGTGAATTTTCATATTGTATCTAACCTTTGTATCGTTCCAAGACCCCGACTGCCAAGGACCAGCATGTCAGGGTTCTTCTTCTTCACCTCCTCGCAGACTACTGCCTTTGGATCTCCCATTTTTATCCATCCTTCACACTCAATCTGCAGCTCTAACATGCAGATAGCGTCAGAACGAAGCACGTACTTTTTTCATGGCGTAATGAAGTCAGGTTCATTGTTCGAACAAAACGCTACTCGAAGCAACAAAGCTGTAAAATCATCTCGTTAACGATGTTTTTACAGGTGCAGAACTGTTACCTTTTTGTATACTAATAATAGAGGCAAGTGAATTTGCAAGCAGACTTAGCATGATGTCTTCTAAAATAAGTACCTCGCTGTCGTGGCATTTTTGGATAAAATATTGGATCAGAGATGCTCCTTTGGCACGCTCTTCATGCCTCAGATGCTGAAAGTCACTTGGACTTGCATAGACGCTGTCGAGTTCCTTCAATCCTGAAAACATCGAACTGCTCAAATGTCCATCCTCTAGAAACAGGAAGAAAAAGCATGATTAAAACGAAAATAAATATTAAATAATATTTAACACAACAAAATCTCCAGTGAGAAAAATGCTACAACTGCTGCATGCATCTTACGCCACTTTGCAAATCTAACAATTCAGCTAAATGAAAAGATAGGGCTCAAGGGCCTAGGAATCACTTGGTGACAATGATCAATACACAGTGGATCGATCAATGCAATAATAATACCGTAGAGCGGCAGAAGGTTACCACAATGAGTATTGCTATTGATGCAATTTAAGTCTTAGAGTAGATGGTAAGCAATCGCTACTAAAAGATCATAGAACTCCAGAAAGGCGGCTGAAGTACACACCATCTTCATCCAGCACTTGTACATGCAGAATGAGCAGTTTGTACCGCTTCTTACAGCAAGGCTTGATGAGATTCTTCACAATCCAGTCAAAAGCCGCGCGGCTGCTGATGGAGGGCTTAGGGTATCCCTTACTACACTGGTTTACGGCGATCATCACCCTTGTGCATGCTTCATCGGTTATGGGTAGGTCTTTTTCGGAATGTGTGATTTCTTCTTTGGCAAGGTCTTCTGTCATGGGAGAGTCTTCCTTCGTAACTGGCTCGATTGATTTCGGAGTTTCTTCCCCTGCCATTTAGGACCCGTTTGCTAAATAACAAAACCTTAGTGCCTGCGAAAAGGGTTTAAATCAGACAAACCCATTTAATATTATATTTCGCTATAATTCTTTGCAGACGGAACAATCACAAGCATGAATGTCTGTACTCAAGAAATAAGACAACATGGGTTTGCTTCTAAGTGAAACTTCTGTAAGAATCGACTGCATCAAGACTCGTACTTGTATTCTATACAATTCGGAACAGACTAATTCATACAAGCAAAGGCTATATTCCAGGAATCGCACACAGAAATCAAGTTATCAACATCCACAAATCATTCGATGGTAGGGACAGGGTCGACCAATTCGACAAGAGGATTTTCTATTCCACAAAGGATTTCAGTTTCGGCGATGTAATACGAGTTCCTACAGCTGATTGCAGTAAAATCTCAGCTCAGTGACATAATAAGCTCATCAGCCAGCCGCAAATCTACGCTACCGATCACCACGTTACTGAACCAACACTTATCTTACCAACACAATCTGACATAATCATCCCAACTTGAACTATTAACTCATAATCTCAGCAAGGACTCGAACAACAAACTTCAATCCGAAAACCCAAGAAATGGGCTGTAAAACATACACTCACCGATCCAAGTCACGATCCGAAGCGGAATCCTAACTTCAACAAGCAAAACCCAACACTCTAGTTCCAACAGAAATGGTTCTCTTCAGTACAACAACGTCAAAAATTCAACAAGAGTTTGCAGCTGAGGATATTAGAGAAAGTCAGATTGTAGATGCATCGGTGTCGCATGCCACCTCGAATGTGGGCCATGGTGGTAGACAGATGGCGCAACGCCAGCTAGTTTATAAAAGTTCTATATTAGTACAGGGGTGATTAAGGGCATCTGAATACAACCATAGCTTGAGGACAAAGTATGGATGTAGCTTTGAAAATAGTCAAAACCACCTTTCTTAGAACCAAAAAAAAAAAAAAAAAAAAAAAAACAATTTTATGATGAAAAGAGTCAAGGACGTGTGATTTGGTCATAATACCAAGTTCACGGTTTCTTAGATTCAGTTCATCAGTGTGCTGGTTGGAGTTCATCCTTTGCCAGGACACTGTAGGTGAACTTGCCTTCGATTAGACTGTCAAAATATTCGCTAAGTTGCGACCAGATCTAGTTAAGCTTAGGGCAAATATCACACATGCCCCTAAACTTTCTCGAAATATCAAGAATACCCCTCAAGTTTTGATAATTGCAAAAATGCCCCTCGGAGTGATAACCTTTGTACTTCCTGTTTTTTAAAGTTTGAACTGGGGCCGGTCTGGGCCCCGCGCGAACAGGAAACCCCCCCTCCCCCGCTGCCCCTCCCCCGCTGCAGTCGCAGAGTTCTCCCAACCCACGTCCAACTCCTCAAATCGACTACTATTTCTTTCAGCCGCAAGGGAAAGAAGTATCCAACGGGCACCCGAGCCAATCGCGCCACCACCATGGGTTTCTGGAATGCAACTGGACGCGACAAACCCATCCACACTAAGCTAAACCAGACTCTGATCGGCATGCGCAAAACGCTCGTATTCTATCAAGGCCGTGCTCCACATGGCATCAAGACTGACTGGATTATGCACGAGTTTCGCCTTTACGACGGATCCGAACGACCAACCCATGTAAATTCCTGCTCACCTTTCAATTTCTGTACTTTTCTTACTGTTTTTTTCGTCTTGTTTTTTATGACTAGTTTGCAGTTCGTATTCCAGGTTTTTGATAACCTATTAAATTGTACACTGGGTTTTCAGGACGGTGGGTGGGTGGTCTGCCGTCTATTCAAGAAGAACAAAAACCTGAAGATGGAAATGCAGCAAGAAAGAGCTATTTCTTACGAAGAGCACATGGGTGCGCTATCTCCAGAAGCGGCGGGCTCTCCCAACGTACTCCCTGGAGACGACCAGTTAACATTTCTTGAAAAATCTTCCAGAGTCAAGTGAGAAATCATTAACCTCGACGACTATAAACTCCATCAGCCTAACCAGTATCTGAACTCGCTTCAGCTGGAGCTAGGATACCCCTCAAGCTTGAATAGACCAGACGATGTCAACTATTTCATGAATTTGTATCCAGAAACTTCAAACTCGGGCTTGTGCGAGTTTAATGATCCCCAGATTTCTAGTGGCAGTGACGGCACGGAGCTGGACCACGAAAAATCAATCTCGGGATCCTTCCACAACGACTTACTTCGAAAACAGGTCGCTATCGTTGCCCCTGGGCTCTTGGTCCAGCGCCGAAGACACAGCTCTAAGAGTAATCAAAGAGCAGGCTGACGACGTGTGTTTTGAAGACGAAATGTTGAGATTAGGGCTCTATGGCATTGATCACGATCGCGACTGCGGTGGAGAGAGCTTTAATGACAACATAGCGGGGCAAGAATGCTTTAATCCCAAATTGCAAAGCACGAAGAGCCCCAAATAGGTGAAAGTGCTGGTCAGCCCCATGACGTCGAGAAACCGGGCATTGATGAAGAAAAGAGCTCTTTACTTCCAGGGAGCTTACCCAGAAAGGAGATCCTGATTTATCACATCATTGTGGATGGGTAGGAGACAGAGCAAGGAGTATCAATTTATTTTCAGTCTGGACAGACTCAAAACCATTATGCTTTCTCACAAGCTTCTAGAAATTACAGCATATTTACGTTACGTGCCAAAAACATAAAAGGCTGTCCCGCACTGTCGCCTGCAATCCGAGCTGGGGATACCTTTCTTGAGATCATTCACGATTATCGCAGGTGTTTTGAAGGGGGCCATGGAGCGTGAGAGTCACATGGATTAACGGGGCGTTGCCAACATGCAGTTGGCACAAGACGGCCTTCCGTGTTGATGGCCAGCAGAAGAAGCAGTATGAAGAACACAAACAGGAAGCTTAATCGGGCCATCGTAATCTGCACTTAAATCATTGCATCAAGCATCAATCACATGAGAGCACTTGAAAAGTTTAGATTTAAGTGGGTCACTTGTGCTCTAGACAACGTTGTCAAGCAAGCTGACTGAAAAGAAACTTCAATTTGATCCCTACCTGACATTCTATGATGCTCTCTTCATTGCCAATGATCCACAGCAACAACCAATCATGCCCAATGACAAAATTCGACGCAAAGAAGAGGCAATTTAAAACAAGCCACCCAGGCTTCCATTGTTTGGACACCCGGGACATTGAGAAAAATCCACTATTTGCAAGAGCACAGAAAAAATCAGAACAATTAGGCAAAGAAGAGCAAGAGTAGATGGAGTGCACAGTATCTAGAGGGATGAGTTGGGGCAATACCGAGTCTGAGGAGAAGCACGAACAGCTAACTGACATCAAAGTATAAGTATAACAATCCTAGCTAAGTAATTATATATAGCCGATGCGCAAGTCAGTGCACAGTAGTCTACAATAATATATATATATATATATATATATATATATATATGTTTATTTAGTGGACAAAAGATAGCACTGTTATCACTGTTGCATGAGAGGGTCACAATAAGGGCATCCAGAAAGAAGATGCTTATTGACAAATACCTGCTAGGTTAGAAAAGGACTTGCTGGTTGGAGTTGATAAGGATGTAGCTACCGAGGTGACACCTTGTGCAAGCCACTAGTTGCCCACTGACGAGTAAAATCCTCTTGCTTGTAACGAGTACAGACGAAGACACGGTTCAGACAGCAAGGGTCCTCGAATGCAGCAAATGTAAATCATAGGTGCAGCATTTGACGTCGCATTTTGTGATAAAAAAAACATAAGACATTGAGAGAACTAATCCCTTGACGAAGGGATGATTTTATAATACGAAAGTATCATATACAGCTGAACAGGGCATGCATGCATGCAGATTCAGCCGTAGCATCTGATAGAATCTTTGCAACCTTTCGCTGCTGACTGTTTTGAACCCATCCTGCCACCCTTACTTAAATACTGCTGATGATAGGACTCTGCTTTGTAGAACTTTTTAGCTGGGAGAACCTCAGTAACAATCTTTCGGCTCAGAGATTTCTGATGGTTTGCAAGTGATTCCTTGGCTACTCTTTCTTGCTCAGGTGAGTAGTAGTAGATGCCAGATCGGTATTGTGGTCCAGAATCACCACCCTGTCATAACAGATTCCAGTATTAAAGCACTTAGCAAGACAGCATCGTGACTTTAACATATTGTCGCATCAACAATCAAAGTACTTCTCATCAGCGGCGTGTTCAACCGGAAAATGAAATCGACAAAGTACCTGGCGGTTGAGCGTAGTAGGATCATGGCGATTCCAAAATACATTGAGCAAATCCTCGTAACTGACTTCAGCTGGATTATACTGTAACCTCACTACTTCTGAATGTCCTGTTTTCAAACAAGACATTCCTTACGTTAAAAGAACTAGTTAACATTATACACAAAATACGTCTAAATTAAGAATACCAAGCCAGAAAATGAGCCAAAAAGGAGTCAGGCACAGTCCTTCGTCACGAAAATGACATAATCAGAAATTTTGGTCTAAACTCAGGCAGACATAACAGAACTACGGTCTAGGACGAAACTATATACCATTCCTAATTAGCAATAAGGATAATGTGCAGAAGTGTGCCACTTACCCTCAACTCTGTGCTTGCGGTTTTCACCAAACTTCAAAAATTTCTATTATTTTATTTAATGTTTTAAAGTGTTTACACTCTCACTTCCCCATACCCTAAAATGAAACATTGAGAAAAGCACGAAAACTTGAATGTTAAAGCCGCAATTAGAAATCGAGGGTACAGTTCAGTTTGCACGAAATTCAATTCCTTGAGATTAACGCACACTGGAAACTACCGCAGATGCTTCCGTGCGACAAAATCCACCCCATAATTAACAATCTAAAATTTGAGCTCAATTTTCGGTGAAAGCCAAGAATTCAAACCACTGACCGCGATGGTTGTTTTAAAGCAATAAAGCCACCGTCAATTGAGCAAGAAATCCCCCCACTCATACACCTCCACACACAGCCCAACAATAACCGTCCACCGAAACTTCAAAAACGCATGTAGTCATGGACAAGCGTCGATGCAAACTTCTCAAAACCGACCTAGATTAAACTGTACAAGCATCAGCTGCAAAAAAACTAAAGGAATAGTGCACATGAATCACCAAGACTACGTACCTGTGTCGCCCGAGCAGACTGCTTCGTATGTAGGGTTGTGCAATTGCCCCTGCGTATACCCAACCTCCGTGTAGGTCACACCCGGCACGCGCTGATACGCAAGCTCCACGCCCCAGAAACACCCAGCTCCAAAACAAGCAAACTGATTCCCACTCGCGGGCTTGTCGATATCCGGCCCTTCTGAAATAGCAACGTCAGCTGGGTTGTACGAGGAAGCTCGTCGAGAATTGAAACCCAGCATGCTCAAGAAACTATCCATGGCTCACAAAATGAATACACCCTCCTCTCGTACGCTACTCTACCTCAAACATTCCCTCAAAGCCATTTTAAGCCTTCATGAACAGAAATGACGATTCGGAATGAGGGCACGGAGGCGCGGGAAAAAGGTACTCTGCTGAATCACCCGAGCGGTGAGGTGTGGTGTCGAAACTACAAGCCACTTCATTACATCACATTCCAGAATTTTCACATCCATTTCAGTTGAGAACGGGATCTTGCTCTATTGGTGACTCGGTAGGGCTGTGATGCCACAAAACCTTCCCACGGTTGAGTAGGAATGCTTGCACACACCCTAACTAAATGCATAGAACATCTACGTAGCGATGAACAATTTTTCCAAAATGGGTTTGACAAGAATAATATTACTGAAAGAGTGCACACGAACTGTTTTGAGTTCACAAAACCAGTACAGGAGGTGATGGTGGCAGAGGCGTTGGAATGAACTCTTCAAGGTCTTTGAGACCACATTACCAAGAGTGCCAACATCATTCATTACGGCAGGCAAGTGTCAGAAATTACTAAGAGCGTAAACACACTGATGTAGAGTCTAGCGCTCCGTCGCTTGAGTATTACATTAGTGACATATTGATGTCAGGTTACGAGATACGTTTAGTTCGTAATAATGGAGTTTGCAATTAAATGAAAGTTAACTCGACTGCTCTCAGGTACAGAGAATAATCCACGAGGCGCAGAGTAGCGAGGTCATTCTCAAAGCATGGATAAGAAAACTTTTGCAAGAGAAAAGGGCCCAATGGGCTAAGGAAAACTGGAGCCCAAGTGGAATTGCAAATTCCTGTTTGCGCATTGAAGGCTATTAGATTCGAGACAGGAGTACACCAACCAGATATCATAAGAGCGGTATGACAGGCGAAAGAACACAGAACATCTGTATGCAAACCTAATTTTATCTCCAGCCAATCTGGGTGGAGGGACTCCTCTACTCAATACGACGGAAACAATGTCTTTAGACCTTGAAGCCTCTGCTGTTACGACGACCACGAGCCTTCTCAAACTTGCGTCCCTTAGAGCGCACGTAGGGCTTAGCGTGACTCTGAGGCACACCAGGTGCTCCGAAGTGCTTGACTGCCTCACGAGCGTTCTTGGGACCCCGAAGAAGGACCTACATTTACAATCAAACAAATTGATTAATCCGGTTAATTCCAAAGCAAAAGGCCTCTGTTTCATGCACGAGGACTCAAAAAAACCTACAATAATAATCCTACAAATACCCAGCATGTATTTATAGCTAACGCGGAACATACCTCGAGTGCGAATAAGTTTCACAACATCTCTGTTCAAAGCAGATAACTAATATGTGCGCTACACTATGTGGATAGTTTGAGGCGGGAAGGAGGAACTCACAGTGTTGGACCCTGTTGGTGCACGCAGCGCAAGCTGATCAAAAGTCAAACATTCCCCACCAGCCTTCAGGATTCGGGCACGAGCAGTTTCGGTAAAACGCAATGCGCATACCTTCAACGCTGGTACCTCGAATTGTCGGACATCATCGGTGATGGTTCCAACCAACACAGCGATCTTGCCCTCCTAAAATTAAATAAAAAAACACAGAAGCAGTAAACGAAACGTCAGTTCTCGTCGTAGATTCCTTACACATACTAAGTGTGTCCCCTCCTGATGAGATCTATCATCACTAGCAGTTACACTGAATACAAACGTGAAAAAAAAGCCACAAAAAACCTAGAACGAAAATTAGTACCTTTCCAGTCATATACTTGACAAGGCGACTCATAGAAAGAGGAGCCCTGTTCGTCCTACTCATGAACAGACGTTTCAAGACAACACTGTTGAAGGGAGCGTCAGTCCTCCTGACCAAGAACCTGTAAAGCTGCAAGCGATTTCCCAAAGAGCCAACTGTTAGTAAGATATTCAGCCACACTCTGAACTCTTAATCCAGACTTACAATGCCCTAATACATGTTAACCACGCACATGTCAAACCCAGGGGTAGTACGCCAGTGGCACAAAGAACAAAAAATCAACAAATACCTTGGACATAGTACGAAGACCTAATCCAACAACAACGTCGGAAGAGGACACAAGAGCTACAACCTAGACACAGTATACAATATTGCAGCGTAAAAAGTAAAAAACAACAACTAGGGCAAGGGAAGACCGCAGGCCACCCCGGAAAAGATTCCGACTGCAATCAGTCATCCTAGAAGTGGATATATACCCTAAGTTTCATCTTAAATGAGAGAGGAAACGAAGAGCAAAGGCGCGGCTGTAAACATTAAGAGGTGCACCTTAACGAGAAGCTTCAGGTAGACATTCTGGCTCTTGGGAGCGGTACGCTTGGTTTTCTTGTTGCGGCCACCGGCCTTCAAATCGATACCCTGTTCACAAAGCAATACGGTGAGGAACTGGTTGCCTCGAAAGCGGAACAAAGCGACACACCGCACGGCTAGAAAGAAGCAATTCATCAAGCATTCCGGAGAACCAAAGAACAGCAAAAATCGTCTTTAAAACGAGACGAAGGAATTCAAGCCAAAGAGGCAGAAGCATTACCATGGTTGTCGATGGAGACAAGCCCGCCGGGAGACAGATCTGTTGTAGCGATGGGGCTTGAGAAGAGGACGACCTGGGGCACGAACTCGCGAGTAAACCAAGCACAGTGCCAAACCCTAAAACGACCTCCCACCGTCAGATCCCCCATCGGAAATGGACGTAGATGCTGGGCTTTGAAGGGAACGGCAATTTACGGTTCCCTTTGGGTTCCCGTTTGTATTCACTAAGGAGCCTCCAGGCTGTTCGAAATATGAACCCAATTTTTTTATCTTTTAATATTACACTGTGCCATGTCAGCACCAAGATATACTACTTTAGCACCAAATAGAATTTAACCTCTAAAAATAAAAATCTTATATTTTTTAACATCTTTCCCAATTTATTCATTTTTGATAAATCTCAAATCTTACGATTTGTTTATTTTACGATTTGAAAAAAATCGTTCCTTTAATGATTTTTTGTTAACCTACTATTTTCACATACAAATACGAAGAAGAACGTGTGGGAGTAATGAGAAGCAGTAGTAACAAGAAGTTAGTGAATCAACACATTGTGTTTTAAACATAATCATATTGATTTGCACAAATATTTTCAATCTTGTGGATGAAAGACAAACTGTCATGACCAAAAATGGTCTTAATCCTGTTCCTATTTATATTATTCATGGGTTTTAAAGCTTACATGAACACTTTTATTGATTTGATGCACAAGATATTTAAGAACCTATTTGAGGAAACTTCCTCCAATGAATTGTTGCCTACATTTTGTTCCAATAAGCTTATAGTGTGTTTTGTTCCAACATAAGGTTTTTGAAAAAGTGAATAAATAACTTATTTCAATATATTCTAATATATAAATATAATTAACTACTTAATTTTTGTGAAAAATTACCATACTATAAAACAATTCAATAGCTTAAAACAAAAATAAAAACCAAAACATTTGTGTTTCACATACATGTGTGAATGAACATGTCTCTATCTGTTAGGCTATTTAGACACTAACAGTAAAATGGTTACACCAAAACCTAATGGGACTTGAAAGCCCTGTGTTCAACATGGTTCAAAATTAGTGTTGGTAAAATTGAAGACACTGTCCCGTTTAGTTTTATTTAAACTAGCTTCCATGGATGATTTCCTACTCAGGGAGAATAAACTAATAACACAAGTCATTAAACAAAAACTCTACAATCTAAAAAGAATACAATCATAATATTTTCCAAATATGTTAGATTTGATTTTACTTTTTTAAAAAAAAAATTGCTGGGTTCAGAAACCTCAACTAATGATAAAACCCAACACAGATTCTAGACAAGAGAAATGAGCATATTGAAGATGATCAATGTGTTCAATAAGACAGCTAGGTGATACAATAGAGGCGAATACGAGTGGGCTATTTCAGTGATTTGCACACTCTCAAGTATTGCGTGTTAAGTGAGAAAAATTTACAAATGGTCTTAAATTTGCTCTGATGAATCAACCCTACAACATCAAGGGTCTTTCTGGAGACATTTCACATGTCCCTACTCAATACAAGCTTTCCTCCAGCTGGCCAACATAATGTGACTGCCTCCCACATGCCTATGCTTCTCCTTCGCGGCGTGAACACAGAGTTGTACCCCCACTGATGCCACGAATACCCTTCTCAGTCGTAAAATACGGGCAGTTCAACCCCCAAATTGTGTACTATATACGTTACACGAGATTTCTGGGAAACAGACACCAAAAACCTCCTGTTCGGTTTGAATGATGTGATTCACAAGCTCAAAGGACACTCCCGGTAAACCTCCAAAGCAGCTGTGGCTGTTAACCTCCAGCAATCTGTCTTCACTTGGTTTCTGAGATCCACAAAAATGAAATCCACCTATTTCCAACTAAGAATCTGCTGCAGGGTAGAGGCTAATCTCACCGATAATGCTTTCTCTTGATAGTCTTTCCAGATGACCACAGCCGAGGTATCTTAAACCATGTCTAAAGAATCAGTGCTACATGTGCTTGGCCTAGAATTACTTAAACGATCGCCATTAAATATGTGATTTTCAGTTTCACCTAACGGGTAGCCATTTTCTAGAGCAGACGAACCAGCGTATCCTTCTCCGTATTCATCTCCCGCAAGAGAGGGAGATGGGGAATTATTCTCACTGAGACCCAAAGACCCTTTCTTGGGTCGCTGTCTAGATCTGGCAGAAGGATCAGGAGGTGCTCTAGGTTTTCTCTCTTTCGGTACCTTAACTGGCTTAGGCTTAGGCGGCTTGGGTTCTTTGCGAGCTCTTGTAGCTTTGGGTTTGACCTCCTTCGCAGCCTTTGGCATTTTGGGGGGTTTCGGTGGCTTTTCCTCTCCATTTCGTCGCCTCTGAGAGGAAAACACACAAGTTTGTCAGAATTTATCCTTGACATATGCGTAGGACAAAGATGGTCCTTGAAGAACAGAAGAATGACTCAACCACTTACCTGATGGGGCCAAGAACATGCGTCTATTTTTAGAGACCAGCATTGCCTACCTTCTAGTTTTTAGGGCACCAGCAAAAGATGACGCTTGTGAAGAGCATCATCATAACTGACCTTTTTGCCGTTTGCAGGGGCCGCCGGAGTATTAGCATCTGGCGTATCGTCTGGGGCTTTAGCTGCCCCACCACTGTCAACGATGTCTGTAAAAGCTGTGTTGGCATCATCAAGTGAGGCACCACCGCCCTCAGCATCCAGGCGTACTCCTTTCAAAGAACCAGTTACAGCCCATCCCTTCTTCCGCCTCCCATGCTTATCCTGTAGTTCAAATACAACTCTTCGTCAATCTCTTTTACGACTGTCCAAGTACCAATTAAGCTTTGGAGAGGAGAAATCGACACAAATATATACCATTTGAAGTTCCCATTGCATTTCAAGCACTCCAGAAATCATTTGGGTCCAGTTTGAGTCTGCCGCTAATACTAATGAACAAAATCAATAACTTAAATCAATGAAGTATAAGCTAGTAAAATATTAAAATCAAAATTAAAAAGCCTCATGAAAGGGAAAAAACTTACAACTTGTTTAGAGACTTGTTCTTTCATCTTCGCTTCCAATTCTGCATCGTCTAATAAAAGCGACACAACTTCTTCTGCTTCCAAGACATCACCTTGCGAAGCATTATTTCCAGTCATGACCAGCTGTTGCACAGTGTTCTTTTGACTGGCCCGTTTCATTATCTTTTCTTCAACTGTCCCTATGCATATCAACCTGTACACAGTGACCTGCTCCAACCCACCAAACGCATATTCGTATCGATAAGGGAGAACTTACTGCCTGAGAAGTTATAAAGATCGTAAAAATCGTGAAAAGCATGGTATTTTACCTCTTTCGTTTGTCCAAGCCGATGGGCACGATCCATGGCTTGAAGATCCATAGTTGGATTCCAGTCACTTTCATAAAAAATAACCGTATCAGCAGCAGTGAGATTGATTCCAAGGCCTCCAGCTCTTGTACTTAACAAGAAAACAAAAATATCCGACCTGCGCACACAAGAGAGCATCCGTCTTTACGCAAAGAACTTATCACACAAAACCAAAGCGTATGTGCAAACTGATTGTTGCATTTTAAGTACTAGTACACAACATGCACAAGACAAATCTCACGACTCTCACATGATAGGTGCAGAGATGGCCCGCAACGAGAGGTCGTTCAAACCACAACAGAACACACATTAACCCTGCAGTGTACAAACAATACAAAGATTTGCATACCGGTGCTGAAAGTCTTTAACCATGTCACGACGGTCCATAATGGTGGATGAACCATCCAGTCGCAAGTATTTGTATTTGCGGTAATTCATGTAATCCTGGAAATTTGCATGATCACCATTAACACGTACAGTCTGCTATGTCTTCCATCAGAATGAACTTCCCTCTATAATTGAGTATTCTCTCTATTAGAATACAGAAGGACAGAGCGACCGGTGCTTGAGAGATTCAACGTAAAATTAAACAGGATAACAACAATGAAAAGTGAATCCAGGCCAGATGCAGGTCCAGAGAGAACAGACTAACCTCCAAAATATTGAGCATCTTGGTCATTTGAGCAAAAAGAAGCACTCGATGGTTCCCTGCTCGAAGGCGCTTCAATAAAATATCTAATGTTTGAAGTTTTCCCGAATCCTGTTTACGAAAATGAGCGATTAGATTGTAAAAGGGAAGGACAAATAACCGGTATAGGAAATACGAATCTGACGTATTGATTCTTGACGCTAAATAAACATAACAGACCAACAGATTATAATTCGTGAAAGAACAACATAATCGCGAGAAAACAGCAATGTTCTTCAAGAAGATAAAAGTTAGAATACCACTAGATTACAGACAAAACTTCCTCATGTTACCATTGATAAATTCTTACCGAGAGCATCTTCGCAAAATCGAAACTCTGTAATGGGGGTGCCGAACCAAATATCCGAAAAGGTATCGCGAGTAAAGGCTGTATAAGACGAGCACGAACTTCATTCTCCTCAATAGGTGCAGATAGAGGAAGAGGCATTGCTGGCCCGTTGTCGGAAGTCCGAGCAAATCCAACAAGGAACCGTTTAACAATTGGATTCTCCAACTCCTCCGTCCGTTGCATTGTCAACCCTCTATCTGAACACACTACATTGATCTGCAGCAAATTAACTAAATTAGTTAGCAGAAGCATGGCTACTGAAGCTAGCAAATGTAAACTACACAATTGTCAACGGTTGCAAAGAGTGGCAAGGATTAAAGAAGTTAAAACGTGAAATTTAGTAGGTTGTGGAGACGCACGACAGCTAAATGCAAAAATAGCTCATTATTTTCACTGGATTATTAGGAGTGTGGAATCACAAACCTGTGGAGCTCGAACTGGTGGCATATATTTGCGTACAGATCGTAAAAGTCCAGTAGTGCCAAGTAGCCTATCCTGATTTGATACAACTAGTGATTCAAACGGTTGCAATTCTGGACCCGATGGATGCTTCACTCTCAAAATTCTTAGATCTGCTCTGCTAGGTAGCATCAACATCCTTCGAACACATCTTGTCCTTGCATCCTCACAGTCTTCGTCATCCAATAAATCAACAGAAGTTTTCATACAGTCCACAGCTGAGGCTGCATGGCCATAAGTATCTTTTCTTTGGTCACCTAATGTTGTCAGCTTGCTTAGGTCCCCATAACATTCTACGGAGGGTGGTTCTTCTGATTGTAGTAAGGCGAATAAGCATCTTTCTAAAGCAGATACCTTGGATAGGAACGACGTTTCCGAAGCTGAAAGACCAAGCATACGAATAAATCCAAAAGCTCCACTGCGACATGACCTCTCATCGACATCAGCTTTGTTACTATGCCCCACAGAAGAATAGTACACATTCTCTGGTGAGAAAACATTCAGGCAAGCTTTTAGCCATTTCTCAGTGAAGCCTTGTGCAGACCCAGAGCTCTCGGTTGGCAAGCAGCGCATGCCATCTCTATATAAAAGTTTAGGAATCTACAAAACAACCAAGCACGGCGACATATCAGTATCGTGAAATTTGCCAATAAATATGGACAATGTTCTGAATATAAAAATAAGCCCATCAGTGGACTCTATAACATGACTTTGGCATTAAAGGAGAATTTTTCAGACTAACTGCATGCGAAATATACCCTTGAATATGTGAAAGTAATCACGAAATGCTCTTCATCACAAATTTGAGAACAGTAACAATCTTAAGCAATACCTTGGTTAAAACTCTATGATCTTCAAGAATATAAAACCCAGAAAAAGTCAAGTACCTTGTAAGACACAGGATTATAACCTCCAGCGAAATGAACATCCTCTAGCGCTCCGAAAGGTGGTGGAGGAAGAGAATGTGGTACAACCGCAAAGTGCACAGAGGACTGTCCTTCATTGCGCTCAAACAACTCTGGATGATTACAGACCTGAGACGGGAACCACATCATTTTCTTCAGAGTCAGCATCGACTAGATAAATAGTACAAAGGTAACCCTATTATATTATGAACCAACACAATAAAAAATAGATATATGAGAGGCTGATCTAAGAACAGTACAATTGCATGACTGTAGACTATATACCAATGCACATAACTTCCAGGCGGCGCATATCGAATAGAAAAATGAACTACAGAAATCATACTTATCGATACATGAAAAGGTCGTGACCAACTTCCAAATAGTGAATCTAGGGATTAGTTATAGAAGTACCTTTCGTAACTGAATGACGATATTCATAAGATTGAGGACCTTTTTGTCATTGAGCTGGCCTCCGTTGCCAAAGAGATCAGCGACTGATATCTTGTTCTTAATTGCTCGATAAAATGCCTGCTGACGTGAACTCAAGTAGCATGGAATCATAACCTCTTTCTTATTGGTCATTTCTGTAATCACATCCTTCTTGACTCGTCGCAGCATGAATGGCTTCAAAATTGAGTGCTGCATTGGAATGAAGTATGGATTACCAAGCTTGCTTGATTAATTTGACAATCAGTCTCTCGCACCAGCAAAAGGATCTAAATTTAGACTACATCTACTAATAAAGAAGCGTTATATATCTCATAAATGGATTATAATAGATCTCAGAATAACTTATTTAAACACAAAGTAATAAGACTGAAGTCTGCTTGTAGACAATATGGGAACGAAGGGTACCAGACGAGTGAGCTGGTGCTCATTTAATGTTCCACCATGCTCTGCATGCCCTTCAATCCTACAGTCAAAAGAGCACAATTATGAATTAGTGTCAGCATAAGACAAAATACATTTGAAGTTCTAAATTTAGGTTCGATCAGCTTTAATCCACGTAATTTATTACAAAATCAACAAGAGAACAAATATCATGCAGTAGAGAAACATCCAAATTCTGAACAACCTATAAATGCCGCAGTATTCAGGTATCTATCAGCATTTCTATCCAAAATTCTAAATTACATTCCCTATCTGCTATACAGTTTAAGCATACGTTACAATGAGTTTGCATTTATCAAAATAAAGATGCCGGTATCCACCTAAATACCATCATTAAGAAGTAGGATTTGAATACAAATACATCCACACAAGAAAAACAAAAGAAATTAGAGAGAAAAAAGGTTCAGAATTTACCCCTTTGAAAACCACTCATTGAACTGATCATGACTGTCAAAAAGAGTGGGCATGATGAAATGCAGAAGAGCCCAGAGCTCAGCCATACTATTCTGAATGGGTGTTCCGGTCAAAAGAAGACGATTTCGACAGTTGAAACTGAGAAGAGTCTTCCAACGCAGACTGTAAAAATCCGATAAAAAAAAAAAATTAAGTACAATGCTCTTTCGTGAATGTAATGGGTTATAACCACGGCATTTTCAATTAGATGTTTGCCTACAAATGCACGTCTCTGTGGAATCCTTTCAGTGATCATTCACACAAGGGTCCTGACCAAAACACAACAACCACGTTGGAAGCGCACAAGCAGAAGATCGAAATGTATTAGAATACTGTACAGAGCCCTCAGAGCCCTCACTTTAAGGGTAATACGAGACTCTTAAATTCCACTGGATGGTGGCAACTCACCTACTGGCACTTTTAATCGCTTGAGCTTCGTCAAGAACCATATATTGCCATTTCACTCGCCGAAAGTACTTCTCATCCGAGACTAGAAGTTGATAGCTTGTAATTAGAACGTGAAATCCTGCATCTCTGTAAACACAAGAACCCATTATTAGTTCTTTGTCGCACCAGTGTGATGTTCATTGCAGCCTACAATAAGCAGTGACTGAGTTTGACTTAATCTTGCCTGCGATAAAGTCGATTGGGATTAATATTTTTTCGCAAAACGATTCTCTCATTGAGTGCTCCCCAGTACGGAAGGATCCTTAAATCCGGGCAGAAACGGTTCACTTCATCTGCCCAATTATTAAGAACAGATGCTGGGGCCACCACAAGGAAAGGACCCCATATGTTCTTCTCCTGCGAGCCAAGATACACTACCAACATCAATAACTTTATGCCACTATCATTCACTGACGGATATCACATGACGTTCTGAAATAATCGACATCTATCTAATATGTTATTACGACGTCTTCCTGTTATCAGATCATTTCACCCTAATGAGAAATAAACTGGCCAATTTAAATGCAATCAAGGTCATTACCTCAGCCAAATGTCCAAGAAAAGCCATAGCTTGGATTGTTTTGCCGAGTCCCATTTCGTCAGCCAGTATACCATTCAAGCCCTAATTTAAACAAAACAAGATCAATAGACCAGTGATACATTAACCCAACAATATCAAAAGAACTAACTTCCACCAAATTTCTAAGTGTATACACCAACATCAAAGGAAAACATCTATACAACTTCAGAAGTGATTAGACCAAAACGAAGCATAACAGCACATCAGAAACGATGTTCAAGAAAGAACTCTACAAAAAAAATGAGTATAGCCCGTAACAAATAACGCAATCAGAGTTCGAACCTGTTCATAGCAATTAACAAGCCACTGTAGACCCTTAAGCTGATACTCTTTCAAGACACCCTGGAACATTTTGGGTTGCTGGACGGAGGAAGTCGTTGGCATCGTAGACCTGTGTAGTAATGAGAAAGAAGACATTCACACCATTCAGATGATGACAGTTCCAGAGGCGTTCGCTGTCTCCTAGTCCGTATGAGAAATACACGACAACTTCAAGCATTGATAAGCATTAGCCTCAGTGTAACTGGCACTTACGGGTGTAGCAAATCCATATCTTCTGCTCCACCCGCCTCGTCTCCACCAGCAGCTGTACGAAGCCTCTCACTCTCACTATCAAAATCATTCGTTCGATTTCTCTGCTGGGCAGCAGCTAAAGTAGCTGCTCTCACGGCTTCCTCCTTCAGAGCAGCCTCCTCTTCATCATCCTCGGGACTCGTCGCAACTAGACCCTCCCCCGGTGCCACAGTTTTATCAAGGTCACGCAGTGCATCCTGAGAAGCTTGTGCAACAGGCATTCCGGACGACTTATTTTGCATAAAATGGCTATAGAGCTCCGTTTGTGTGAGAAGAAAATTGAGTCGCTGCTGTTGGCGTTTGGCTTCCCGAAGCTCTTGGTCCCGTCTAAGAGCTTCGGCAGCTTCCTTTTCTTCCCTTTTCCTAACTTCAATCTGTTCACACAAAAAGTTTGAAACCAAAGTTAACTAGTGAATAAAAACTGCATGTAAAACAAGACCACACGCGTCCGCGCGCGCACGCGCACACACACACAATCTCTTTCTCTATATTATTCGAACGACATACTATTGTGCCCACGGCAGGGCACAATCGTTTATAACTACTGATCAGCAATAAAGAATCTGAAATCAGTAAGATCATAATCACTCACAATCTCGTTCCTCAAAACCCATTAAAGAAAGCAAGATATCACTCACGTTCGTACTAAAGTCATTTTCAGACTTCGTTCCGCATGACGGACGATGCAAGTACACATCTAAGCCAATACACATAAATCTGTAGAGAGCGCTAGGAAAACAGACCTGTTCTTTATCCCATTTCTTCCAGAAAATGATCATGTCACGAGCCAATCTCCTCGTTCTGGTGGGTGCAGCTTTCATTACTTTCAAAGACCGCATATTGCGACTTTTAACCTAAAAATTCCAAATATCAAGGTCAAAAAACCATGCTACTTTCCAGCATACTTCTAGGATCCCCGTTTTCCCAATAGCTAATCAAAGAAAAAAGTACAAAAGTAACGTTATGAAGCTGATTATGCAATGAACAATAGGATTTGAAACTAAAATGTTGGAAATAGAGGATGAGCCAAAATCACTCCGACAATAACAACCACATTGACGTAAATATCTTATTGCTGCACAATACATTACCTCTCTTTGACAAAGTTCCGCTACTCGCTTTACATCTTGTATCTGCTTTCTGTAACAAGCTGCAAAATACTTTTGGTGCTTCGGTAAATCTTTTCGGACCAAATTCACCCAATACTTTCCGATTTTTTCAGAATCCTCTAGTGCTACCTCCAGCGGGTCTCTTTTCAGGGGTTCAATCTTCTGCTTTCTCCGTTCCACAAGCTGTTTCACACCACCTCAATTGTCATTTCGAACAAAACGAGATTCTGGGGGTCAAAAAAGCAGGATGTAAGCTCAAAAGTAGATGCACCTGGAACAATACCTCATAGCCGTCACCATGTTCCAGAATCTTCACTTCACATCGTCTGGCCTGACCACTGTCAACTGATATCTGACGGTACGCGACTAGAGATTCGTCCAAAGACCCAACCTCGGAAGGGACTCCCAAATCTTCGTCAGGATATTCCACCGGCGGCGGGTTTATCACAACGCTTGAGTCGATTACCTAAGTCTCAAATGACGCGTCATCAGAAAAATTGAATGTTCACACCCTTTACAAAACCAGAAAAAAATCAAAATTATAATTAAGAGCGTAAAAATTAGTCAAGTAACACTAGAAGAAAAGAATTATTTTCACAATGACGAAAGTGCCTCACTTGTAAACCAAATCTTCTCTTCTCGAGCAACCTCCGTTTAGTGTCCCTATCATAACCTGTACTCCGACACTGCCCTATCTCATTTTGCTTTCGCCAAAGTCGAGCCCAGGGATCAGCATCCATAATCGCGAAAAAAGCAGTTGCTTTGAGTCGGCCGTAAACAACCTTCTCTTCAATTTGCAGCGAGTTGAAGGGGGGAAGGTGAAGAGATGTAGCGAGTTCGTCATAATACTGAGGAATTTGAAACTCGACACCATCCTCTAAGACCAAATAAGTCCCCGGCCCTTTCTCCATGCCACTTGAAATTGATGCAACATCCTTTAATTGAACAGCTTTATGATGCCATCGAGGTCGTTCAGACTCTCTTTCCTGATCAGAACCTCCAGATTGCTCACGAAAAGAACGTTCTTCAGATTGCTCCCGATAAGAACCCCCTTCAGATTGTTCACGATAAGAAGGCTCTTCAGATTGCTCACGGTAGAAACCCCCTCCAGAATGCTCATGGTACGAACCTCCTGGAGACTGCTCGCGATCGGACCCTCCTGCAAAATGCTCAGCATATGAACCTCCACCAGATTGCTCACGATATGAGACTTTGACAGGTTCGTGATATGAGACTCCCTGTTCTGGATGGTTCCCTACGTAATAATCTTGACGATCATCATAGTCATCTTCTTCCTCTTCTTCGTCATTACTGTCTGCATCATGTCTAGGGGCGGAATTGGAGCCTGCATATGCTTCAATGGGCACCCTCTTCCTCTTTCGTGTCATTTCAGGCCTAATAACAGCGTGTCTTTCCGCCTCCGGTTCAGCATGCCCATTAATCCGCCAATCATCTGAAAAAAGTATAAACAAAAAATAAAAACCAATATTTTAAAATCTCCTGCAAAAAAAAATAGGGGCCGGAACTGACTCCGCACAAAAATCGCAGAACTTGAACACGGACAGTAACGAACACCAACAATTACGACCAAGCAAACCAGAAGCAGATATGTATGTGGCGCGGACTGAAACAAGCAAACCTTGGCTGTAGTCGGTTTCACCAGAACTCTGGCTCCGGCTCGGAGAATCATATTCCTGCGCGGGTGATCCATTCTCCGGCGACCGTGCCCACATTGTACGCGAAAACTGATAACTAAAATTCACAACTTCTTCTCATCCCCGCCAATGAACTGCCAGCCCTCCTGCACCAGGCCTCCCAACTCCCAGAATCAAAGTGTGCAACTCCGCTTCCCTCGACCCAGAAATCCAGCGCCGATCACCCACGCAGCTCCAATTGCCCAGTAAATTTTCCCAGACTGCCCACCTCTACGCCAAAACCCTAGTTCCCAACCCAGAAAAAATCGGGGCTCTTCCTCTCCAACCCAGCGCCCGCCCGTAGTCTGCAAGTCCGAAATTTGGTCCGGAGACACAGATGCACCCAATAGCCTCACATTGACACTCCCCTGCAACGCCCACACCACACACGAGAAACGGAGCCACGCCAAGGAGCTACATCCAAATACGCGAGAAGCAGAAGTGGTCTAGGGTTTGGAGTCGCGAAGAAGATAAGTTGGACTTGGGGTTGAGGTTGGGTTGAGGTTAGGGGTTGGGAAAAGTAACAGGAGCCAGGAGCGGAGGACGGGACTCGAGGCACAGGTGGTCCAAGCGAGAAAGAGCGAAGGGCCGGGGGAGAGAGGGGTGGGGCGGGGCGGGGCGGGGGTTGGGAGGCGGGGGGGGGGGGGGGGTTAGGAGGAAAAAAATAAAAGGACCGAGCCCTATGCTGCGCAAACCCTGGCTGGTGTTGCAAGTGCAGAGCAAGCGGGTGAGGCTTGGAAGCGGCAGTCAGGGATGATGGGGATTTCAGGAAAGGGAAGGTATGAGGGAACGTGGAGTTAGCGCGGGGCAGCTTGGCATCCGTTTTGGGGGTGCTGAGCACTAGTTTCCATGGCGGGACATGAAACCCCAGCGGGGGGAAGGAGAGGGGGAGGGGGAGCAGGGGGGGGCTTTGGCTGGTTGTTTGCTCCTTTCCTTCCTTCCTTCCTTCCTTCCTTCCTTCCGCTAACCAGCCCACCCCGGCATTGCCATGCGCCTGGCTGCTAGTCTAAAGACGAGTGCTGAATGCTCCACTGGTAGTTCTCACTCACTTGTTTTTCGTTGCGCCTTTGGTTTTTTGTTGCCGCTTTGCCTTGCCCCACCCACTTCGCCCTTGCCGCACTCGCTCACCGCTCTCTTCCCTCCTCCCTCTCTCGCCCACTCTCGTTCTCTCTCACTCTCACTCTCACTCGCTCACTCACTCTCTCTCTCTCTCGTTAAATCCGCTGGTCCCCACCTCCGCGCTGACTTCCAGGTTGGAGTCGCGCTCGTTGTCGTGCGACTATGCGGCATCGCCGGCTCCTGCGTCAACTGGCTGTGTCAGGTGCTCCCACGCCTCCTCTTCCTTCATCTTCATTCGTCTTTTTCGTCTTCATCCTTCCTATTCTGTCCATCGCGGGCTTCAATGTCTCCACACCCATCAGACCCTACACGTGGCTTCTCTTGGCGCCTGCATGTCATGCTGCTTTCTTTCTGTTGTGATGCATTTACATAAATCCATCTTTCACATTCTTGCACTTTGAAGTTGTGATCTGTGTTTGGGTGGTGTTATTGATTGTTAATATGTATGTAGACAATTTCTGGTGTGTAGATGACTTTTTCATGCATTCTAATATTAGTCATTTTGTTTTATTTTATATTCATCATGTGAAATTGGTGTGATTTGTTAATGTGTGCGTCATAGATTCTATTTGAAAATACAATTTTTTTGCACTATACTTTTCCATTTCCAATTATTGTAAAAATTACTTCTAAATGGTTTAATTCATTTCACTTTTGTGTCTATTTCATACTCAGGAAATATATATATAGTGCTACCCCTTGGTAGAATTTACTACATATCACACATTCAAAATAAATAAATAAAAAAAACAATAGAAGGAAAAAAAAAAAAAAAAAAAAATTGTACACTGAGAACTACCACAAAAGTATCCATCTTTTTAAAAGATAAAGAACTCAATTTGTATACACATTCATATAATAAGCATAGTTAGAAGACAAAGAGACAAAGAAGCCTTATCATTGGAAAAAAAAAAGAAGAAATTATTTACCAGCAAAAAGCTTTGCATAATCTACAAAAAAAATCTACATTTTACTATCCATTAACAGCTTTTCCATGTCCAACAGCACAAGTTTCTGCTAGTACATAAATACATATATACATACATACACGTATGTCTCTGTGTGTGGTATGTTCTTTGTGTGTGCACATAATGCATGTTGACACACTTATTCGGAAATCGGACACAATAGGGAAGAGTTTAAATCCTTCAACTTCGAAGTAGCTTCGAGGAAGTGGAGCCCAGGCCCAAAGCAAGTGTGAAGGTTCCAGGAGCTGGGCTGGGTCTAGGTGGGTTGACTTAGGGTACGAAGAGGGTGCCAATCATCCACCAAATCGAGCCGCATCCCCCACTTTGAAGGATTCCTTTTCCATGGTACTAACGATCATTAATATCTCCTGGATACTTTAAACAATAAACTATTACAAAACCATTTCCTTTGAGATCCCACACAAGTAAACGATATTATGAAGACCTTCCAGAATGAAACCCAGTTGAAGCGTAAGCTACTTCCAAACGGGTGGAACAATCATCCAACCACATGTCCATAATAAATCCCCAAATAGCAATCTAGAGATTCACTCCTTGAACTGTTCAAACAATATTACTCTTGCCTTATGACATATAGTATCAATAAAAGTAAAAAAAAAGAAAAAAAAAGAAAAAAGAAAAAAAAAAGAGAGAACAAATCTACGTTTCCGGAGTTTGAGAATGAAAAGACTTCGACCATGGGTTTCATCAGACCATTGGACAATCCTCAGACACATTCTCTCTTCTATCACTGTTCTCACTCTCCTGTGAGTAAGTCAAGAATAACGAAAATGGATGAAAATCATTCCTCTAAAAAATCGGAAAGGCCGCTGACGTCGTCGACGATTCCGACTTGTCGACTACCAGGTGCACCTTCCAAGGCAGCAACGATTCGCTCGGGCGTCGTCGCCTTCTCGTCGTCGTCGTCGTGTTATTGCTGCTGCCCCGAGCACAGCGTCTTGTTTCCTTGGCTTACCAGGTCCATCTGCTGCTCCTCGTTCCTTGATCGCGTCTCCTGCTCGTTGTCTTTAATCCATTCTCCTCGCAGGTTTCTGACGTTTCGTAGACGTGGTTAACGATCCTTCTCAGAGTTTCGGCGAGGTCCAGCTCACTGCGCTGGCTGCGTACTCGTGCCATGCGTGTTTGCCACAACAAACTTGTTCGATTGATCGGGTCTGGCCAGGGATCGATCCAACTACAACGAGTCGAAGTCAGCCAGTTGTTTAACGACTAATGTGTTTTCCGAGCAGATTTTTGTTCTTTTCATGGTGTTGTTGTTTGTACTTTAACGTTGAATGCTTTTGAATTATGTGTCGGATAATGATGTAGGAATGGTCGAAGGGAGAGGTTCTTGAGGTGCAACTACGGTCGTGATTGCAGAGTAAAGCTTCGAGAACGGCACAGAGATTCCGGCACCATGTTGCATCGTCTTCAGGTGATTATTCCTTTACATTGGTGTATGATTTGGCGCGCACGTACACACATATATTACAATTATCTATCAATCTATCTATCTATCTATCTATATATGGATATATTGTGCTTCATGACGATATTTTAGGTCTCTGGTGTCTTGATAGAACACATAGGATACACATTCATAAATTTCGGTTTCTACAGAGTGCTCTTAAATTACTGTTCTTCAAAGCCGTGTCTCGTATTATCATGGCTTGTAAAGCCCGTGCATCTGATGGCTGTATTCACTGATGAAAAGGAATCACTAGTGGACGCGAACCGGAATTTGAATCTTTTCAATACAACATGTAGAAATAGGTTTTTGTACTTGTTTTAATACGCAGGGATCTGTCTGCTGCTAAAACGAGGCGAGCTTGCGAGAGATGGTGCAAGGGCATTGCAAGTGAAGATATTGTATCATTTTGACAGATATGTATTCAAGTTCATTTTCTCCCTGCCTAAGTATTCATAGCATTCGCCTACTATACTAGACTGACTACATTGTATTATGTAGGTGTATTACCAAATGAAAGATTGGAAATTGGGAGAGAATATGCTGTTTGTGTCATGTAGTGCTTATTGGCCAAATCAATCTAAGGTCATATTGTCACAGCTAGCATTTGATTGATGTCGTAAACTGATGTTGTGATGATCAGAACTTACGTAAAACTAGACGAAATTCTTGCCAAAATCCTTGCAAAGCCAATGATTGCTTAGGCTGGCATTTATGACGATGATATATTGTTTGCCGATGAATTGCAATTGCGTACAACATAGTTGTTGGTCCTTTCATGGGAGATTAGTTGCCCAAAGGAAGCTTGCATCGACAATGAAGAGGAAAAATATTATTCTGTCAGTCTTTGTTACAGTCTTTAGAGATTTGAATTCAACATTTTCACTGATGAGTCACTTCAATTTTTAAAAGAAAAATACCTAGATTGATTAAGCTAGTTATGCTTAAATTAGTTTTCCTTTTGGTCGATCATTTCGTTAACAGTAAGCCCATTGTAAGGTAGCTACGGTGAGACATGTCTAAACTCAACATCTGCTTGAAGTGCGTATTGGTGCTTTAGTGCTAATACTCAGGTGGAATTTCTCATCATTATTATTTTATTCGATCAGATCTCGTACCACATGCGGTGATTCTCCGTATCACATAACATCATTCGCTGTATTGTTAATGTGATCCACTTGTAATTGTTAGTTTACCAGTTCGGATTTACACTAAAAAGGAAATCTGCACGTAACTGTCAAGTTCAATGTGCAATAAAAACAGCAGATTTTGATTACCTGGTCGAACTCTCCTGCAACCGTGCTTTGCACATCGGCTGTAACCTGGTATCGAAACACACGACTCTCTTTCTCTCTTCATAATACTCAACAATGAGCCATGTTTTGAAGAACACCAAGGGTGGGAACTATTTACTTAATATTGAGAATCACACATCAGAGAACTGTGTGAGGTGCGAATTACAGGCCATCCTCCGTGTCTACTTTGGTCTTTACATTTCGTGCACATCGTTGGTTTGACGACTACTGCAGCTGCAGTTAAACAGGTATTGGTGCCATCGAGTATGGTCGAGGAGAAAGAGCGGAGAATGTTTTATGGTTCAGGGCATTCTGACCAACTCGTGGTTTAAAGCATGCTACCCAATTGTTGTGCAAGTATGAGGATCGTGCTCATCGATGCTGGAATGCTGGAATGCTGTTACAGAAAAATGGGTTTGTTTAGGATATCTCAGATATACGTGTCCTTTGTCTTGTTTTGCATGCTCAATTATTTTATCACACTGAAACTTCAACTAAGTGATGTGGAAAGTTGCAAATCATGTATCGCAAGTTGCACTGCCAACTGGAATGCGGTACCGATGCTAGAATACCGTTCAGAATGCATGGGAGTTTATGAGTCACAGCATGATAATTTACTTAGGTTGGACTTAAAAAGCTGGGTTAGTAGGTATAGTTTGTGCTATCATGCTTTTTTGGGTTTGGCAGCTACTGCCAAGCATACCTCTAGATGTCCACAATCGATCTGCTCACTGTCCAAGGTAACTGCAACCAGGGAACACATAATTGTCTTGCACATACAATGCAATCCGCTGTTTGCTGATTTTGTGGGGCGTGTGGTGCATTGTGTGTTGAGGTTATTTGACGCTTAAAGACAGTTGGTGACGGTTAACTCGTTGCTTCCAGCAGACATTAACACCTTCAAACAGACAATGGGTTTATCAAATGTCCATACAATTGCCATTCTTGAAGACGAGCCCATCTTGCTTAGTGCCATTCATCCACACTAGCATCTGCATGATGCAGTTGCACAAGTGGTGCAGAATAATACATGTGATCATGTCTAAGAACTTCATTGTGATTTTTGCCAGCTTGAAAATCAACATCTCTATTAGTTTTATGTGCAACATGTTGTTGTGTGTGCACCAATCGCGCAGTTTTAGAAAAATTAGATGCCAAATCTTGCTAATCTGCGTCCATGGCAACCAAAGGGCTTGCCCATTGGTGCCAAAAATAGGATGAAGTCATCAAACCAATTGTGGCCTATTCGCTTTTGAACGCACAACAAAGGGAGTGCAGAGATGCAGACAATGCGGTGCCTTCAACCACGACAAACCCAAGAGTTCCTGCCGCAAGATAAATCCTTCAGCACTTGAAGCCAGCAACACAAAAATATCTATTGCTTTTATGTCTGTTCCCAATAGGCTTGCTCTTTTTATGTCAAGTATTAAGGATATGGTGGCCGGCAAGAATAATTGAGAATTGTGGGTTGGCACAATCAACTACATTGGTTCAGAAAAATATTTTGGTTTTTGATACAACTACATTGGTTCAGAAAAATGCACCATGGTATATAATGCATGGTGGGTGGCAGGTTGTGATGGTACTAACAAAAAATGTGGTAGCAATAGTAACATTCTTTTCTTTACAAAGAACAATCCATCACTCAAAATGTAAATTCTATTTAAATATGTTTTATTTAATTTAATACCATCATTTGTATAACAAAAATTTATAAAAATTCATATAATAATATTTTTAGTTATCTTTTCTCAAATGTTGTGTTTTATTTATTTATTTGTTTATTTATTACTACTTACGAAACACAAAAAATTATATGAATTTGTATAAATAGACAAATTAGTTAAATATTGAATTTTTGAAATTTTATTTTTTTATTTATTGTAGTTTGTCAAAAATATATTCAATTTTTATTATTATAACATAGAGTCTTAATATATAATTAATTAATTAATTAAAATTATACAAAAACTTGTTATTGTTAAAAACTAATAAATTTTTTATTTTTATATTTATTATAAAATAACATGAATGTAATAGTTATTTATACATAATTAATCATTATAGTTGCCTTCACAATTATGTCAGAAATCATCAAACTTTAATAAGCAAATCAACAATAGTAAAGCAATCAATATTATTTTTTCAATATTTTTTTCTTTGACTCTTAAATTTGTAGTGTTACATTCATCAAAATTATTTTAAAAAAACATGACAATGAAAATGAAAATGTTTTAAGTAAAACTTAAACATATGATATTACATAAATCCAAAGAAATGTTATAACATATGAAATCAAATATAATGTTCTTTACATTAATTGATATCATTTGTTGCAAAAATAAATATTGATTATCAAAGGTTATTAATCATATGAAGTAGCAAGTTGAATACAAGATGGAAATAATTCTTCTTACGATTCTATAATTTAGATTGTCATGAACATCTAATAAAAAGACTTTATAAATATTTTTAGAATATTCTACTATGTTCTAGAAGGTTCTAAAATATTCTTAAAATATTTTAATAGATGTTTTTAGAAAGATTCTTAAAAAGTTATAATATATTTTTAGAATATTCTAATAGATTCTAGAAAGTTCTAAAAGAATTAAGGATGTTGTTTAAGAAGCTTCTTAAGGTTGCATTGTCTTTAAGCAAAATGGAAACTTCTTGAGAAGCTTCTTAAAGTTGCTTTGTCTTCAAACAACATGAGAACTTCTTGAGAAGCTTCTTAGAGTTGCTTCACCTTCATTCAACATGGCAATTTTTTGAGAAGCTTCTCAATGCCTAGAATAAATTGGAGTTAAGGTTGATAGGATTCTTAGTCTCGATAATACATCTCTTGGAGTTTTAGTTTACTTTTCTTGATATTGATTTTGTACTCATTTGGTTTAATCAAGTTCTTGGTAGATTTCTTGTTGAAACTCTTCTATTCAACTTCTTGTTTGGTCTCATGTATAGTGTATCCATGACATAGGCTACTCACTTCCACTATGTGGCCATACAACCTTGTCTTGTCTAATCAAATATCATCACATAACTTTACTAGTCTATATTTGTTGTCTTCACTAATTAATAAAAATTAGAAAAAATCAACTAATTATTAAAAATTAGAAGTTATTACTTATGCACCATAGAACAAAATCAATTCTTAAAATTTTGATTAATTATTGAACGTTATCAGTTTTTTTGAGGATTGATTTACTTCTAAACAATATAATTACCAAAAAAATTAGTTTGCAGATTAGTACGCAATCAAGTATACTGGCTGCCTGATGAACCCTCTTTTAACTATGCAATTGATGAAGTTCTATAGTTCCCAGCCTCGCCATACTTCAAATTTCCACAATCTATCCAAATTATCCACAAAATTAGACTTCGGCTTAAAAAGATGCACAATCCTGCCTAAGAAACCGGGGTCTTCATTCGAACATGAAAGCAGGTGAAACCAAAAGCTGTGCCCGTTTGTCACTCATTACGCAAACAATGGCCGATGCTTTAAAACTCACATAACGCCCCCGTTTTGTCTGTAGGTTATGTGCTTCACGTCTACATGGTCTTTATGAGTACCTCACTCAGCGCAACTCATCGTCCTCCCTGCATCCCCTCACCTTCTTAGGACCTGTGGTAATGGATCCATGGTGGTGTATACCTTCTTCTTCGTCCGCATTCCATGCATGCACACACTACGGTATTGCAGATACATTCCCCTGGAATGGTTTTTCGCTCTAGGCGTTGGTTGCCCCTCGGCTATGGCTATCGGGAGCAGAGAATCTCATGGCGGCGATGGATTGAGCGTCACAGAAAGCCCAGCTGAATGTGAATCGCAAGCTGGGCTCCGTCGCTGTGGTCTGCTGAATCTACCCATCTCGCGGCATCAGAAAACGACTTGGGCTTCCGGTCTCCATGCAACGTTGCGTTTCAGCGCATCGATTCTGATCTTCAGCCGCGCTAGTCTACTGGTAGTGATAGTTACGTTGATAAGGATTGTCATGGAAGTTCTAGAAATTTTTTTAACATAAACGAGATAGAAAATAGCATGATTCCATTGAAAATTTATCGAGCAATTGCCATGTACTGCACATGACTTATTCTGAAAACTCACATCTGTGTCATCTTTAGCTGAATGCTTTGGTACCTAAACTATGCAAAGTCAAAAGAAGAATACTGGTATTGGTAGCAATGAGATTTTCTTCACATTTTGGTTTACATGTTAGGATGATAGCGGGCATCAAACAATCGATGTTTAAATTCACAATAAAAAGACTTTGTAATCTCCTCTTGAAACTGTTTCGTACAACAACTTTGGATAGGCAATTGTCGTCCGCTTGGCATCCCAGACCTTGCAGTGAAGGCCAAGTGGAGAGGCAGCTTCTTGATTGCGGTGGTGCACTATGGATCGGAGTTGCTTGGGATCATGTGAGATCATATGATACTGTCGCCGCAGAAGTTGAGCATCGTCAGGTTGGTGAAGGTGCATCTCACTGCGAAATGATCTATCGATCCATCAACCTGATATCATGACTTGCATCTTCACAGCTGCCCTGTAAACACCCCCTCCCCTCATTGCTTCGTTACACACAATTTGATGCACACCTGCGCTGTTTCATGCTCTGGAAGCACGGTTGCGACCTTTGTAATTCGTCTTCGATGATCGTCCAGTGGTTTTCTTCGAGGGTTTGTGGAGGGAAGAGTGCCCACTGGGTTATGACCCAATTCGTGGAGGTGGAGTAGCTTGCATCTTCTGAAGTCGTGAGTGATTATAAACGATTGCAGTGTACTGTGATGGTCGGTTCGACCGGTCGCTGCACGCATGCTTCGGTGCGATCGAGGATGCAATTTAAGTTTAAGATGATGGTGGGGGGGGGGGGATCACAGCTTAAATGCAGGAGCGAAATGAGTTTAACAACCATTTTCAGTGATTTGTGTAGGTTGTTACAGTCAAGGTAGAGAAGATTTCGAAGCGCTTTTAAATGAACCCCACACTATCCCTTCAGGCAAAAACATTTAGCTGATAGCGACGCTCATAACAAGGGGTTGACGTATCCGTCGATTGGCCCTGTTGTCGAATGCTTTGTTGGAGTATGCTAATCACCGTCTCCGAACTCATTCACTGTAATCCTTCGAGCAATTTTGGATTCCATTGACAGTTTTTGAGCATATCCCGACATTCTTCTAGGTCAGATTGCCTACTTTGGTGAAGAAATAACATTCTCCCGGAGATTTTCTGCTTGCCTCACCGATTAGGAAACACACACCCACACACACTTATATATATATATATAATAAATAAAAGAAGCCCAATTCGCCTAATTTACCAGTCGTTAGTCTTCGAATGTGGAATGCTTCGGCCTCTTCAACGAGTGCCATGCCAAGAACCGGACGTTGAATGGCGGTGCTTTGCGATCATTTCAACGGATCCATCAATAGTTGGAAATGGGTTAAAGCAGTTGGGGATCAAGGAACGGAGAGGGGCAGATTACTAGGGTGTAACTGCCCAATTCCGTTGAACCAGGTTGCATGCGGCAGTTACCCAGTCCGAGGTACAACCACAATTCTGACCTCTGTACCGTCAATGGCACTGTTCTCGCCCTCGTTTGTTGTCACCGCTTCACTGCAAGGGTTTCAATGCCAGATCTTTAAGGAACTGAATAGCACACAGACAAGGAGCTTATGACATGGAACTTCCTAGTGAATGTCCCACAGATGCACCTCCATTCTTCACGCGAGGAATAAGTGGTCGCCACTTACACGGAAGCTGCCTCTGATAGCCAATGGAGCTTGAATTATGGTCGAAATTATTTTGCTACACACTGTGATACCCACGTAAGAAATGGTTTTTACTTTCATTCTATGGTGGTTGAACGCAGAGGAGAGCACATGCGAGAGAGAGCGAGAGAGAGAGAGGGCGAGCGAGAGAGAGCGAGAGAGAGAGCGAGATAATATTGTGAAGACTTCAGCTGGGTTTGTACAAGTCACTAAAACATTTAAGCGAAATAGGTGAGTCGTGGGAGAGAGATACCTCGCGCCACCTCTGGCATGTATGACATAACTGACTACATGTAGCAGGGTTGAGCAATTTGAGCAACTTCAGTTGCATTGATCACGTCACGCAACGTAGAATGTAAGTTGAGATGAATTCCTGGAAATGTTGCCGCATTCCCCGATGCTTACAAATCAGATTACTGTCTTGAATGTGCAACAGGCGGTAACTGCCTAGGATTGGTAGCGTTCACGAGCAATCACTGTATGAACACGAGTAGTTGGGTGAATAGACAAGGTAAGAGATTTTCACAGCCGGTCCGCAGGTAACTTTTAGCTTGTGATGGTACCTGCGAACCAATTGCTCGTGTCTTGTTTATTTGTGTTTTTATTTATTTGTGATTTTTGGGCCGGGATGGCGTAAAGATTTGGATCAATGTAGCAACATTTTTGTGGTGAAGCATTTCAAGTTTGTGATTTGTTGTAAGGGGGGAAGGTACATGAGCTGTTTGCAGGATGATGATCCATGGAGTCTGCCTCTACTGAATGTACTCATGATGCTGCATCCGACTGCGGCTGGTCGCTCAAAAAGCTTAAACCACATAAAGTGCAAGCTAGCCGAGCCCTCAAGCTGCGCGGCGGTCCGGAGGAGCAAGACCGACACTCACGGCGCTCGGTGCTCTCCTCAAGCTCCTTCTGAATGTTTTCTGCGCATCTTTCAAGAGCCAGATATTCTCGCAACATCTTCATATTTGTTTTCTGAAATTATGCGCTTTCTATCCACTGTCCGTTTGTTTTCATTGGGTTGAACCGTCTGAAACGAGCATGTTTGCATGTCATGTGAGGAGACCTCGCCAATTTTTGTTTTAGGTGCCTTCAATTTCATCAGTGCAAAAGGTATTCTTACCAGCCCAATAAACAGGACCATTGGCGGTCTATGTTGGCGAGATCTGAAATTGACAGTCCAAGTACTGAGATCTGTTACGCGAGTAGTTCGCCTCTGCAGATCCAATCCGGCATTAGGTAGACAGAAACTGGCTTGTGTGCACGCCCATTGCCAGAGAGTCGTGGTGTGGAAAGAGTGAAAATTGTGGTGCAGTACAATTTAATGGGTTTGGGTGCCTCATGCTTGACACTTTTGCTCTAACCCCCACCCTCCTGCAGGACGTTGATCATGCGCTGATAGACCACCAACAACATCTGCGAAGACTTAAACAAAGCCGAGCTGACATCGCTGGCTCACACTCTTCACCTCCTCGGCGCCAGCGGCTTCCTCCAGATGTTGAAAATGGCCTTCCTACCACCGCGTGGGACTTCTCCAGGCCTCTGACTTCCAAGCTGGTTGAGAGAGACGGCAGCCATCAAACTGGCCATGGATTAACATGGTCCAGAGCAAGCGTAACTATCTCACTCACACCCTCCCTCGCTCACTCATTCGTTCATCATGTGTACATGTGTGGGTATATATATATATTTATATATATGTGTGTGTGTGTGTGTCTAGAGAGAATGGAGTCAGCAAGCAAGCTTTTAACTCTGTTAACTGTAGCTTGGGACTGCGATGTTTTTAGGAATGGAATGTTTTTAGGAAAGTAACAACCGGACATCTTTCTTCCAACAATCTCAGCGTTTAGTTATGAGAGTATAAACTAGCGAATAATTCTCTTCTCTCCTCATAGTACTAGAATACTTGGCAAGATTTCTGCCAGCGATATATCAGTTGCATGCGTTCTGGGTACAAGTCTGCCTACGAGCATGAGCTGATTATATGATGCTTTTGCGACACTTCAGACCCAGGTGGGTAAAGGCGCTACAACCAAGAAGCAACATCAAAGGCAGAGCATGGGAGCAGCTGTTGAGAGTCGGCGTCGACTTGCTCGTGGACCTCGAAGTGGCAGTACCATTGCTGATGGCCAGGCTGGAGGCCAATCCATGTTGCCACTGGAGGATCATCGGGTGGTGAGCACTGACTACCAGGCTGCCGGGACACAAGCATTGATGAGAGTGACCCTCTTGGCAGCGGGGTTTGTGATCGGAGCCAGGGGAATAAGTGTCAGGTTGATTGGGCAAGTCACAGGCGCAATCGTGCAATCTTGGACTGAATCTTGCCGGTAAATACTCCCGCTATTTACGATGGAATGATTGCATGCGCAACCAGGTCGCGAGGGAAACGAATCGTGTCGGCTAATTACATTTTTGGGTTTTTGCAATCAGGCCTGATTCAATTCCCATTCGGTTGTTCCGTATTCAAGGGAAGAAGGCTGTGGTACAGACAGCAGTCGCCTTAATTGAACAAGCCGTGGTCAAGTACAAGGATCTTTGCGAGTGCAAGCGCCGTGGAGAATTCGTGCAACGGGAACATGTCATCAACGGAGTGGAATTTTATTACCAGCCACCACCACGCAAAGCATTCGCTAACAACGGCAATGAGCTATCACCGAAGGCAGAAGATGGCCCAGGAGTGCAGCTTAAAAATCACTGGGCGACCGCTGCATCGTTTCCTCCACACCATGTCTGGTTGCAACATTTGCAGGAGCAGCAGCAGCACCAAGCGCAAACCGTGGCTGCTCAACAACAGAAACAACAGGCTCACTTATCTCTGCTCGAAGCGTCTCAGGTACTACACCGTTGGCAGAAACTGCAATTTGTGAACTACAAGACTAATGCTTAATTGAGAGCAAACTCACAAACATGCTGTCCCGGTGGCTACATTCTTCTTAATGATTCGTTCTGAGCATCGAGAAACTCCTCGGTGTCCAAGTTGGCCATGACTTTGCAACGGTGCGTCCGTAATGGCTGGAAATGTAAGCATGAACTTGACATTTGTGGCTCTTTGATCAACCATAGGGGCAAGTTGTGAAGGGGGAGAATGGAGTGGATTGCCGTGGCCAGGACCCCAGCGACGTTGGTCATCAATCGCAAGTCTTCTTCGACTGGCAACCCAAGGTAATGCCTCGCAGCTCAAAACATTTATGGACCCTAAAATCGTCATTACGCGTTATTGTTTCATCAGAAGCTCAGACGCAGACCTGGGATTATGAGATGATTAGACTTTTCTCTTGATCCTAAGTACGCAGGTTGAGAGACAGCTGATAGGGTTGCAGAGCCCCGACTTGGATCGCTCCACCGAGTTCGTGTCGGAATTTGAGCTCCTCGATCATGGGCTGCAACAATCGGTCGCCTCTTTAGAGCAGGCTTTGCAGCAAGTTCGCCTCGAGCAGCACCTCCTCCAACGCAAGCGGACAATGGGCAACAACAACAACAACAACAACAACATGACCAATTGCAACAACAATGACAGCGCCAGCCACCTCCACTGCTACCAAGGCCAGAAATTGCTCAATCACAAAAACAATCAGATCGAAAACAACGGTCTTTGGCCAGAAACGACCTCAGATTCCCCCGGGGGTCAGCAATCAACTGCTGCATCAACGGCCTTTCATTTAGGTCCTAGCTTGTTCTTTTTTGAGGATGGGGGGTTGCCACTCCCAATTTCACCGACAGAAGTCAGATCCGTCGCAGATAACAATTGTATATTCATGGACGCCACCCCTTGCACGCCGTTTGATTTTCCTCACAATGATTTTCTACGTGACAGCCTGCCGAATTTTCCTCGGGGTGCTGCTCGTAAGATCCCGGAGTGCAGCTTGTATGAGGCTTCTCCCTTGCTGGAAAATGCTGATGTCAGCCTCTGTATTGTTTGCATTGAACATCAGGCCAGTGTTCAACTCATGGTATGTTCTCTCACCTTCACCAACATATCAATTCGATGCATCAAAAGCTGACAATCGTCAGGCTTTATCGTGGCGTGGCTTGTTTTTTTGTCGAGCTGATACAGATCTGGTGGAATTGCAGCCTTGTGGACACAACTTGTTTTGCTTCTCTTGTGTGGGAGGTCTGCTGACCTGCCCTCTCTGCCGTCAGCCCATTGTAGCCCTCCACCCTCGTGGCTCGAACCCCTTGACGCCGGAAGTTGTCGGCCTTCCCAACGATCTCAACGTCTCCAGCCACAGTGAATGGAACAAGGTTCCGGGTGCATGAATTTAAGGTTGGTAGCACAACCACCGCAGGCAGCCTGTCTCATTGCTCCAGCATATTTGAAGGTTGTGCTAGTTTGGACTTGTGATGGATCGAGGAGGCTTTGTTTGTTGGCATTATTGCAGCTTCCCCCAGATTTTAGTTCTTCCTCACAAACATGTTGCACCCTCGGTCTGTGCCGTTGAGGGAATAGGGGCCAAATCTGATGCGGATACAGCATGTTGTTCACGACAACGAAAACTGTTCATCGGCACACATTGACGTGCCCTTATGCAAGAAGGTAACACTTGGTAGGAATTGTGGACTTCAAGGTGGGGAGTGAATTGTGGAGCTTGTGAGGCTGCGGAGACGATGGGCATGTTTGGTACAAAAAACACGTGAAGTTGGGTTGCAACTGGTTACATCTTTTGATTGCAGGGGCGTACATAATCACCAGGTCAGAACAGGTACAAGGTGTGGCTGTCGGACCAAGATATAGTTTAGAGGCTTGTTGCTCAGAGTTTATAATCCACAGCAGGCGTCTTTCGATCTGAATTTCTGATAATAATCACATTTCGGTAGGCCTTTGAGTTGTTTATCTAATTTAGGTGAACTCTGGAGCACAATTTCTAATACAAGGACACACCAAACCACCTGGAATTGGAGCAGCTATGCTATCGGCTCTTTTTGGTTTGTCGAATTCGTAATAATAAGAATAAAGCGTTGGAGGAGGTCGTTATTTGTGGTGATGTTCTGGGCAGTTTAGGTCTCGATGTCTTTTGCAGAAATGGACAGATAAAATGAGATGTGATCAGATTCTTGCATGCATCCAAATAAAGCTTTATTGTTTCAACTCAAACTTCATTAATATGATATGTTGAAAACATCGGCTAGCAGAAGCAAAATCCAGTGTTGTGATGGCTATGGCATGGACATTTCCAACCTAGCAAGCATAGAAAGTACGCATGAGAATTATCAAAATGTTGAGGAATTTATGCACAATGTCCACAGGTAGTCTGCTCTTGTGGGTCACCACTGCACGCTGCCACGTCGGGAGGTAACTGTAAGGAATCTCGAAACGTAAGGAACTCGAGGTTCTCGAATTTCTGAAGCTGACGTGCGACTACAAAAGGTGCTACCTGATGATATTGTGACGAAACAGCTTTTGTTCCTTAATCCAAGTACTCTCAGTAGGAGTCAGGGGACGCCAAATGCTAGACTCTGCGACGAGTCCCGATCGAGATCCTGGTGCTCATCCCATGTAATTCATCTCTTCAAATAGTAAAGAGAACAATGAAAGTAGTAATCTAGTTTTGATCCCGGGACGAGGGCGACGGTAGCTGGCTGGCAAAGTGATAGCATAAGATCTGGGAAGGTAGACAGGCGAGTTTCGAAGTGAGCAAGAGTGCTGCCTGTCATCTTTGTCAGGAAAGGAATCAGGTTGAGAGAGTGGAGACGAGGCAAGGAGGCGTGTCGTCCGCCATATTCTACTTCTTCTTCCTCCCTCTCGCTCCTTGCCCCGCGCACTCTTGATATTCTGTGCTCTCCAACAATCTATCGCTGTGCGATTACTGTAAGAACTGTGCCGGATTGTGATTTCTAAGTAGTGGGTTCGGCTTCGAGCTGCGAATCGTCTCTCTGTTGCGTTTTTTCTTCTGGAACTTGCTTCTGTTCTTGTTCATCAGCGGTAAATGAGTGCGACCACGGAATATAAACTTGCTGGGGAGTTTATTTATTTCTTTATTTTTGGGTAGAACAGGAATTTTGGCGTATATCGTGAGTGTGGAACATGGACATTATCTCAGTCGAATGTCGAGACCGTTGTGAGGTAGCTACGATGTGATTGACCAGCTCGTGCCTGCATCTGGTCACCAGGGCCGTCGTCTTCTTTGCATGGTCTAGCTTTGACTTTGAGCTGATCCTTCGCCACATTTCATTGGATTGTGAGAAAATGACCTATGTTGCGTTTCGGCTTCGTGCTTCCAGCTTACGTTTGAGCTCTAATTTTCGGATCAGAAGTGTCCAATTCAATTTCAATGTATTCCTGAACTTGAGTTCGCGCTTAATTTTAAAAGAGAAATCAGGTTATCGAATCAACCTTCGTTCTTACTTCAGCGAGCTCATTTACACAGTCTAAAATCTAGGGTTCCATTGTTTCGTATCCAGAACCTGAACGATCTGGCGCCTGTGGGTATATTTCTCTCGCTGTGCTAAATTAGCAGTGCATCTAATCTAGCGTTCTTATTGTTCACTCAGTTTATTTCTGGAAGACAGGAGTTTGGCAATGTATAGTCACAATGCAATCAGAGGTGCGAAGTACAGTTTTATTTTGAAAATTTAGGTTGGAAGAAGGTGAAGTGGGAGTGTCTAGTGCGTACTGTGTGCTAAGTTAGGTCTAGCCTTAAGGATTCAAAGTGTGGTATGGGTACAGATTTTGGCAAACATGGGAGTGCTTCGTGATGTAGAATAAGTTTGTACAATAATACGTTTCCTGTCGCTCCAGAAGCCATCCCTGTTTTCCCTCAGAGCGAGCAAATGTTGTTTTCTGTAGCACTCATAGGTGCGTCGCATCGCAAGGAAATACAACCTTGAATTACATGGTTTATTTGAGAAGCAATCCTACTTGGAATTCGATTCTACGAATTTGAAATATGTGTCTTGAGGTTAGAGTATCTGCGACTTCAACCATTTTGGAGTAAAATAAATTGTTTGATTTCTGATATTTTGAAATAGTGCTGTGTCGTAGTTTTGACAAATCATCCATTGTCTAAGGTTTTCTCCACAACCGAGGCTGAGACCATTCATAGTGAAGAATTTGAAGGTGCAGGATTTGCGGGGCGACTGGTCTCAACCAATCGGGAGTGTTGTATTTAATTTTTTTAGAGAAACTGTTCATTACTTGGAAGCCAAGACACTTCTTCTCCCAACTGCGACGATAATACACGTGACTTCATGGGTTCTTCTGGAGGATCGACAGAGCTGAAAAGCTCGTCAGCGTCACATTCGAACTTCCTAGCGGGGTTGATGCCGAAAAAGGAGATTGGGGTCTCGCGGTTTCTTGAAGAGCATCCTGATTACGACGGGAGGGGCGTTAAGATAGCAATATTTGGTATGTTCTGGTACATTGTACTACGTTTCAAAGATAATAAGAGGCATAATATTGTCATACGTCTGAAATATAGCCATCTGTTGAAAGTTTTGTTGCCAATGCATCATATGCTGAAGCATTATGTTTTGATGGTTCAGATTCTGGAGTAGATCCAGCAGCCGCTGGTTTGCAAGTTACAACAGATGGAAAGCCCAAGATCATTGACGTACTTGACTGGTAAACGAGAGGAGTGTGAGAATGCTCAAACTAACCTCACATCTTTCAATACGGAACTTGGTTCTGTTAAGTCCACTGGAAATTTTAGTATTAGGTGCTATATCTTTGTAGAAGGTAATGGAATTTGTTACGTGTTAACTAAGAGACCGAGTCTCAATTAGTTTGCAGGCCTTAGTACTGGAATTTCCTCTTCGCTGCGAAGTTCTTATATTCGGTATTGTGCCAAGTGCAGCACTGGAAGTGGAGATGTGGATACTTCCTCTATCGTGAAGGCAGACGCAGACGGGTTTATTACTGGAGCTTCAGGTTTCCTGCTGGCCAACCCATGTTTTGCATTCATGAGTTGTGCAAAAAAAGGGTTTTTTTTTGCGTGATGCCAATCCAGTAGACTATGAACGAAGCATCCTTTGGTCGTCATCGTGGTGCTGAGTTTGATTTGATACTTTCTTGTGACGCTGAAGTCAATAGTGTAAATTCATCGCTTGTTGACTCAATGTTTAATGATAGTCTTGCTCAATACCTTAGACACAATGGCCTTTGAAAGGTATCGCTAAGAGAAATTTGTGGATTTAGCTACATTCACGTTTAACTCAGGCATAGAAATTAATTTTTTTCTGGATTTTTCTTCCCCTAGGGGCCCGGCTGCAAGTAAACAAAGAATGGAAAAACCCAACAGGCGACTGGAGGGTGGGCTACAAGTTAGCTTTCTCGCTGTTCACAGATACCCTCATCAGTCGTCTCAAGGTATATACTTCTCTTGTTAGTATTAAGCTGCTTGCAAGTAACACTGACTTGATTTGTTTGTAGATTCTTACTGGAAAGTTTCCATTTGAAAGTCGAAAACCAAGAGATTTTGCATTTGATCTATAGAGATATATGTTGTTTAGCGGAACACTTTGTTACTTAGAGGACTTTTCAACGATTTTCGGGTATTTCACATGCAGGAAGAACGAAAAAAGAAGTGGGATCAGAAGCAACGCGAGGTCCAAACTGATGCACTTCGTCAACTTACAACCTTTGATGCGGTGGGTGTCTGCACTGTACATTTGTTGGTCATTCCTCTGAATTTTCTCACAGTTTGGGGGCGTCAGAAAAGGAGAATCGGATAATAGATTGGGAGTAAACTTCTAATAATCTTATGGTGAAGGAGAACTTTCCACATGACAATTCTCTGAAGAATGCAATGTGTATAGGAGAGGAGAGAGGAGGAAGTACATTCTCTAAAGAACCTTTCAATTTTTTTAGTTTAATTATATAAAGAAAGAAAGTGATGCATGCTGAATATCTTTTCCTGATACACCTCCAAAATATTCATTGTGATTTAAATAGTCCCACAAAGAAGGGTTCGTGCAAGCTTCATAATCTTTCAGCTTATATGCTCGATGTCTTTACAACAGAAGCATCCCCACCCAACTGAGCCATCGCTCAAGAAAGCCCGGGAGGATCTTCAGAATCGAGTTGATCTTCTACAGAAACAATCAGACGTAAAACATTCTGTATCTGACTTTTTTCTATTTAAAATTTCATGTTGTGATCCTTGAAGCAATCTTTGTTTTGAATTTTACTCTTCATCTTTCGAACGTTGACAATGAATTTCTTTCTTTTGGTCCAGAATTACGAGGACAATGGACCAATTATTGATGCAGTAGTCTGGCATGATGGGGATTTGTGGAGGGCTGCACTGGACACTCAAGACATGGAAGTGGGAAAAGGGCGTGGAAAGCTAGCAGATTGTATTCCTTTGACTAATTTCAGGTATTTAAACGTTTGGTGCTCTTCATCTATGGCTTTGAAGGAACCTTTTACAGGATTTATCGTATACTCACCTATAATGTTCGAGTGATTTGGTAAATATTCAAAGGGCGTAGACCATCTAGTAAGATTATCGATAGTCTAACTAATATTTCTTCATTGTGGATCCAATCTTCTTTCAAAGCTGGGCTCTTACTAGCCCTGTTGGTTATTCATCTGCTTTGCAGGGTTGAGCGCAAATATGGGATCTTCACACAGATAGACGCCTGCAGCTATGTCTTAAATATTTTCGACAATGGAAACGTACTCAGCATTGTCACTGACTGCTCCCCTCATGGGACACATGTTGCCGGAATCACTGCCGCTCACCATCCTCAGGTTTGTGTCTTTACTACCGATAGTTGTGGTCGTTTGTATTGATCATACACGACACTGTTTTTGTTATGTGTATCTGTATTTCAGATCTTAGGATGAAGATTTTGGAAGAAGTTCGTATTCTCGTGACTGATTAGCAAACTATGAATTGGAACCTTTCAGGGTGGGGTCATATGAAAACGCTTCTTTTTCTTCTAATTACATTTTTTATGAAGTTGGATACCCTAATCGTTGATATGCACAATGGTTCCTTTCGACTGTTGATAGGCAGTATTTTGAGGTTGTGGTGAATGTTGAAAAATTTCGACAAGAGGTTTGATTCTCTATGACCACTTGTGCTTTTCTACAGGAACCACTGTTAAATGGAGTAGCACCAGGTGCTCAGATCGTCTCTTGCAAGATTGGTGACACTCGACTTTATGCAAGGGAGATGGGCACTGGTCTAGTTCGCGCCCTCAATGCAGTAGTTGAGGTAAACCTCTTGACGTACATTCCGTTGTTATTGGAGATTTGGCAATACTCGTCACACGTTTGTATCCAGTATAGTTTTTGAAGTGAGCATTTACCCTGCAGTTCAGAATCTGATAGTTTTGTTGGCGGTGAGTTTAGACTTTTAAGGCATATTTGGCTGTAAAACTCCTTTTTCTGGAAACACTTGCAGTAGCTCAGGTTTGGACTTACTGGATGGCATAATGTGGTAATCTACAGATGAAGTGCGATCTCATTAACATGAGTTATGGAGAGCCAACTACATCGCCTAACTATGGCCGTTTTATCCGGCTAGCCGAGGAGGTAAAATATTGGCCCATGTTCATGCTGTACTTTTCGAAGGAGGATATAACCTCATTGGAAAATTAAAGATCCGTTTTGATTCATGTTTTTGTTTTTCATACCTCGATACCTGGAAGGTCATGTATACTCAAGCGAATAACTTCATTCTTGCCTTCTGTTTGTTTTCTTTTCTTTTTTGACCAGGTGGTAAACAAACATGGAGTGATATTCGTATCTAGCGCTGGTAACAGTGGACCATCATTGACCACTGTAGGTGCTCCAGGTGGCACATCATCTTGTATTTTGTCCATCGGAGCGTTTGTAACTCCATCAATGGCAGTCTCAGCTCACTCTTTGGTTGAGGCAGTATCTGAAGAGGGCATCCAGTACACCTGGTAAATTAACCATCGCACCCATGCTGAGCTAGGTCCAGTTGTCTGTGTCTGCGAAGGTAAGTTAAGAGGGTGATGCTGCTGTTTTTTCAAGTTCGATCCACGGATAGGTCACTTTGAACCATCAGCAGCCCTTCAAGAGTGGTTCAAAAAGTTCTAGATTTAGTAGACTTCTGCTGTTTAGAGTTCTATTTTAATTATGAATATGCGCTTCAGTCTGTGGCTAGCTTCCCGCTCGTAAGTTGTAATTTCGTGGAAAATAGGTATAGAGTAGTCACTAACTTCTGTGTATTTTCAATTTGCAAAGTAGAACTAGTTGTCCAGTTTATCCTAACAGCCTTCCGATGCAAGACGGTGATCTTTACTACTTTGTTGGCAGGTCGAGCAGGGGACCTACAGCAGATGGAGATTTAGGTGTTGGTATTAGTGCCCTTGGTGGTGCAGTAGCGCCTGTGCCCAAGTGGACTCTTCAACCACGCATGTTGATGAATGGCACTTCTATGTCTTCTCCCTGTGCTTGCGGCGGTGTTGCGTTGATATTGAGCTCGCTTAAGGTAAGTTCAGGTGTCTAATCAGATCATATGTTTTGAGCCTCATAGGCGCTGCTTAGCCCTTGTGGTTCGCTGGTCCTCTCATCATAGTGATGATCTTATCTTGTGTCGGAAAATATATCTGAACTCGGTTGTGAGTTCTTCTTGGCCAATGAGAGTTGATGACTAGGGTTACTGAAAAGAGCGAAATATCGGTGTTTATAGCATCAGGGTAATGATAATTCCCAAAAGAAAAAGTTGTCAGGAGAATTCGATTTGGACGAGTGTAGTGTTAGGACTCTAGTTGTATGTGTCTCAATTTTACTCAGAAGAACTATAATGATTGCATTCTGTATTGATCAGGCAGAGGGACTTGCAATCAGCCCACATGTGGTGAGGAAAGCGCTTGAAAATACTGCAGCTCCAGTCCATTCCGCACCTGAAGATCATCTTACAATTGGTCGAGGCCTTTTGCAGGTTGATAGGTGAAGCCGTCTTCATCGTTTTCTCTCTTTTGCACCTGCCTGTTTCACGTATAGGAAATTTTCTACTTTGTCTTGAATTTTATTTATGGTGTAGTTTGATTGGCGTTCTTTATAATATTCATCTTAATCGGACAGGTGCTTCTTAAGTGAAAGGTGAATTTATTCCCTGCCTATTGAAGTGTCTGCGAATTCATGGTGTATTTTTTTGTTTAAATTACTTTTGGATACGTAGCACGATTTATCTCTGGATTAGCTATGTGACTTTTGAAGTTCTAACACTACTGTCTCGTTAGGTTTCAATCCAATTTTTAGGGGTGGAAAGCTACTACAGACGTGCATTGGCTCTTTGAGAGGACTGAAAACATTTTATTGTCTTTACTTCACAATAAGTACCCTAATCGATGATGCCTCTTTCTAAACATTTCTAATATAAAAATTGCCTCGTTCAATCTTGTACTATAGAAAGTTAATGTGCTTGGTATCTTTCGTGACATTTGTTTTCAGGACATATGAGTATCTCCAAAAATGCAAGGACCTTCCACCTGTGTATTACAAAGTGGAGGTTGTACGTGGCTCAAACTCAGGTGCAGGATTTTTCGTGAACTATCTGCATGACTTGCTTATGGAGTTGTGTTTCTACAGAATATGAAGTTGCATGTGTATACCTTGGCATGTTCTATGCCTTTATTATTTGGCACCACATTACAGAAGGATTGTTCCGTAATGTGAATATTTGCTTAGGTACTTCATCAGGGTTTAGCAGCCTGTTGGCCCTTTTTGTGAATAGTGTTTGTGAGGAAACCGACATTAGTTTACATGCTCCAAGATTTATGCAGTGAAAGACATCTCAACTCTCAAGCCATTAGAATTTTCCGCTTGGGCCATTTTACACATACATGTATGTGTACAGATATTCTTATATGATCTAGCTGCAATGGATTAGTCACTTGAGAGCTGTTGTTAATGTATATGTACTTGTTTGACAGGGGTCACTCTCCGAGGGGTGTATTTAAGAGAGGCATTTGACTGCCGACAAGCTAGTGAGGTATTTTTACCATTAAAATCTATGTTTTCTTCTGTTACTATCTTGTTTTTAGATACGCCAAACCCTGAACCCTACGATCAGAATATTTTTATCTGACTCAAGTCTCTTTTGTTTGCCTGCCTTCCAGTGGAACATCACAGTCAAGCCCATATTTCCTGAAGATGCTGACAATCTTAATTCAGTGGTACCCTTTGAAGAACGCGTGAAGTTGGAGAGCGGGAACCCATCCTGGCTCAAATGTCCTGAATTTCTCTTACTTACCAACAATGGACGCACCTTCAAGTACTGAGTCTTTCTAGGCACGACTTTTTCTCTTGCTATGAAGTTATCTTTTCCTTCAATCTGAAAACTATTTCCATTCGTTTGAGTCGTGAACGCTGATATTTAATTTTCAATATGTTCAGTATTGTGGTTGATCCAACAACTTTAGATGATGGTCTTCACTACTCCGAAGTTGTGGGTATCGACTCTGAAGCACCTTGGCGAGGGCCCCTTTTCAGAATACCTGTGACTATATGCAAGCCTCTTGAGTTGAAAACTTTGCCACCAGTAGCAACTTTTTCAGATTTGTCGCTTGTTGCAGGTACTGAATTGCAGCACATAGCACTTTGTTGTTACTTTATTACATAGTCCTAACCACCAGATCTATGTTCGACGAATTAAAACGTCCCTTTTTGTGAGCTTATATTTAAATTGCATGTTGTTTAGTTCTTCTTAAGAATAAGCCTGTGTTGATCTGGTGTGATTGGACGGTTTGGAGCAGGTGGGATTGAGCGGAGGTTTATATCAGTTCCAGAGGGCACCACTTGGGCGGAAGCAAAATTAAGAATGACTAGCTTCGATACTCCTCGGAGAGTCTATGTGAATGCTGGGCAAATTGTTCCTAAGACAACCCCTATTGTATGGAGCACTCTTGTGAATTTTCAATCGCCTTCATCGAAGTCTTTTGCATTTCCATTAATAGGAGGAGTAACCATGGAGCTTACAATCGCCCAGTTTTGGTCCAGTGGCAATGGTAGTCATTTACCAGCTACTGCTGATATAGAGGTAGGCGCATCCTCATCACCTGGAAGTAACTAAGCATATCAAACTGTTTCAGATTAGTAGATCATGTGTTGTTTCTAATATTTCTTCTGTATGTTGGGCAGATTGAATATCATAGCTTACTCGCCAGTAACAACGAGGTGGTCTTTAAGGGTAGCGAGGCTACAGCTCGAGTGGATGTAAGGGCAGCTCTTGGTACTGAACAGTTATCTCCGTCTGCTACTTTAAACAAGGTTTTCTTTCACCCATGTGTTCTTTCCATTTAGGTGTTGAATTCTGATTGTTTTAACGCTTTTCTGCTGACAAGAGTGGTGGCATGCTTTCATTTCTGCTAGGATTTCCATTGGGTTTGACATGTCTGACAGCTACTAAGAACTCCGTGTGTTTGACCCCTGTATCCAATTTGGAGCGCAAATTGATGTGTTTTTGTTAACCTAGAGAGAAATTGAATACAATAGTGGTTGTATGTGACGGATGTATCCAATTAAGTAGCCTTCCCTTCACAGATTCGCATCCCATATCGCCCTGTGGAAGCCAAGATTGCGCCTTTATCAGCGACAAGGGACAGATTGACTGATGGAAGGCAGATTAATGCTCTCACTTTGACGTGAGTATACTTTCAAGTTGAGAATCATAATTTCTTAGCTAAATTTGCTTATTTGATGTCAACATTATTCCCACTTTGTTCTAAGAGGGTCATTTCTTGGCTTTCGGTTTCGGTTTTCGACGCTAAGATCTCATACCCATAACCTTCATCCAGTTCCATCACGTGCTTGACTTTGTTAGTTTATGTCTGTTTTCGTTTTGTTTTTAGAAAAAAAACAGTACGTGTGGTAGGGAAATACCTGCCATATCTTATCGTAGCATGTATGCAGATATAAATTTTTTCTCCCAGAAGGTGGCGACGTGACCCCAAGGCTTCCTATCTTGAACGAGCGCATGTATGACATTGAATTCGAGTCACAGTTTTACTTTCTCTGTGATTCCAACAAGGTATTTCTAGCATATTACCCTTGATGGTGTCCGTTACTTCTGTGGAAATGCTGTATTAGACAGTTTATAACTTACTATCTGAACTTATTGATAACAAGTACATATACACACATACATACACACACACATTCACCAGTTATTTTGTTGGGCGCGGATAGTGTCAAATAGCAGACAACTTGGCAATGTTCCTTCTGTCATCCGTCAATTTGTGTTTGTGGTTTCTATAACGCTGATGCAATCTTTTAATAAACTTATTCTAGGAGGTTGTCCTTGTACGCGTAAACTCAGCCACTGATTAATATTTGTGTTACACTGATTGAATACAGCGAGTACTCTCAATTGGGGATGTAACTCCGTTAACTGCAAGACTCTCTAAAGGAGACTACACACTGTTATTTCACATCAGGTTAATTGCTGAATTTTACCTCAGGGTTTTCTCATTTTAAAACGTGAATTCTAATTCATGTTCAGCAACAATGTCATGTTCTAGGTTTACAGTATTGCGCTTAATGACCCAGAGTATCTAATGAGTGCAATATCCAATTAGTAAGGGTCCACAAGAAATCTTAGTCCTTATACAAATTGCGAAGTGTTGCAACATGTGCATTCTTCCTGGCTTGTTTACCAGGCATGACAACACGAGGTACCTAGAAAAGCTGAAAAAGACAGTGATATTGCTTGAGCGCGATCTGGAAGGCAAGGTGTGTTAATCCAGTGAATGCGTCTGTCATTTGTTTTTAGCAATGTTTAACTTGATAAACATCTTTTCGATTTCAAATAATTACCTGGAGATGTTTATTACTGAAGCTTTTGTAATCTCTTTTGTAAGGTCTTTTTTATCTTGTGAATGTTGTTTTAATTAGCCTTTCTTAGCAACTGCTTGTTTGCATTGTCCGCGACAGAGTTCTATAAAGCTTAGTTTTTCTTCCCATATCGATGGAGCTATAACAGGGGCAGAGCCATTCACAAACGTGCAACTAGCTGCTGGGTAAAATTTCTCGTTCTGTAATGGGTCGGCTTTATGTGTTTCTCTCATCTAGTTGGAAATTCTGAGTCTAGGTATTCTCACGTACTCTTGCTTTATGCAACATAATAAGACCCAAATGATGCTCTTCACTTTACCTCAGTTAATTCTTCTTAACTCATGCATGTGGGCATGATAGAGAATCACGGCCTTTCTACATTGTCGCCCCAGCTGATGAAAAGATACCGAAGGTAAGGCAGTTATCTACCCGTAGTTACCTTTCTATGATCAGATGTCAATTCATAAAACACACGTCAAAGATTTTTTTCTGCCTTGTTTTGAACACAAGGATCAACAGAAGTGCTTGCATTATATATTTTCACAAGGTTTGTTATTAGTTTTTCATGAATACTATTTTCTTTAATTGTTTGGTTACATGCTAACATGAATATAAAATATGGAAGTTACTAAAGTGATATAGTGTTAATAAGCTCTGATTTCTGCATTTGGACATCGTGGTTGGATATTGCAGGAAGCGACGTTGGGTTCAGTGTTGCTGGGCGAGATTACATACGGGAAGGTTGAAAGTGATAACTCCCCTGCACAGTCAACTATCTCGTTTGTTGTGCCCCCACCACCTAAGGTTTGACTGCACAAACTGCTTAAATGACATTTACTAGCCTAGCTCAAAGTTCGCATTATCCTATGGTCCACTTGCAGTTCCATCTATTTCATAATAAGGTGGTAGCAAACCTTGGTTCACTTGTTCAATCGTAAGTGCAAAGCATCAGTCTCCTTTTAAATTGTGACGTATCAATTTGTCTTATAACATTTCACAAGCTTCTAATTGATTTGGCTTGATGTATAGGGTGAGGAGAATCCAAAAGAGGAGGATGATACTAAAAAGACTGTTTCTCAAGCTCTGGATGAAGAGGTGGGTTCTATTCCCATAACTTACGTGACGATTGTACACTCTACAGACAATACCATTCTTGGGAATAATACTAAACATGATTATGGGTTACTAGGGACTTTCAAATGGTCGGCTCGTCTTCAGCTCAGTTAGTGCTATTCCTTGTACATGGTTGTTATCATCATGACCTGGTGTTTAGCGACCAATGTTAGTGGGAAGCAAGTAGATGTTTCTCTCGACGTTATGTTTGTAAGCATGTTGCATCTTTGTAACCCACAGTTCCTCAGTTGGTACACATCTCTTCGTAGCGCCGAGTAGTAAAGACTTGCAATGGTTTCTGAATCAGTTTTTGTAGTCTAGACAACCAATAGATTACGGTAGAACTCAATGTGGCTCTACTTCAATAGACCGAAAGTCGGCAAATGAATTAAGAAAATATGATATTGTGCAGGTGAGGAATGCAAAAATCAAAGTGCTTTCAAGTTTATCCTTGGAAACAAAAGAAGAACTTGAAGACTGGGAGCGGCTTGCTGATTCACTCAAGGTCGTCATTCGAACCTGTGTGCTTGCACCTTATATATTATTGGATATTGGGCTTTTGGCAAACTTTTTTACTGCATACTTTGTGAGCTTTTTTATTTTATTTTTAGCGATTGGTTTGCTTGGCATGTAGTCATGGCGTGGCACTACTGATTGCAGGTGAATTATCCCAATTATCTGCAACTCATGGTAGAGATATTGAACAAGATGTATGGATCCCAAGGCATCGGAGAAGCAAAGTTCAGTGTTGCCAAGGTTCTTTTCTCTGAGCATTAAGTGTCTGTTCTTGCAGATTGATACATAACCTGGAATGTTAACATACATAAATGTTGTATCATCCATGTTGTAGCATGCCTAGATTTGAGTAGAGTTACCATTGTTGGAGTAGTTCTGACAAAAAAAGACGTGGGTTCAAGCAGTGCAGTAATTTGGTGACCGGCTTTTTGCGCAATTGGGAAACTTTGTACATCGCTAGTTAAACACTTCGGTATAACTATTTTCCACATTGTAACACAGGTAATTAAAGCGGCTGATAATGTGATTCGTTTAGTGGACACTGGGGACCTCGCAAGATATTTCTCAATGAAAAACGAGTCTGAAGATGCGAATGCTGCGGTAACTTCTCTTAATTCCCAGTGCTTTTCCAAAGCTTTGGAACGTGCCACTTCAGGGGTTGAAGAGTGGCATCCTTAAGCCCCAAATGAAGTAGACATCAGTATTTGTACATGGCAGAGCAGATGTTGGAAGATTGTAAGTCTTTTTGGAGTAGATTTCTCTCTTTTAAAATTAGGATGTAGTCTTAACGTGCGTTTGTGAGCATTATTAGAAAGTGCGAAAGGAGATGGAAAAGAAACGAGATTCATTGGCAGATGCTTTATACAAAAAGGGTCTTGCTTTGATTCAGCTGGAAGAGGATCAAACAACCCAACAGGTATGTTCATTTGAAAGGGTTGTATTGGACAATATTTAATTGGACAATATGTGATGTGCTGGACCTCCGTCACGTTTTGATTGAAAGAATGTCATGTTAGCAGGCCATACTTCTTCCCGAGCCCATGTTTACTACATTTAATGCGTACTGTTGGTCTTAGTTCTTGGCCTCTGATATACATCTGCAGCCCAATATACCCAACCTTTAATATAAACTTCTAATCTTTGAGATGTTTCTTGCAATGGAATCTGGCGTTGAGTGCAGAAAGAGGTTCACGAAGCCTCTTCAACTGAAGCTCTAGATGGTGCATCAACTTCTGTGAAGAACGAGAGCTCCCAACTGTCAGCTCCAATAACCGACACTTTTGAAGAGACGTATGCTGAGCTGCGGAAATGGGCTGACATTAATTTGCCCAAGTATCTTCTTCTAACTGTGAAACGAGAAAAGCGCAGTGGTCGTCTCGGAAATGCTTTTAAGGTAAAGCATGTTGGCTTATTTATTTGTTTATTTTTCCTAGAGATCAGCTTCAGGCCGATCTCCACCCTGAAAGATTTTTTACCATTTCAATCTCCTTATCTTCATTTCTTGCTATAATTCTTGCTAAAACCTTAAACTATGAGGAATCTTGTAAATCTGGGCAAAATGTGTTAGCAACAAAAATGACTTACCGGCTGAGTTGTTATGAACAGTTTTTGAACGACCTGATCCAAGATGAAAGCAAACCACCTCAGAAAAGTTTATTTGAGCTACGCATCAAACTGCTTGAAGAGCTTGAGTGGCCACACCTGGCTGAATACGAACGCAAGTGGCAGATTGTGCGCTTCCCTTCCTCATACCCTCCTTTTTAGTGTCTTCGTTCTTTGGTCCTTTTTAGATTGAGTTGAACATTGTCACAATCTACTGTCTTTTTGAAAGGATGCCTGCATCCTTCCGAATTGTGCTGATGGATCTAAAATTCAGGAATGTAATTCATCGGTGAATCTCTGGACCATGTGTTTGCCTGAGCATTTATATTTGCAGCCTCTAATTCAACTGCGATTGTTGGACACTACCCACTGTTTCTTTGAGCTGTTTCTTATTTCTGAATCTCATGCTGTAGCATTGGAAACTGAAAAGAGTGTTCAAGGAATTTGCTAGTATTTGGTTAGTTGCATTGAACTCATGGTAGCAATACCCTTGCCAACAATTAATAAAAACTGTGATTTGTTGACGACTGTTGGAAAAGTCAATCTTCCACGAGTTTCAGTGATATGTCAAAACATGAATGAAATGGGATTGTATCTCTTCGGCAATGAACAAGTATTGGCCTAGGAAAATGGGCAACAGCTAGTGGCCGGCCATAATCTCAACACAAAAAATTTCCACCGACAGATTTGACTAAATTCTCATAATTCAAATGTAGTTGGAGTGTGTTAAATAATGCAGTATTCAAGACATTTTGAGCATGGTGTTATATAATAATCAAATTTTGGGCATGGCGTAATATGCAGAGGGATAAAAAGGTTTATATCATCTTCTAGCATTTCATGATCTAGTTTGATCTTAAAATTTTGAAAACAGCTCTACCTTACGCTGAAACTAACATTAAAAAAAAACCAATAGTGGAATAAATTCATAAACATTTGGCTCGACAGAACAGAAGCAAAGTCACAAAATAAAGGGAAGATCATCAGATCAATCACTAAACACTGCCAATCACTAAACACTGCCCCTCAAACTCCACGAAACATACACAGACATCGAAACAAATTAATCCAATCCATGACCACTCAAAAGTCACGAAACATACAAAGACAAAGACATCGAAACAAATTATATCAATCCATGACCACTGATCACTCAAGTAGATGACTTGGCTATCGCTGAAATGAACTCTTATTCATTTTTCCTTGTAAACAAGAGACTCACCATAACTAAACTTTTTTTCTATTTCTACTTCCTCTGCTTCTAAAGTTAGGAAATATATACAAAACTATGCATTGCAATTGAAAAGCTCTTCTACTTCTTATGCTTCTAAAGTTAGGAAATATATACACAACTATGCATTGCAATTGAAAAGCTCTTGATTGATTGGAGTGCTTTCTGTATTAACAAAGGTCAAGGGTGAAGGCACCACACAACCTCATCTTCAACCATTTATACAAGATTTATTTCTCCCACAGTTCCTACGAATGTTAAATATTAATTGTAACGTCAATGTGACGCACGAAGATGAATCGAAAAATCGTGACAAAATTGGGAGATCAAGCAGTGTCAACTAGCAAGAGGCTCGAGCCGGGAAGGGCCCTGGTGTGCCGGTCCAGCCTTGAACACATTCCAACAAAGGAGCCACCAATTGGCCTGCAGAAATGGCATTAAATACCTTCTCAATCTCTTGCCCAGGAGACACCGTCCTCTGCCCAGACAGGAGCTGCGTCTTCAAGTCTCCGCGCACTAGCTTGTACAATGGATACGTCCTACAGTCTTGAATCCTGTTGGGAACCGAGGATAGTCCCTTTGTGTCATATGCTTCTCGCACCGCGGGCACCACACGGCTCAGCTGCAGCTTCAGCTCTGCCTCAAACACTGGAATCTGCCTAAATACTGCGTTGGAGGTCTCCTTGTCTGCACTCTTCAAGGCACGGCTCACCAGCACCCCTCGTAGTTTCTCCATCAGCGGGTATGAATCACTGGTGGAATCGTCGATGTAGCTGAACACCGGCTGACGATCCACTACCATCAGTAGTTCCTTCTCGCAGAAGCGTGATGGCAGCAGTGATCCGTCGCTGCCCATGAAGAGCGTCTTCTTGGCCACCTGTGTCACTACTTGCTTCACGGCCGACTGCATGGTCTCTTCGACATGACGCAGGTCGATAGCCTGGCACAAGCCTACCAAGAAGGTGGCGCTCATGAGCTTGAGAATCTCCATGGCTTCCTCCGTCTTGCGGGCTGACACCAATCCCAGTGAGTTCACATCTTGGTTGTGTTGCTCCGCGCTTTGGACATGGGTGGTGACCGGGTTGGCTAGGTAGTTAATCTCAGATAAGTACGAGGCCATGGCGATCTCTGCCCCTTTCATGCCGTAATCCAGGCTGGGGTTGGGTCCCCCGCTCAAATTGGACGGTAATCCGTTGTTGTAGTAGTCGTTCACAAGTTCGGAGAATTGTGCGAACATGAGCTTAGCGATGGCGGCCAGCGCCAGGCGCATGTTGTCCATGGACACGCCGATGGGCGTGCCCTGGAAGTTACCGCCATGCAGGGCGATGCCCCTGGCAGCGTCGATGATGGGATTGTCGTTCACAGAGTTGATCTCCCGCTCGATGGCGTGGGTGGCGTTGCGGATGACCTCCACCTGAGGGCCCAGCCACTGCGGGGAAGTTCGCAGCGCGTATCTGTCCTGCTTCGGCTTGCGCAGGGGGTCGGTCTCGTTGTACTTGGCGGCAGCCTTCATGAAGGAACTCCCGTCCAGCACCCACTCCATGACAGCCGCAGCTTCCATCTGTCCGGGGTGGTGCTTCAGCTTGTGAGTCAGGGGGTCGGCAAATTCAGGCTTGCCCTGCATTACCTCGCAAAAGAGCGCGGACAGAACCTCGGCGAGCAACACCATGATGTTGGCATCGTAGCACACGGTGGAAGCGAGGGCGGAACCGACTGCGGTGCCGTTGACAAGGGCGAGCCCTTCCTTGGGCGCCAGCTCGAAGGGCTTCTCCACGCCTGCGATTCGCAAGGCCTCCAGCGCGGAAACCTCTCGTCCGTCCTGGGTGACGGCTTTGGAATTGGGGCGACCGGTGAGCAGGCCGGCGATATACGACAAGGGGACGAGGTCGCCGGATGCCGTGATGGTACCCCGCAAGGGCAACTTGGGGGTGACGTGCGCGTTGAGTAGCTTCTCCATAGCTTGGAGGATCTCCCAGCGGATGCCAGAATACCCCTGCATCAGCGTGTTGGTACGCACTAGCATGGCCGCTCGGGCAGTCTCGGATGGCAGGGAGTTACCCTTGCTGAGGACTCCCGCATTCAGGAAGCGGATGAGTTCGCGCTGGAGCTCCACTCCTTGCTGCGTGCGACGATGAGAGGTCGCTCCGAACCCGGTGGTAACGCCGTAGATGTCACCTCCGCCCATGATCCTATCGAGCACCCAGTTGGAGCTCTCGTCCACTCTACTCTTGGCATTGGCAGCATCGAGCACGACATGCACGTCAGGTCTGCGAGCAATGGCTGCTACCTGAGGTACAGTGAGGGTGGCTCCCTCGATCATGACCTGGGTGGCATTTTGGTAAGCAACCATCCGCTTGATTTCTTCGAGGTGGCTGCATCCCATGGCCTTGGCGGTCTTGGCCCAGTTGAGAGGATCCGCACCATGAACTGCTCCATTACCGAGTAGGCCAATGCAGTACGGAGATGTGTTATCATCAAGCATCATGTCTGAAGATGCCGAATCAATTTGCTCACCTGATCCGACGACAATAAGCTCCCCAGCTCGTGGTGCCATTGTTGGTATTGAAGACCTGCAATTACACTAGTTACCGAGATCTACTGAGTGCGCGGAGCCACGCAAGACTGATGTACTGAGAGTTCGAAGTCGTGCCTGAACGCCTACTTCAGGAAACAATCTCAACCAAGCAGCAGTAGCAAACTTTGCTGATCTTTCAAGAGATGGGAGGGGAACCAATTGCTGAAGGGTGGGATGCAGGCCCTGTCCGGCATTCACTGCTTGAATGGGCCTCAGGGAGAAGTGAAGATTAATGAGATTCGGGGAATGCTCTTTATGCAACTACTGCCTCTCGCTGTAGCGCGGTGTTCACCGTCGAAAGGTATTCTAATGGCTGACCCTAGTCCATAAAGGTGGGTATATTGCGGTGAAAACAGTCCGAGGTGGCGTTGAAATGTTGAAAGTGGTGCCCTTCCTGGACTTGTGAGCCTTCTGGTGCCACATGAAGGATGAGAGCCCTCCAGATTGATTTATGATACAGGGTTGTTGAAATTTAGTTCGTCCGTCGTTTACTTCAACACTACATCAAACTACAATTCCCCTCATGTTCTTGTCGGTGGGTCTTGGGCAGGTTTCGTGGATCAACTACGGTGGACTGCACCAAAAGTGACAGCACCTGATTGAATATACCCTGTCTTCTTTGCGGCTGTTTCTGACTAGATTTCTAAGAATCCTGTTGAGAATCAAAGCCTCGTTTTATGCATGTATCTCTCATTTCATGAGGTAGAGAGCAAGGTCAGATCAGTGTGGTTTTTCTTCCATCTTTCCGGCACAAAGGAAAAGTGCAGCTTTAAAAGTACTTCTCTGGGGTGGACCCACTTTCTATTGGAGGAAAGTCGGACGCGTGGTCTTGTTTGGAAAGAGGAAGGCGCTGCGATTCTTCGTAGTCTTCAGCCTGACTCTCAGAGTCTCTCAGTCATACTGGTCTGCTGGACTGGATCGTTTCGCTGGTGTCAATACTGACCAAAATTTAAGATTTCAAAGGGCCAAGTCAAGACCACGAGTTTTGTCGTCCAATTGCGAAATTCAAAATTATCGTGCAAAATCCAATTGCGAAATTCAAAAATTGTTGTGCAACTGTGAAATTCGAAATTCGCCTCTAGACGGCACGTGTACACATGGAGTCGCAAAGTGGTGGGGTGAAGCAGAAAAAAGGTCAACAGCTTTCAACAGCAATGACTCCACAGAAAGAGCACACGATTCAATGCAGTAAACGTATTTCTTTATTTCTGCAGACATAAAGTCGCGGTCAAAATGAAATATACCCCGGTCAAGGACAACTCGATCCTGATGAAAGTGTCAACATGGCGATGCTCTTAAAGGGCACACGCTGTGCATGAAATAGCAGGGTCGATACAAGCTTCAAAACGGAAGTCGCCACCCAACTACATCGTCTATCAATTCTCTGGCAATCTCTCCGATCGTTGTACTCAAGTTACGAAAATAGACTAGCTCGTGGCGAACTAAGAGAGTGGGGTGACTCCGCAGATCCCAACTGGTAGCGTAACGGAATCGGTGCGTAGAACAACCTCTCTTGTTGCAGAATTAGCAAAGAGACAAAGTCGGAATACGTTTGGCAGCACAGATTGAGAACTAGAGTGAAGAAATCGACCGGGGTTGTCAAATGGCTTCTGCTGGGGATGTTACGAGGACCGCGCTTCCCAGGGGCCAGCCCCGCGCTGAAGGGCCAGCCTGCGTGCTAGGCATCGGAACTGCGGTGCCTCCCGCGGAGTTTCTGC